TTTTATTTTATTTTGCAAGATTAACAATAAAAAAAAAGGGTATTTTTGCAATTGGTTTGTTACGCCTTTTTAAATTTTTTTTTTTTTTTTTTTTTTGTTAATTTTTATTTTTCCATCCTGTATTTTTTTTTTGGTTTGTGGAGAAGAAGAAGAAGAAGAAGAAGAAGAAGAAGGAAATTTCATTTAATGTACTGTTATTAGCCATATATAACCATAACCAGCAAGCAAAACAACAATGAATCCAATATTGTACCCTTCATCAAGGGTATCACAGTTGGATGCTAATATATTAGACTCGGAACTTTTTTCTCTATTGAAGGAGCAAGTATCGTCCATTTTCCAGCTTCATGAAAACAACAATTCCATATTGAGCAAACTCTCGTATGCTCGAAATCCTGAGGTTTTTTCCTTGTTATTAAATCTACTCATTTTCAAACTAACGGTGTGGAAGTCAGGGTCTACTTATGGATCATCGTTACAAAATTTGAAACTCACAGATTTCAAGACTGGGAAGATTATTGGATTTAACAAAAGAGGACTTCTTTTGGGCGTGCTTGTTGCAACCTACTTTTACAAAAAGATCGAGACTGCTCTATATCAACTAGAGGAAACTGAGAATAATCTGGACTACAATTCATTGACCAGTAGGTTGAAACTGTTTATAGTGAACAATAAGAATCAGGTGTTGATGAAAATCGATAATACGTTGAAGATTGCGAATCTTGTTAACTTTACTGTTTTTCTTGTTAATGGCAAATATTCATCAATAGTGAATAGAGTCTTGGGTATAACAGAAACGCCGATTATATCCGATCTTTTAAAATTCAATGGAAGCAATGTGAACTACGAATTTCAAAATCGTCAATTGGTGTGGAATGTAATGACTGAGTTTTTGGTGTTTTTGTTCCCTCTACTACAATTGGGAAAAATACGAAAGGCTATTGGTAAAGTTGTGAATAAAACAAAGACACTCAACGGAATGGAAGTTATTGGGGAATCCGAAACAACGCGGTATACGAATTTGCCAGTACTGGAATGTGCAATTTGTCACCATAATAATTACATGGCTTCTCAGTCGGGAAATAGAGTTTTTGCAACTGCGGGACCTGTCACTAATCCGTGTATAACAAACTGTGGACATGTATATTGTTATGTGTGCATTGCACTTGAGTTCAATATCATGAAGCTGACTGGAGATAATCAATTTTGTTTGAGATGCAATAGTAAATTAGAATGGTTCCAGGAATTCGAAGCGGACGAAAAGGCCATTGATGTTGATGCTATAACTATTGAAAATGAATACTCTTCAGAAAACGAAGAGGAGGAAGATGAGGTTGAGGATCGTGTTGATGGTGATGAAGACGATGCAAGTATTGCTAGCGCTTCAAGCGAGGAGATTCAATCGTTCGAGCCGCTTGAAAAGATTACAACTACGAGAGTAGAAAGGCGATTGAGCCGACGTCTGGAAATATTTGACCTGAGTTCAAGCACTGATGAGCTCAGTGATGATTACTACAGCGAAGAAGAAGAGATGGAAGCTGATGAAGTTTATATGTGAAGCGGGGTACTATATATCTATATATATAGAAATACACATCTAAACAAATTCTAACAAGAGTTTAGAACCTTTATCATCAGCAGGCAATTGTTTCCTTTGTTGTATTAATGCCTTTTTCAACTTATTTGCAGTATTTGATTTTGATAATTGTAAAACTTCAAGAACAGACACCAAAACGAATGCAGGTTGTCCTCTAATCCAGTCGGTAATCTTGACATTATCTACAATTGCATCTGCAATCTTTTCTGCAAACTCTACTCCAACACCTGGTATAGTTTCTACACCCGATTCTATCTTAATCAATTTCTTAGAATCATTGTCAAACTTGTAAAGGTTTCCCTGGACTAATGCTTTTATTAATCTTGAAACGAATGGTGTCTTATTGAGCAAATGATAATCCTCTAAAACGTCTCCCATGATTATTTTGTCAAATATAGCTTGTAATATCTGTGGCCTATACGTGCTGTTTACTGTATCGTTTGTTGTTGGAGCTAACAAAAGTTCAGTAAGGAATTGAGCAGCCATGTTATTTGACAAAAACTCGTTGAAGTTGGCATCATCTTTTAGAGACGGTTGAAGCGCCTTATAAATTGGTTCAATAGATTTATCAAAGAGTTCTAATCTTTTGATATCTTTATCCTTCTTGGACGTTTTTCGATACGCCAAATCCTCATACTTCAACAAAGCACCTTTGACGTTTGGAGCAAAATACCTCCCATTCAATCCTTTCAAAATGTATAATATAGGTCTTCTTGCATATTTATTCTGCACAATCTCTGGCAATAATTCAGGAGTAAACATTTCATTCCCAAACGATTTATATGTTAAAACGGTATCATCCACAACCATGAATAAAACAGTTAGCACCAAGTTTCCAAACTCATTTTTGATCAATTCAGTTTGATGAGGCTTCAAGCTTTTTATTAAGGTCTTTCTTTCTTTTGCCGTTGCCAATGCAAGTAAACTAGATGCAACTTCTGAACCTTCTTGTGTGTGTACTAGTTCAGCAAATTGTTCACTCAAAAGATCAATAAAGTCTCTAATAGCAGAATCGTTTGCCTCGATATTATCTGCCAAAATGGTAACGTACTCTTTCATTGCTGCGTGCAAGATTTGAAAGCCAGTAGATCCCTTCTCGACAGAGGCCTTAATTGTACCAAACAAGTTTTGCATAATCAACTGTTTTTTCTCGGACGATTCCTTTACCACCTCGAGTACTGTTTTGCCCTTACCTGACTCTTTGAATACAGCATATTCGCTACCCCAAAATTCTCTAATCATTTGCTGTTTCTGTTCGGCTGTAGAATATAACACGAACAAATCTTCCACCACATAAGCACCTTCCCTGTGTCTCATCAATTTACGTATTTTTCCATGCAATTCGTTTATAACCATTGCTCTTGATTCCTTTGACCCATAGTGTAAAATCTTAATAAGAAGATACTTACCATATGCCGAAGTTGCCAATTGGTAAAATGAGCCCTTTAACGCACTTACAATTTTGTCTCTCCTTTCTTTTGAAGAATATTTAATCAAAGTTTGAACTACTCTTGACGCATCATGTTTCAATACCAAGTCATTTATCACATCTTGTGACAAATTCCAAATTTCGTCACATAATTTATCACGCTGCTGCTTGCTTGGTGTTGGTTTAGTGACCCTCAATTTTTCCCATAATTTCTTTATCTCTTGCACTTGTACTCCTGATTTTCTTTGCAACTTTCTCTCTCCAAGAATTTTTCTTTGCTCAATATGTTGTTCTTTGGAAGTTTTCTTATTGGGGTCTGATGAAGAAGTTTGGGGGCTTTCCTCCAGGAGGTCAGCTTCATCTAGTTCATCCAACTCATCCTCTTCTTCCTCGTCACCATCTTCTTCTTCTTCTTCTTCCTCCTCCTCCTCCTCCTCCTCCTCCTCCTCCTCCTCTTCTTCTTCTTCTTCTTCCTCCAGCTCACTTTCACTCACAGATGAGACATCTTCATTTTTCATCAACTCTTCACTCTCTGATTCTGTAACCTCTGACGGAGGAGACGGCAATTTCTGTTTCTTATTGTACTTTACCTTCTTCTTTTCATTTTCAGCAAAACCATTTCCCAAAGAACGCTTATTGCCCTTACCCATGCCTACCAACTTCTTTGACTTTTTAAATTCTTCAAAGAATATAAGAAATTGATATAAATTTCCATCACCTCATCTCATCTCATCTCATCTCATCTCCTTTTACAAAAGAAAAAAAGTGTGCTACCATGTGCATTGATCGTATTGATAAGAGAGGGGCGCGCCAAAAGTGAGTGAGACTTTTCTCTTAGTGTGAGTTAATTAATAGGATATAACAGGGATATAACAGGATATAAATAGACTTTATCTTGTTGTTTGGTGGTGGCGTTATTACTCTACTGGCCATTATGTTTCGTGGACTTGTGAGAAAGACTATACCGTTAGCTGCTTTTGGTTTGGGGGCGGTAACATTTCCTAAGGAATGGAGGAAAGGACAATTCAGTGGTGATAAAAAAATAATGCATATTAATGACTCAGTTGTTAAACAAATTGAATCAAGTAAAGAGTACCAAGAACTTATAGTTGATCCAGAGATTAGAAGATATACGTCAAGTAAATCATTTCCTGAGCAGCATCACAAGAATTATGTCAACACGGGACTATTGTTTGGACCCGATTTAATGGAAATTGATCCAATAGTATTTATTAATGAGAAAACAGGAGAGTTGACTAGTTTTTATCATCTTGGAGACAAATTGATTAGTCAAGACGGACAAATTCACAATGGAATTGTTTCAACTATTCTAGACGAAGGACTATGCTCTGCTGGGTTTCCCTTGTTACCTTCGAAAAAGGGAGTTACGGCACGGTTACAGATTAATTTCAAAAACCAGGCACCACCACAAAGTACAGTTGTTTTGCATGCAAAAGTTAAACAAGCCAAAGGAAGAAAAGTTGAAATAGAAGGATATCTCGAAACATTGCCTTTGAACACAAGTGAAAAGCCTTTACTAATTGCCGAGTCGAGTTGTATCCTTGTAGAGCCAAAATGGTTCAAGTACTTTACCTGGCTACAAATATGAAAATATAATCACTCCTTTTTCTTCACCTGCCTACAAATATGAAAATATGACCACTCCCCTTTCTTCACCTGCCTACAAATATGAAAATATGACCACTCCCCTTTCTTCACCTGCCTACAAAAATGAAAATATGACCTTCCCCTTTATCCCCCCACTCCCCTTTCTTCACCACCTAGAACATTGACCAGACATTTTTCTAGTAAAAGCTTCATGTCATTGCTATTTACATGTGAAGAAAGAAAAAAAAAAAAAAAAAAAAACACTGTGCCTCTTACATCATAAGAAGTGTGAATTTATACAGAGATTAAATTACAAAAAGTTATTTCTTACCCACCTCTTTGGTCCTCCTCCAATGATTGCTAAATCCATGTGTAGTAAAAAGTGATCAAAAAAAGTTATTTCTTACCCACCTTTTTGGTCCTCCTCCAATGATTGCTAAATCCATGTGTAATAAGAAGTGATCCACACGGGTTAGAAAGTTCTATAGCTTCTGATATCGATTCCTCCTCCATCTATAGCAAGTAAATCTTTGCGGAATTATGTTAGAGTAGTGTGCTTGCCGAAAAAGCAATTGTTTAAGGAGCCGCATTTTGCACCCAAAGTCAAGTAATATACAAGAGAGGGGCAAGGAAAGGGGAAATCCCTTTATTACGTATGCTGGAGGAAAATGTGGAGCAATAGTAAATGAAGTTGATCCAAAGTTGTGGTCATTTAAATCAAATTGTGAACACGTCACAAACTTTGTGATTGCTGTTGTAGCATCTCGAAAAGAGTATAAAAGCAACGACAACTCTCACCTACTGGCAAGACTGTTTCTTTTCCTTTTCTTCTATATTCAATTGATTAACTTAATTGATACATTACAGGTTCTAGGTACAAATTAATATGTCAGATTTAGGAAGAAAAGATATTGGTGATAAAATTGAATCAGCAATCAAGCCAGATTCTGAAAAATCAACCGGTGAACACTTGAAAGATACAGTTACAGGTAAAGCTGACAACCTTGCAGGTAAAGGTCAATCTGACAATGACAAGTCATGGACTCAAAAGGCTTCTGATGCTGTTTTTGGTTCAGACAACAAATAGTGACACTGTTGAGCGACACTATTGAGCAGAGCGAGATAGTGGAGCACACTAGCTGCCAGCAATTGCTTTAAAGTTTTACATAGCTTAAAGAAGAAAGAAAATACACGCAAAAGTTTAGCTTTACATTTGATATCCTCTCACTTGTCATAGACCCATTGGGTTCATTACAAATCATTTACTACTTCTGATTTGTATCTAATTAATCTCTTATTTCTTTACGATTTACTCATCAACCTAAAGTTTCTTGCAGACTTGCATTTTCTATCGAGCAGAGCGAGAGCAGTGGTGGCTAGTCAGTGCTCCTCCACTATCAAGCAGAGCGAGAGCAGTGGTGGCTAGTCAGTGCTCCTCCTCTGCTCGATAGTGGATCTCGCTTTATGACAAATATGGAAATATATGCGGCGTGATCACTTTTTTAGTGAGACGCGTCATTTTCATTTGCGATTTTTCATATTCAATCCATTGATTCAATCACTAGCATCCAAGGAAGAAGGGGATAATGACAGCTTCACCTAACCCAGCAGAACAGGCTTATTTAGATCTATGTGAAAAGATTATCAGTGAAGGTGAATATCGTCCCGATAGAACAGGAACAGGAACCAAAGCACTTTTTGCTCCACCACAATTAAGATTTGATTTATCTAATGACACATTCCCGCTTCTCACTACCAAAAGAGTGTTTTCCAAGGGGATTATTCATGAGTTGCTATGGTTTGTAGCCGGGTCAACAGATGCGAAAATTTTGAGCGAAAAAGGGGTCAAAATATGGGAGGGGAACGGACTGCGTGAGTATTTGGATAAGCTTGGTCTAACCGATCGTAGAGAGGGTGATCTCGGGCCAGTATATGGCTTCCAATGGAGACATTTTGGTGCAGAGTACATAGATTGCGATTTCGACTACACGGGACAAGGATGTGACCAACTACAAAGCGTGATAAAAAAGTTGAGGACAAATCCATATGATCGAAGAATTATTATATCCGCTTGGAACCCACCAGATTTCCCAAAAATGGCATTACCACCGTGTCATGTGTTTTGTCAGTTTTTCGTCAATTTCCCGCCAAATTCAAAACCTAAATTATCCTGCTTGTTGTATCAGAGATCTTGTGATATGGGATTGGGTGTACCTTTCAATATTGCTTCCTATGCATTGTTGACCAAGATGATTGCTCATGTAGTAAACATGGATTGTGGAGAGTTTATACATACATTGGGAGACGCTCATGTGTATTTGGACCATATTGATGCATTAAAGGAACAATTTGGAAGGATTCCAAAACTGTTTCCAAAATTAGTAATTAAAGAAGAGAGGAAAAAGGAAATTAAGAATATAGACGACTTCACATTTGAAGACTTTGAAATTGTTGGCTATGAACCATATCCCGCTATAAAGATGAAAATGAGTGTGTAATGAACTGAATATTCTGGTTTCATGGTTTTATTTTTTTTTTAGATTTTCTTTTTGGTTTTGTACCTGAATCAAAATCGAATATAGATAGATCTTCATCTGTAGTAGTAGTGGTGGTGGTGGTTATGGTAGATTTTTTACATCTTTTGGAATTCAAATTATTTGTGACATTTTCAAGCGGTTTCCTTTTCACGGGTCGTTTGTCTAGTTGATTTTCTTGCAGATGCGACTGGACTGTGTGATTGACATAAACATTTTCACCTACAGCATCCATCAATTGGGCAGAGTCTCTTCTCATCTTGGCACGGAGTGATAAGGGCTTATAACTGACCTCTTTTTTGGCGCGTGTTGTCCTTTGCAAAAATGACTCAGAGTCATTATCTGACACATTGGAGACTGCACTGTTGACCTTTGAGGTGTCACAATGGGGTAGGTTTGAAACTGCTGATTCTTCTTGATCACATTTAGTGGTGGGTGTGTTTTTTTCTTTTGAATCATTGTTTGCTTCTATTGTCAAGAGATTATCACGATTTGCATCCGATTTTGACTCTTCATCTAGCTGCTCGTGAGTTTCATCTAGCTGCTCGTGAGTATCAGCTACTTGCTCGTGAGTTTCATCTATCTGCTCGTGAGTTTCAGCTACTTGCTCATGAGTTTCATCTAGCTGCTCATGAGTTTCATCTAGCTGCTCGTGAGTTTCAGCTACTTGCTCGTGATGAGGAGTATCGGGGTTTTCCCTATCTACGACAAAGGGCCCAATCTGCCTCAAATCAAACATATCCTCTTCAGAATCCAGCAGATGTTCCAAAATAGTCAGAAACTTTTCTGATAAATAGTTTACACCAGATTTCTTGAAAAATTGGGGTATTTCAGATCCATTTTTCCTTATAGCGTGTGGTTTGAAGTTTTGCGATTGGGTAATTACTGATGATCCATGGCTATTCTCAGTTGGTGTAGTAGTCAAACTCTCTCTAATAATATCATGAAGCTTCCCAAGTAAAGCATTTTGGGAAAATTTGTTCTTGCATCTCAATTGCTGGAAATGTGTCAAGGAGGCGCTAAAACTGTTTAGTAGCGATTCCTCCATCATTTCAACTATTCTCAATACCTTATCATCGCTTGATTTCGATTTCTTGCATATTTCCTCATTCAATAAGTTCACCTTATTCTCAAGATGAGCGATTTTACTGGAAAATATATGATTTCGTTTGATTAATATATTATTCTGTTGTTGAAGTATCTGTAATTGTTCCAGTAACTTCGTCTTAGTAGTAGGTTCAGCACTTGATAGCTCTACTACCGAGTCTCTCAAAGGAAGATCTGCTGGTCTTGCCATCTTTGCCTGGCTTGTTTCAATCAAATTCGCCTTGTTTGTGAATATTGTTTTTATTTTTCATTTGTAAACAAACAAACAAAAAATCAAAAACGCCAAACTTCACCAACTGGCGAATACACCAACTACAACTAGGCATTGAACACCAGGAACGGGAGAGGCGGTAGTAGGCACGTTTACTTTATCAAGTACTAAATACATTAATTGTACCGAGCACTCTGGATAAACCATTAACCGGCACACCGAGTAGTAGGCGGCCAACAGCAAGCACCAGAAGCACATTGATTTGGCTCATCTGGCAGTAGTTGAACCAAGAAGAAGGTGTACCAAGTAGGAAGCAGACCGCGTACTAGGTATATCAGTTGCTGGGCATCAAGCACACTGATTTGGCTCATCTGGTAGTAGTTGAACCAAGAAGAAGGTGTACCAAGTAGGAAGCAGACCGCGTACTAGGTATATCAATTGCTGAGCATCAAGCACATTAGGTATATTAAGCAGCAGGTACATCTGGCATCAGGTACATCTGGCATCAGGTACATCTGGCATCAGGTACATCCGATACCAAGAACCGAAACTTCATCAGGACCAGGCACAGTCTTTTATTTTCAATAAACACTTACAGTTAACCCACAACACTACCTCTCAACAATGCTGAAGTCGAATAGTGCAATTTATCAGAAAATATCTGAAAAGAGAGCTAACCTTGAAAAACTCCGTGAATTCAAAAACCTAACAAATGACCTAGCTAATGAATTGGAAAGAATTGGCGATCAGCTAGAAACAATGAAAGATGGTACAGAGAGTATTGCCTCGATAATGAAAACGTGGCAAAGTGTAATACAATCTATTAATCTTGCTTCGATTGGATTATTACGGATGAGTGAGGATAAATTGAGTAATGAAATGAATTTGCCTGAGCCTTTAGTTAGGATAAATTTGATTGAACGAGATAAAAAAGGGGAAGAAGAGGAAGAAGAGGAGATGTGAGGTCAGAAAATATAGCACTGGCACAGACTGTAGAAGTAGTTCAGGGACACTAGCTCGCTTTGCTCGCTAGTGGAGCAGCACTAACGGGTTTGATTGCGGCACAAGTGGTGCAATTTTTGAAAAAAATCTAGATGATAATAAAAGTCATCTCTTACACCATACGACTAAACAGAGCTAGAGGGATTTCCAGGTGAGAAATATGGCTGCGGTAGAGACACTTTTGCCTACAACACCAGCATTCTCTATAGCACCAGTGTCGCCTTTGGCTCCACTGGTGGGACTTGACCCAATACTGGATCAAAGGTATCAAGAGTGTGTGCTTTCATTCACAGAATTTTTGAATACAACTCCATAGAATCAACTCTAGCTTGTTCCTTGGCAGAATCAATCAACATTTTATACCCATCCTTCATCAAAAAGTTGTTCAACCTTTCCAATAGATTATTGTTTAACTGCAGCATCATTTGGAATTTTTCATTGTACGCAGTGTCAAGTTGAGGATTTTGTATCACTTGTGCTAATTTGTCAATTATATCTGATTGGTTTTTCAACGTTTTCAAAAGCACACTTTGTTGGATTCTCTTCTTGTATACCATTTCATCATCATTGTTTTTTGTTTCGTTTATAATCTGTTCATAATCATCACCTATGGTTATCAAACGAAGTATAATCACGCTGATGAAGAAATCCTTTACTTGCTCATTTTTGATAATTTTGGCAATTTGTAAAGCGTATATGAACCCCATACCGTCAAGTAGTTTAGGCTCTATTATAGTCAATAGGTCTATCGATTTCTCGACAGCCAATCGTTTATTTTCAAGCAATCTAGCAAAATATTCATCAACTTGTTTCTTTGCAACTGTTTTCTGCACTTTGGAGTTTATAAAGTAACTGACAAAATGAGACTGTGTCACAGCTTCAGTTTTTGATTTATTCAAAACAATGTCTCTCAACTTTATCTGAATTCTAATCTGTACCAAATCGTCATCTAATAGTGAAACATTATTGTTACCTGATGCAATGGCACACATCTTTGCAATTGAAAGTTGTTTGAGTTGAGTATCAATAGTTGTTTTCTCCTCATCCTTAGATGCAATGCTTAATGACTCGGAAGCATTTGAAAATTCACCATCTAGAATGAATCTGATCCATGCTACACTTGTAGTTTGCTTCGGATTTTGTTTAAAGTACTCAATCAAGTAAGGTTTGAAATTGGTGAAATTAAGCAACAAATCTTGAATCTTGTCATGCTTTAGATAATGCTCATAAACACTCGCTGCAAACGGATAACCAAACTTATTGAAATATTCCTTATATTGGAGATCTTCGATGTTGATCACATCCTTTTCCAGATCCAAAATCCTAGCAAGTGCGGCAAAGTCGTGATATTTTTCAGCAATGTTTAAAGCTTCGTCAACGAGATCTAGCTTTAACAACACTGAAATCCAATTATATTTATGTGCATTAAACCAATTTTCATATTCTTGCAACTCTTGATTCTGCTTCTTCATTTCTGCTATTTTTGCTGTACTAAAATAATACAATATTTCCACAATACGAAACGCATCATCAGCATTGTCATTTCTGCCCTTTACAAAATCCAGGTTGAAATACAGCTCAACGTCCTTGATTAGTGATGAAGATGTTTTGAAAATCCAGGATAGGAAAACAACGTGTTGTGGGTACGCAATACTGTTCAAGTAAACACCATCATAAAGTGTAGAAACTATCAACGACGCAGTAGATAAATTGGCCTTTTTCAACAGCTTAAGGAATTTGGTCAAGATTATACTTATATCAGTGATGTGATGGGCAAAAAATTCTCTATAGTTTGGTTCTAGTTTCTTAAATTCGGCTTTATATTTTTCGTTTGCATTGATATAGGTTATCAAATTCAAAGCACAGTTTGTCTTTTGCAAATTTGTCAAGATTCCCGAAACTAAGTTCAAGCCAGGAAAGTTTCTCTGGCAATAAGATATAAGCACTTTGAACAAATTCACTTTCAACTCAGTTAAATCTGCAATTGAAGGAAGTGTTGATGGTAGATATGCTGAAGTTGAATTTAAAACCTCGTTATTTATCAAAGCAACTGCCTCCTCAATAATTCCATTATCGAATTTTTGGCTCAAGTCAAAATCAATCCCGGTTGACTTTGAGTAGAATATACCTTGTTCAATATGTGATTTCACTAATAGTATAGGGTCATTTATCTCTTCATCGGTGATCTTCTCTTGAAACCTTTCAATTCTCAATACTCCAAATTGTTTAGTTATGAGAATAACTGCCGGATTAGATATAGGCGATTGATTCTCATATCCATATCCAATAATATCAGTCGATGCTTGTAATTTAACAATATCTTCCCATCGTGGCTTATAATAAGTGAAGGTACTTTGAGACTCAATATACGAAGTATTTATATCGGTCATGATTATCGCTGTGTCAACAATGACAAAAGCAGTTTTGCCAGGTTTTGGCAAGAACAACTTGGCACTGTTTTGTAAATGTGAAATATGATCAATACTTTTCAATTGATGGGATCCATAAAATAGCACACCAGATTTATCTGCTCCAAATGTAGCCAATAACAACCTCCCGTTCACTTGACACAATGCAAGGTAATAACTTTCCTCTTGCAATGGCCAAATATCCATGAATTTCACCGATTGGTTAGATACATTATATGCATCATCAATGTACAAGTTTTGTTTAAATGATTTTCCTTTATCGAGATAAGAAGCAGAACTTGCTGATAAGAGGTTATACTCCATACAATGAAAGGTTCCTGAAGAGTCCAATATCAATATTTGCTGGCTTGTCCCGTGTTCTTTGACAAGTCCTGATCTAATAGCAACAATCTCACTCCTACTCCCACTCCTGCCGCTGCCGTTTTCCCCTACTCCTACCCCTAATAATCTCGATATTATCCCACTGTTATTTGGATTCAATACTTCTAAATACGACAAGTGCGGTTTGCTTTTGAAATCTCGTAATTGTATCAATATGCATCTTTGTGAAGAAGTAGCAATGCAAATTCCAGCGGGCTCGACATTTTCTGCCATGGTTATGTATTCTTCTTTTTCCAATTTCAATTGTAATTCAAAGGACTTATCATTGATTAATCCTAAAGTGGGTGCATGCTGTACACTTTCGTAAAACTTGATTAGGCCAGTTATAGTATCTAATATGATCAATCCTGGATCTTGGCCTGTCCCGCTCGAAGGACGCGTTAATAATGCCATTATAGGCAATTGAAATTTCAGTTTATCGATTGGAAACTGGATCGAAAATGGAGAATGATCAATTGACTTGTAACACCAGGCATATATCGTGTCGTCGTTTATCACGAGAGAGTAGTTTGACTCGGAATCGGCGTATGCATTGATGAATTGCTGCTCCTGCTGCTCCAGTTGAAAATTACTGGGTAACTCAGCTGGGAGTTTGGAAACACAATAGTATTTATTCTTTGTGAACTCTTCGGGTGTCGGGACGACCAGTGCCGCCGCCGCCGCCGGTGCTGTACCTGCCACTTCCGTAGTGGCTGCAGCCGTCGACCGTGTACTTGTACGCGCCTTGAATATCGCCGACATCCTTATAACCTACCGCCTTTCTCTCCACTTGATTCTCAAAAGTAATCCAGTTTCTTCTTTATACAAACTTTTGAGAAGAGCTTTGGTGAATTTTTCATGGGGGCCAGTGTGCTACCAAGTGTATAGGAAAGAGATGGGACCTCAGCGGAAAAAATCTTTTACGCGGATGCCAATTGTTAGGGAGAGAGAGAGAGAGAGAGAAGGCGGGGGGGGGGGGGGGGGGGGGGGGGGCGAAGGGAGTTAAGATTTAGATTAATGGCTACTTCTTCCTTAGCTTTTTAGTGTCTGGTTCCTCTACATCGTTTGCAAAATACTCCTCGTCGGACACATAGACGTCATCTTCTTCATTGTTGTTTTCAGTTTCAGTTTCGCTTTCGTTCTCACTTTCCTGGTTGTACTTCTCCTTCAATCCTTTCATCTTTCTAGTTTGCAATTTGCTCAAATCTTGTTTGCCAACGTGAACTTGAGCCACTTTATCACCCATAAAATCGGTAGATATATTCTTCTTTTCCTTAGTTTCCAACTGTTTTGGTTTTCTATTAGCTTCTTTTTCCACTTCGGGACTTGGTTCAATCCTTCTACCAACTTTAAAGTCAAATCTTGGTCCAATTTCATCCAATTCAACGCGGGGCAATTTCTGACCAGATCTGAATGTTTTCAATCTATATACTCTGAAATGAACCAATGGCAAACTTTTTTCATCGCTATTATTTAAATCGTCAATTTCGCCAACTGATAAGGAGATAATGTACTGTAATCCAGCAACATCTTGTAACTCTGTTTCCTCGCCACGATAAAAATCCAAAAATAATGACTTTATATGCTTGTAGACTGGGTGTGTATCGAATGCAGGTCCATTAAACGTAAACATAGGTTTCAATCCAATAGTAAACGTGAACTTCTTTTTAAAGTCTTGTAGCAATTTAAAGTTGTTCTGAATCGACAATTCAATCATATCGTATACTTTGTAGTTGAAAAATCTCGTAAATGTCAATCGATTCGGTCTTTTCTTATTATGCGATGAAAACACCATTAATGAAGAGTCGTTTTTTTCTGAAAAGAATTCAAGCTGTGATGTTTCTTCAAAAGGTCTAATCTCATTTTTTTTGCTAAATTTCTTTGCTAATGGTTTTTTCAATGCCATCAAATCGCACATGGCGTCATGTAATAGTTTATTCCCCGTGGATCCAGGTACAAAAAGTGCAGTTTTCGTGTTTTCCACTAGCTTGGCTTCCCTCTTAGCAAGAGCCCTTTTAGTACGTGCATTTTTCGGCTTGATTGTGCGGATCATCATGAACACGAGAAAGTCTCTCTCTTCTTGATCACAATGGAGGGAAGGGGGGGGGGGGGGGAGTTTCGATCAAATTGAAAATGATATGAGATAAAGAAATGAGATGAGATGGAAAAAAATGAGATGAGATGAGATGAGATGAGATGCAAAAGAGAGAGAGAAAAAAAAAGATTAACTTTTCGCTACCAGATGGGTTTGGGTTAGACGAGACTAAGGCGAGAACTGGCAAACTTTAGGCGAGAACTGGCGAAATTTAGGCGTGAAAAAAAAAAAAGACTATCAGGAATTGGGGCGTGAAAAAAAAAAAGAATATCAGGAGTTGGGGCGAGGGGGTTTGGGCGAGGGGTTTGGGCGAGGGGTTTGGGCAGGGGTTTGGGCAGGGGTTTGGGCAAGTAAATCAATACACTCAAATATTCAAATCAAAAGAACTAAACATTAGATTTGGGTTTATTACTTGGTTCAATATTCAATATCTGATATCTGATATCTAAAATCTAAAATCCTAAATCTAGCACCCAGTATCCTAAAATACAATAGAAGCATCAACAAAAAAAAAAGTTGGGCCACTCTTGTAATTATGGAGCGACACTAGGGAGCGAAGCGAGCTAGTGGAGCAGTATGTATGGCGACACTATGGAGCGAAGCGAGCTAGTGGAGCAGTATGTATGGCGACACTATGGAGCGAAGCGGGAAAAAAAAGTTATTAATGGTCAATGTTATTAATCGGTATATCATATGGTCGATATTAATCGGTATATCATATTGTCAATATTAATGGTCAGTGTTAATCATGGGTATAATTTAATTTGCAGAGTTTGTTATAGAATCTGTTTCAATCTATTCAACAGTTTCTTCCAAGTTGTCAATGTTAATCTTGTTGATTCTTCTTCGTGTAACTTTTGTTGATCCCCCTCTTCCCTTACATTGATTTGAACATCTTTACCTTTTACATCGTTACTGGATTTTTTATTACCACGGCTCCTTTTCTTATCGCTGCTATATCGCTTTGCTTTGTCTTCTTTATGTCCATCTCTTTCATTTTCTACCACCTCCACCGTGCCCTTGTGTATATTCCTCTGATGGGACTCAAAATCAATGTCAAAATCAAAACTTTTCATACATTTATAACAATAATGAATCATTATTCATATGAAAGAGTGTTTGTCTCTGTAAAGAGGAGGAGGAAAAGAAGAGGAAGAGGAAGAATAATAATAAGAAGAGACTCTAGCAGTTTATAAAATAAAAAAGTAGTAGTCAACCAAAACTGATAAAGCCAAAAACTACTGTAGCTAGAACCGCTAAGGCTAAACTAGGAGGCCCTTAAAGCTAAGACCCCTAAAGGTTTTTTTCCTTTGTGCCAAAAATAATGAGTTTTTTTTTTTTTTTCTTTTAATCTAAATGTGCATCATAAGGCTTAGCTCAAATTACTTTTCTATTTTTGTCTTTCATTCTTTACCAGTTTTATTTCATTTCTGTGTTTGAAAGGTGCGTCAGTGGCATGGTTTGCAACTTATAGTTTGCTTCCATGCCGTACCTCTTGTTCTTTTCCATATTTAGCAAACTAACTCAAACGAGAAACAAAAAAAAAAAAGAAAAATATATATTTTGCAAGTTCAAAATTCCATGATTTCTTGTATTTATTTCTTTCCTTATACTCTTCGTGTTAAAAGGTTTTCTCAACTAAATAGCCAAATACAGTAAGGTTTTTTTATTTTTCAACGACAAAGTTAAGGGGATGGGAGAGAATTAATAAGGTTAGATCACCAACCTGTTTATTTATTTATTTATTTATTTATTTATTTTTCTTTTTCTAATTAACAGGATAGATGGTGTGTAATTAAACGTACGTTTGAAACTGTATTGTAACCATTTCTACACTTGGAAAAATTGGCTAATTGAATTGAAAGTGGGTGACACCCTAGACTAAGTGTATCCTCTTTTCAATATGACTATTTTGAAGACGTTACAGTTTTGTTGGATCACATGAAATCAGAGCGACACTAGTAACACTATCGAGCTCTGCTCGATAGTGGAGCAGAATGGACTAGTTGTGTAAAATAACTTGTATTAATTTTAAATGAATACTTGCAAAAAAAAATCACTTCTTAAGTTTCTTTGCTGTTGTCCTTGTTACTGCTCTTGCTGACTTTCTGAATCTATTGCATTTCAATAGAGTAAATCCATTTGAATAGAGTAAATGGATCTCATACGAAACGTACATATTGAACCACTTCTGTTATTATCCATGAAGGAATTAAGTTTGGAGATAATTATAATAATATACACATAGTTAGATAGATACTTGCAGATCATTACCATACAACCGTTATTCCGTAGTAGCAAATTTACGCCTTGTGTTTAAAATGCTCTTTGTGTTTTGCTATTGAAAAAAAAAAAAAAAACACTCCTATTATAGGAGGGTTTTAAAAAAAAGGTCCTAACCAGATTCGAACTGATGTTGTTCGGATCAAAACCGAAAGTGATAACCGAGCTACACTATAGGACCCGTTTGAAACCAACTATGCTATTGTAGTGATTTCTTGTCATGAATTTATTTCTAGTGGTACCAATTCAACACTGTCGAGCAACACTATCGAACAACACTATTGAGCAGAGCGAGATAGTGGAGCAACATGGACTAGTAACACTAGTAACATTATAGAGCAGAATGAAATAATGGAGCAGCATGGACTAGTGATACTAGTAACATTATAGAGCAGAGCAAAATAGTGGAGCAGCGTGGACTAGTGACACTAGTAACACTTAGACCAAAGCGAAATAGTGGAGCAGCATGGACTAGTTGTGTGAAAAAATTTGTACTAATTTCGAGCAAAATAATTATAATTACTATGAAAAAAAAAAGGTCATCAACTTCCTTTTTCCCCGCTAAATTCTACATAGAGTGTCACAGTGTCACTAGTGTTAGTCCATGCTGTTACACTATCGAGCAGAGCTGCTCCATTATCGAGTAGAACGTGATAGTGTCACTAGTCAATGCTGCTCCACTATCTTGCTTTGCTCGATAGTGTTACTAGTCAATGCTGCTCCACTATCTTGCTTCGCTCCATAGTGTCGGTGTCACAATGTCGGCTTTTATTCATTTACCGAAATTTACCCCTCTTGTCTTTTATTTTATTTTATAAAGATTATAGATTGATCTTCGGAATATTCAGGAAAACATGTTTAGCTGTTCTCAACTAAATAGGTAATAAATCGCGTTTATATTATATTACTTTCCTAAAATAATCAGTTACTTCGGAATAAATCGGAAATAATCGTATGACTTTCTCTCTTCACCTATACTCCACTTTTTTCACAAGTTTTACAAGTATCGAGCAAAGCGAGATAGTGGAGCAGCATTGACTAGTAACATTATCTCGCTCTACAATCGAGCCGAGTTGCTCCACTATCGAGCTGAGCTGCTCAACTATCGAGCTAAGCTTTACTATCGAGCTGAGCTGCTCCACTTTCTCGCTTCGCTCGATAGTGTCGCATTCAGCCACATAAAGAGTCACGTGATTTTCCATATGACCCTTTTATTTTTTTTTATATTTTTATTTTTTTTTCCTTCTTTCTAGCTCCCTAAGCGCCGTAAGAAAAGATCCTCCCCCCCCGTCCCCTCAAAAACAAGGCTACAAAGACAACAACCAATACTTCTCTATTCAAGTTTGGCTAGTTTTTTCTATTTAAGTAGTAGGTGTGGGTTAGGCATGGTCTTTTTTGGGTCTTTTTTGGTTTTTTTTTTTTACTAGGCGACACCCATACGTACATACTTCTAAAAACCTCCTCCTCTCCTTTCCCCTAAGAGCATTAACCGCTGACCCAAACGGCAAAGTAAACTAAACGCCAGAGTTTTAACGCTGAAGAAGAAAAAAAGAAAAATGAAAATCACATTGCATTTCATAAGAATACGACACAATAGAAAGCCAGCGGATGCCGAATCAACCAATAACAAGTGAGAATCTCACCAATTAAAAAAAATTGAAAAACTCTCTATTTGAAAAACTCTCTATTTGAAAAACTTTGTAGTTGAAAAACTTGTCTCTCTCTCTCTCTTTTCTTCTTTTCAACTTCTTTATTCTAGCTTGATATCTACTCCATCGGCAATGTATAGGACTCAATTACTCAGATCTCAAAACCAATGTCTTTTCCAACAACAACACGCGTTGTTGGTTAGATCACTTTCTTCCACAGTAACCAAATTCTCCAAGTTTGGTGATATTCCATTGGCTCCTCCTGATAAGATTTTGGGTATAACCGAAGCTTTTAACAATGACTCAAACCCAAACAAGATCAATTTGGGTGTTGGCGCTTATAGGGACAATTCCGGTAGACCAATCATTTTCCCAAGTGTTAAGGAAGCTGAAAAGATTCTTTTACAAAAAGAGACTGAAAAGGAATATACTCCAATTATTGGTTCAAAGAAATTCCAAAACATTGTCAAGAATTTCATTTTCAACAATTCTAACAAGGATGCCAATGGTAAGCAATTGATTGATGATGGTAGAATAGTTACATCCCAAACTATTTCAGGTACTGGGTCATTGAGAGTTATTGCTGATTTCTTGAATAGATTTTATGATACATCAAAAAAGATTTTGGTTCCAAAGCCAACTTGGGCCAACCACGTTGCTGTTTTCAAAGATGCTGGTTTAAAGCCTGAATTTTACACATATTATGAAACCAGCCAAAACGACTTGGACTTTGAAAACTTGCAAAAATCCTTAAAATCTCAACCCAAGGGCTCTATAATCTTGCTTCATGCATGTTGTCACAATCCAACAGGTATGGACTTGACCAATGAGCAATGGGATCAAGTATTGCAAATCATTCAAGACCAACAATTTTACCCATTGGTAGATATGGCATACCAAGGTTTTGCTAGCGGTAAGCCATACCAAGACATTGACTTGATTCGTAAATTAACCAAATTAGCCAATGAGAACAAGATCCCCGAATTTGCCTTGTGTCAGTCATTTGCTAAGAATATGGGATTATACGGTGAAAGAACAGGTTCATTATCCATAATTACATCGAGTGCCTCCAAGTCAAAAGCAATTGAATCCCAATTAAAGAAGTTGATTCGTCCAATTTATTCATCACCACCAATTCACGGATCTAAAATCGTTGAAGTTATCTTTGACGAATCAAGCGGCTTGTTGCCTCAATGGCTCAGCGAGTTGGACCAAGTAGTTGGCAGATTAAACACTGTACGTCAAAAATTGTATGACAATTTAGACAAGACCAATTATAACTGGGACCATTTGTTGAAACAAAGAGGTATGTTTGTATACACAGGATTGTCACCAGAGCAAGTTGCTGAATTGAGGAGCAAATATAGTGTTTACGCAACAGATGACGGAAGATTCAGTATCTCGGGTATCAATGATGGTAATGTTGAATACTTGGCTAATGCAATTAACGAGGTTATTAAGAAATAAGTAATGAGAAAGAAAAAAAGAAAAAAGGAAGGAGAAGAAACAAAAAAAAGGAAGGAGAAGAAACAAAATGAATAGAAGACAAATTGAGAATCAAACGATGATGCTTATATAGTGTGATTGCTAGGAAATTGTTTTTTAGTATATAAGAAGACGATTCATTAAAAGGCCAAAGCTCTAATTGATTGAAACCAATGGTATTTAAAAAAAAAAATACGAAAATGTCGCTAGCGACATTTTTTTTTTAAAAGTCCCAGTTGTCATTCCCACGTGACCAGGCAGTTTCATAATGATTGGTCACGTGAATAATAATAAACTACTACTTTACATTAGGTTAAATTAACCATTTCTTTCTTAGTCTTTGCATTATTTGTTTTAAAAAGAAAAAAAAAACGCGCTCGCGTCTGATTGTGTTTGAAATTATCAAGACGTGATGCATTTGATTCTAAATCAGGTACGTTTCAGATTTAAGGGGTATTGCTGGTTATGGAGGGGAAGGGGGCAGTAGAAGAGAAATACGATGGAGAATGGAGGGGATGGCGCGGAGAGTAAAGAGTATGCGTAGGTTATGAGTTAATTTTAAATTTGCAATTTTTCATCCTTACATTGCTGATAAGATGTGAGGAGGGGATTGAGGAGGAGATTGAGGAGGAGATTGAGGAGGAGATTGAGGAGGAGATTGAGGAGGAGGTTGAGGAGGAGGTTGAGGAGGAGGTTGAGGAGGAGGTTGAGGAGGAGGTTTTGAAAGGGGATGTGAGGAGGAGATGTGAGCAGGAGACGCGAGAAGAGGATTTAAAATCATTTGGCGTAGCTACCCCTCGTTTTTCCCCCTTTGGTCTGGTCTTGTGTGTTTTTCATTTTTCATTTTTTTTTTTCATTTTTTTCATTTTTTTCATTTTTTTTTTTTTCAAATTTCAAAATCATTGTTCAGCCTCGTTGACCAAAGAAAGAGAGTTTGTGATTTTTAGTTTGTAAGTCTCTTGATTGTAGGCCTTTACTAGTATGGGTTCTCCCTTTGAATTTTGCTTGTTTTGCTTGTTTTTCTTTTTTTCTTAGCAGAGCTGTTTTTGAGATTGTCTTGGTAAGTTTGAATTTGCGTTGGTATGTCAATGGTTACGCAATAGACACAAAGGGGTTATTCATAATACATCAATATTCAATAGATTTCGATATATTATTGAATTATCCAAATAAGAAAAAAAAGGTACAGGGTTTAGAGAAGGCTCATAAATGTTGAGAATAGATATAACAGATTTACTATAAACATCATAGTCATCATAGTCATCATAGTTGTTTATAAGTAATCATGGTTGTTTATAAGTAATCATAGTTGTTTATAGTAAAACTATATAATCAATAGTAGAGGGAATATCTTGTTACAATACTACATGGAGAAAAAAGAAAAACATTTTCTCCTGATGGGGGGCATCTATACATCTTACTGGATTTACTGATCCTTCTCTAAACTATAGCAAACTGTAGCAAACTATACCAAACTACACCAAAAACAGTACTATTAGTAAATGACAAAAACAATGTCAACCTTAAAATGATTTCTAAAACGATTTCTAAAATCATTTTCTCGTCAAAAATAAAACATAGTAAAGACTAGAATGATTTTCAAACCCTGAAAAAAAAGGAGATTTACCCTTGTTAATACAATTTCTTTTTACTCGTTCTTTTGATAATTAATTTGATATTGATATGGTAATTACTTATTAAACCGAGCTATTTGTCACACTTTAATGGAATGTGTAACAAGGGGAATGTACCTTGATGTGAATTTTAGAGTTGAAAGCCCTTAATAAAAAAAAAAAAATAAAATAAATAAAAGAAAAAGAAAAAAATAAAACAAAAACAAAATTAAAAGGAAAGGAAGAAAGGAAGAGAAAGTAGTCGAAGAAACAGTGGCAATAAGAGCACAGCATTAGCACAGCACTATTATAGGAGTAGCGGCTGTTACCATTAATAGCTAGAAGCAACCGTAACAACTGTAACGACCTGTAACAACCGTAACAACGGCATCAAGGGGAGTAACCAAGTTGTAAGAGTATAGTAGTGCTACGACACTATTGAGCAGAAGGAGATTTTGGAGCAACTCTTGATACCTTGTAACGACAGTAACCATACAAGAGGTGTCATAGAAGTGGTAAACTAGCAGCACAGGTGCATACCAGGACATACTAGCAGCAATAGCACAGGATCAAAAATCACAAAATCACAGGATCACAGGATCACAGGATCACAGGATCACAGCAGGGCTAACTATCAGCAGCACAGCAGTAGCACAGCAGCAACAGGGCTAACTATCAGAAGCAGAGCAGCAACAGGGCTAACCGTCAGCACAGCAGAAGCAGAGCAGAAGTAGGGCTAACTATCAGCACAGCAGAAGCAGAGCAGCAACAGGGCTAACCGTCAGTACAGCAGAAGCAGAGCAGAAGTAGGGCTAACTATCAGCACAGCAGAAGCAGAGAAGCAACAGGGCTAACTATCAGCACAGCAGAAGCAGAGAAGCAACAGGGCTAACTATCAGCACAGCAGAAGCAGAGCAGCAACAGGGCTAACCGTCAGCACAGCAGAAGCAGAGCAGCAACAGGGCTAACCGTCAGCACAGCAGAAGCAGAGCAGAAGTAGGGCTAACTATCAGCACAGCAGCAGCCCAACAGCACAGCAGCAACAGGGCTAACCACCAGCACAGCAGCAGCCCAACAGCACAGCAGTAGCAGGGCTAACCGTCAACACAGCAGCAGCCCAACAGCACAGCAGCAACAGGGCTAACCACCAGCACAACAGCACAGTCGTGATAGCACATTTGTGACAGTACACTCGGACAAGATGCAAAACGATACCGACTTTACAATGCCAACCCAATCGTACGACCATTCTTCACTAGACAACACCAACAAGATACTACGGGACTTGACAAGAAAACTATCGACACTGTCAACAACATCATCACAACAAACTCAGACGTCATCTGTAATACACAATAGCGACTTATTTGGCTTGGGAAAGCAAAGGATTCGAAGCCATGTTCTACAAAGTTTGATTGATGATAACGATGCCGATTTGATGATGAATGAAAAACGCGAACGAATACATAATATTATATTCAACCCAGATGAGTTATTTCAACAGAGGAAACAACAAAGTTTTATGACCAGTTTTGGACAAACTTATAACGATGATAAGATAAAAGTAAAGAGCAAGAAAAACAATTTGGTTAAGCACAACAATACCAGACCTCTTACTGGTAAACTAGCGAGAAAGAATTCTTTAAATTTGACTCAGAATAGACTAGAACGGAATTCAGATTATCCAGATGGGAAAACCAAGCTGCTGAAGATAGAAGATTCACAAGAGAAAGATGGAACACCCCTAAATAATGATGAAGAGGATGACTTGGATGAGGAGAGGCTAGGGTATTACTACAGCGATGATAACGATAGATTCTACTCTCAAAATGAAGAAGAAGAAGAAGAAGAGGAAGAAGAGGAACAGAAACAGAAACAAGAAGAAGAACAAGAACAAGAAGGAGTTGTGGAAAGAGAACATGATGAGTATGAGGGCGAGTATTATGGCGGAGAAGAAGAAGAAGAAGAAAAAGAATCCTTTTACTCCTCGGAAGAAGAAGAAGAAGAAGAAGGTGATTTGATGATCCCACCATTAGCACCAAGATCACCTCCACAGGATCTAGACCCCGACAAACTATACGGCCTATACGATTTTTCTGGTCCTGAACCTTCTCATTGTTCTTTACTAAGAGATGAACCAGTGCATTTAGTTAATGACGATGATAATTATTGGTGGTTGATTCGAAAACTTTCGAAAGGAGAACGAATAGCTCGGTTACAGAGACTAGGTACAGATTTTCCCATTGATGAAATGGTTTTTCTGGATAATGAGGATGGAAAAATCGGATTTGTTCCAGCAGAATGTCTAGAAACTCACGGAGAAAGGCTAGCTAGATTGAATTGCTATAAAAATGAAGTATTGGAGAAATCAATCGAGAATGAAGTTTATTCAGAGAAAAATGAGAAAAATGATAATAATAATAATAATAATAATAGTAATAATAGTACTAGCAGCAATGATCTGCAAGTAAAGTCAAAGGATTCTGGTGTCAATGTGAAATCTGTTACTTTTGAAGATTTGAATGATTTAGAGAGCGAAAGTGATGAAATGGGAAAGAATGAGTCGGAAATGGAAAGTTTGAATGATGATATTTATCACAATGCAGTGCCTGAGAGAACATATGGTAAGAACGAGATACGACAGAACCTCAATCGATATAACGTTGAATTACCGGATTTTAAACTGCCACTGCATCCAACAAAGGAATTAAAAGAAGGAGGAAGAGGAGAAGAACCACCTGTAATAGAGGCAGAAACATTGAGTGATGTCTACTCTGGAGAGGTCCCGTTATTGATTAACAAAAAGAACACAAGGTCTAACGGACTAATAAATCAAAGGAAGCTTAACCCGCCTGCCTTGATTTCTACTGATGATGCCTCAATTGGTTCATTTTCCCCTGATACTCCAGTACCGAAAACAGGACAATTTGATGCAGAACGCGAAGAGAGAAACCAGGATTTTCAAAATTTGAAAAGATCAGTGATTTTAGACAGATTGACTCAAATGACCAGTGATATTCAAGAGCAGATGAATCAAAGCTCTGACGAAGGAGGCGAAGAGATTGATCTGGATGATGATCTTGGATTTTGTTTTGATGATTATCAAATTGACGAAGGAGGCAAAACTACTGAAGAGATGATACACAATATCGAAAAGACAGTGCATAATGATACTGCAGAAGCTGATAAAAGTTTCAAGAGTTCCCAAGATGTAGCCGAGGTGAGCAGCAGCTCCAATGAATCTATTAAACATACCGCTTCTACCACTGCTGCCACTTCATACATGCAGCTGGGTGTACCATTGAGGTCTCATGATAAGGCACCAGAATCAAGGAGTTGCACCTCACTCAACTCGCAGAAATCCGATTTCTACACGTTACCTAAGTCCCCGTCTTCTTCTTCATCCTCATCTTTAACTTTGCCTTTGAAACATCAACAACCATTTACAAACAAATTACCAGCATCACCAAGTCCGACTCAAGGATCAATTGCTCAAAATCCCTCTACACCATCTCCATCCCAAACTTCTATGCGGAATTGCAATTCATCCAGTGGTCAACCTCACGGAGTCATTGATTTTTGTACAAAGTCTCCGCTGCGTGTCTCATCCAATATATTAGAAAGCCCATTACGATATTTAATTGCAAGAACCTCGCCATTATCAAATACCTCTCTGAACAACAAGGAGTCTGACAACAAGTCTCCACAATACTCACCTCCAGTGACATGCATGCCTCATAACGCTACTGAACAATTACGTTCTCCGGCGCCCGTAACAGCGTCATTGCCTATCTTATCAACGACACCGACATATTTGCAAACAGAAACCCGAAACTTTGAATTTTCAGATACGGATTTTTCCAAAATCAGCATTAGTAGGGAGCAAGACAAGGCGAAGGAAGTATGTATGGAGAAAGAGAAGCAGAACAATAAAAAGAGAAAGGAAGAGGAGAGGAAAGAGGAGGATGAGGATGAGGACGAGGACGAGGACGAGGACGAGGGAAAAGGAATATTAAGTGAATCCGAAGATCAAGACCACGATCCATCAGACTATAACATCACGCCACTTACAAGTATGAACTCACTTACCCCGTTTGATGAGCGAAGAAAATATGGAAACGGAACCACTTTAAAGAGTGCTTATGTGGGGTCTACTAGTAACAATGTGACGCTAATGACACCAACTGGAGAAAGGAGGAAGAGTAAACCTGTACATGAAATGTTTATGCCTATATTGGGGAAATTCGACGAGTTGGCAGAAAAATTGGCAGAACTAGATGATATGTTGTAGTAGATTTAGTAACAGCAGCCTGTGGTGATGAAACAGAAATCTTGAAATCTTGTACTAATGCCTTTTGTATGAAACAGAATTGTTGTGCTAATAATTTTTTGCTTTCTATATATACAAACTGTTTTCATACATACTATACAAGAAGATGACAATGAATAAAAGCTATAACAATACCAACAACTGTACCGTAGCTTACCTCCACCAAGAATACTCTTACTTAGGTCCAAGAATGCTCTTATGGTATCATTTTATTTTCCGTATTCTCTTTTCAAATTTTTTTTTCAATGCAAATCGAGAACTTTTATTTTCGAGTATCAATCACAGCTCATCTCAGGTAACATTAGAGGTTATTCGGTCTTAGGTGCACTTGCTTAACACGGGTTCCCACTGAAAGGAATTATTGACTGTATTTTGACCGGCCTGATTTGTTTGCTTCCCCCTTTTTTCCAAAAGAGATGTCCTGGACGCCAGATGAGCATGCTCTTGTACAGCTCAAACATATTTTTCAGGGAGCATTATCGACAAATGGTGAAGAAAGAAAATTAGCCAATGAGGCCCTAGCACAAGCTAAGCAGAATAAGGAAATCGAGAATTATTTATTCACAATACTTGTAGTTGATGATCTGACCAAGCCCGAGGTACGAGCTGCCGCGGGGATAAATTTGAAGAATAGTATATTGAAGAATCGTGATTTGAATAATTTAAATCTAGATCGAACCTATCTTATGAGTCACATTATGCATGGATTGAAAAGCTGGGATCATTTAGTAAGGAATATTACCGGGAGTGTTATAAGTTCGCTTTTTGCTATATATGGATTGGAACAATGGGGGACTGCGTTGAGTGATTTATTGCAATTGGCACAGGGTAATAGTAGTAGTAATGGTGGTGGTGGTGGTAGTAGCGGCAGCAGCAATGATAGTGACAGCGGGAGGACCAAGGAAAACTCCATGCAAGAGTACAAAACACAAGAAGCTGCCATGAGCGCGCTAGCCAAGATCTGCGAGGATTCATATTTGGAGTTAGATAAAGAGATTCCTGGAGGCGAGCGACCTTTGAATTTACTAATAGCAGAGTTTCTCAAATTAATGGACCTGTCTAGTTTGAAAGTCAAGGCTTTGGCAGTCCATTGTATAAACCAATTCATTACATTGAACACACAATCTTTTCTAGTCATATTGGATCATTTTCTAACCAAGATTTTCCAATTGGCTCAGGAAACAGATAATGACAAGAGTGAGTATGGAGAGAAATTGAAAAAAAATATATGTACTTCATTCTTGTTGATATTGGAGACCAGGCCTGATAAATTGATGCCTCATGTTGAAGGGGTAATTCACTATTGTATTCATTTGATGCAGATTGAACAAGATTTAGAAGTGAGTCTTGAAGCTTGTGAGTTTTTATTAGCCTTGGCTAATTCAAATGAGCTTTCAGTTGTTTTCACTCTGGATAAATTGAAAATTATTTTGCCTTTATTGTTGGACAAAATGGTATACTCTAATGATGAGATACTTTCGATTGAAATGGCTGATGAGAATGATGATGCTCATGTTATGGATAAAGACCAGGATATCAAGCCTACAAACGCTAAAACAAAAGAAGCGAGAACAATGGCAACGGCAACAGCAACGATGTCAGATAAGAACAAGAAGAATGGCGATAACAATGAGGTTGAAGAAGGTAGAGTAGTAGTAGTAGAAGAAGAGGAAGACGATGACGATGACGACGACGACGACGACGATGATGATGATGATGATGGCGACTTGAGTCATTGGAGTTTGAGAAAATGCTCAGCAGCTACATTAGACTCATTGAGCGAGAAACTACCACAGGAAGTATTACTAGTAGCATTACCAATTTTGCAGGAGAAAATAGTCTCGGAACATTGGCCAACTAGGGAAGCTGCTATTTTAGCTTTTGGTGCAATGAGTGTCAGCTTTACTAAATTAGCCAGTGATAAGCTACCTCAATTAGTACCCTTCTTAGTTGATAGATTACAAGATGAACAGCCTAGAGTGCGCCAAATGACATGCTGGACTTTGTCACGTTATGCAGCATGGGTCAGTATCGAGGCACATGAAGGTGGCGAGTATGCCAATTATTTCCAGCCTACTTTCCAATCGATTGTTTCTTGTGTATTGGATCTGAAGAAAGTTGTACAAGAAGCCGCGTGTTCTGCACTTGCTTCGTTTATTGAGGAAAGTGATGCTTCATTAATTGTATTCTACCTTGAGCCCTTATTGCAGCAATTTGCCAAATGTTTCCAAATGTATCAAAGAAAGAATTTGATTATTTTATATGATTGTGTTCAAACATTTGTTGAGAAAATGGGATATGGCAATTTAGCTCGCGATGCCAATCATATAAATATTTTGCTACCACCTTTACTAGCAAGGTGGGAACTGTTGAAGGATGATGATACTGCATTATGGCCACTATTAGAATGTATGGCGTCAGTTGCCGCTACATTGAAAGAGTTATTTGCTCCTTATGCAGTGCCGGCTTATGAACGAGCTATGAAAATTTTATCCAATTGTATATTAATTGATCAAAATTGTCAAACTGATCCGAGTATTGATGTACCAGAGAAGGATTTCATGGTTACATCGTTAGATTTAATTGATGGATTAATTCAAGGTTTTGAATATCAATCAATAGATTTAATCCAACACAGGGATCCAGCCAATACAGATTTGCCTACTTTGTTACTTGTATGTATGGAGGATTACAACACTGATGTTCGACAATCGGCATTTGCGTTATTGGGGGACCTTGCCATTTATGCGATTGATGTTTTGAAGCCTTATTTGCATCTGATTTTCCTTATTGTTGGTAAGGAGATTACTATTCGTACGCGGGAAACGTTTGCTGCTTATAATAATGCTATCTGGGCCTTGGGAGAGATGATTATTCGATTACCTCAAGCAGAGACGAGTCAGTATTTGGAGAATTTTTTGAATTTGTTGATTCCCGTATTGAACAACCAAGATATTGAATCCACGGTTTTGGAGAATTGTGCAATTACATTAGGCAGAATAGGGTTAAAAGGAGCAGAAATTGTTGCACCGAGATTAGTCGAATTCATTCAACCTTGGTCAGAGAATTTCTTGAATCTTGAAGATAATGAAGAAAAACAGACTGGGATAAAAGGAATGATCCAAGTTATTAACTTAAATCCCGATCAAGGATTTGGTGGGTTAAATACTCAACAAGGAAGAAAACGACTTGGTAAATTTTTGGAGGTGATTGCCAATTATCAAGATTCCAGTAGCGAATTACAAAGTCTCTTTTTGGAATTGATCACCAATTTCAAGAATTTGGTAGGTGAAGAAGTATGGAATCTGCAGATTTTGAAATTTGTTGATCCATCATCGAGACAAGCTATTAGTATATAGGAGGCGACTTTTGGAGCAAAATATAGATCAATTTTAAAAGTATATAGATTCTAAAGGATACACATGTATAGTAGTCCTCATTTTTGTTACTCTTTTATTCTTCCGTGTATAGCACTTCGTTTACCAAAGTAATTGGTAGATCCCAAACACCGCTAGGTGCTTTATGTATATACTCAATTACCGTGTCCCGCCTTTCCTCATCCCCTTTGTTATCCCCTTTGTTATCCCCTTTGTTATCCCCCTTTACAATTGACATCTTCTTGCTATTACTGCTCTCCCCCGGAAACTGAGTATACTCATCAACAAAACAATTCAAATCACTTAATTTCCTGGTCAAGATTTCAGTGTTATACAAAGCAAACCAAATATAAGTGAACAACATTGCCATTAGACTATAACTCGGCACAGCAATGCTCCAATACTTGTCGGGATAATAAAAAATACCCAATTTGTGCAATATACTGGCTGGTAGTATACACCAAGCAATGTATAAAAGTAAAGCAAGGGTACTTATCACGTAGATTGTGAAACCAAGATACTCTGCTTGTGAACTATGGATATTGGATACCGTCACATCCGACTCTCTTGCTAGTCTATCCTCTTTAGTAACGCCCTGAGAGGAGCCAGGGGAATCAGAAGTGGAGGTGGAGGTGGAGGAGGTAGTGATGATGAGATCAATTTCATCTAGTGGTAGTTTCGGCGAGGATGACCTTGACCAGGCTGTACTTACTACATTGGGCTGTTGAGCCGACATCTAGATGATCAGAAAATATCCACAACTAAACAGAAAAGTAAGCAGCTGAAGCTGGAGATGAACCGAGCCAAGCTGGAGCTAAGTTATCCCTACAAAGGTTTCATTTATACAGAGATGAGTTTAATATTTTTCAATTTTTTTTTTTCACTCTTTGATTTATACCAATTGTTTTCTAGCACCTTTAAAGAACAATTGAACAATGATAATCTGCAACATTCCCATTCCAACCATCAATAAGACTTCGAATATGGAGAAGTAGTAGATCCTAGATTCGGTTGATTTCACTGTTGCTTGATTTCGGTTGTTTCTCGTCTTGTAGTATTGTAAAGTTTTAGCTAACCCATCCAATTGTCTTTCAATTTTATCAACGGTAACTTTCATATTCTCGACATGAGCCAAAGGTTTGGTATTTGGCTGGTCCGGTAAGCTTGCCTTGATATTACCACCTTTACCATTTTTGCCCTTTTTGCCATCTTCCTCTACTTCGATCTCGAAATCAACAACTTTTTCCAGATACGTCAGCATAGTATTTGAAAAACAAAACTCGTATTCACCAATAACAGTAGCTGGGAACACATAGTCTCCCTGTCTCTTTTTGGACTCCTCATAAATAACATTCGAATTAGGGTCGGTCACCACATAATCAACATCAAACGATCCTCCGCTTTGTACAGCAAAATAATACCTAATTTGTGTATTAGGATTCTCAGCAAAGACATAGAAACAGGATTTTTCTTGAGCTCCAAGAATAAAAGTAAACGCTGAACCGGAAATTAATTGGACAAAGCCTAATAGAAAAATAAGTAATGATTGGATAAACATCGCTTCTGTGGGGGGGGGGGGGGGGGGGGTGTATCAAAACAAACAAACTGCCTAAATCCTATACTTCTTTGTTCAATAAACTGAATGGTGAAAATCTTTCAAAGTTTTTGTATTCGACAGCAAAACCTTTCAAGTTACGCGTTCAAAGTTGAAAAAAAAAATCTCCAGCCGAGCGGGAGCTAATACTAGTGGGAGCTAATACTAGTGGGAGCTAGAAGTTGTATTAGCCCTATTGACTATATACTCGGTAGAGAGTAAGCGAGAATACAATTTAGAGATGACGGTTTAGGTCAAGGACTTCAATACTCATATATACAAGGACTTCCCTTTTCAACTCTACTGATCAGGATGTAAGTAAACCATTTTTCCTGAAGCATCAAACCCAACACCTCTATCCAATTTTGTGTCTCTTCTAGAAGCACCATAACGATGACCAAACTCACCAACTTTTTTCATTGTGAATCTAAATAATTTCTTATCATTTTCTCTCCTCTTACCATAAAGCACGTCAACTTTTTTACTTTCAATAATTTGTTGCTGCTTTTGCGCTTCTTCCAAATTGAACTCAGTCAAAGCTTTCAATGTCTTTGCTGCTGGCTCCAAATTTAAGACCTTAGCCGCGTCAACAGGACCAAATGGCTGGTTTTCCTCAATGGTTACAAATCTATCGGTTAAAGTCTTGTGCGGTGTAGGAATTTCGGTCAAATTATCTGCTGTTTTGTCAACTTTGAACAAGGGGAACAACCGTCCCATCACATCTGCAAATTTCTTTAAATCATTCTTAATTGTTTCCTAAAAAAAAAAAAAATAATGTTAGTATACTACTTTATAAAGAAAAAGGGTAACTTTTCTCTAAACAATGTCCTAAACATCAACGTAACTCCCCCCTCCAGATAGTTTTCTTTTTCAGTGCTTATAGTAGTAACCATTTGATTTCTGTCTTCAAGACTAATCGAATAAAAATGCAATTTCATCATGTCATTATCTAGGGGGGGGGGGGGGGGGGGAACAAAAAATTTTTGTACATACTTTTGGCGTAAACTGTTTTCGAATTGAGTCTAGTTTCAATATAGCCTCGACTCTTTGGATGTTGAGACCATATTTATGAGCAATTTCCTGAGGATGCAATTCTCTGATTGTAGCGTCTTCAACAATCTGTAGCTTTAGATATTCTGGTATCATATATGCTGTTTTAGTTAGGGTGTTTTGAGGAAATGGGTGCAAATTAGGGTCTCTATAAGATGAAGGTTGGAATTTGTTGTATTGAGGCATGATTCTAGGTATTTTGCCTTCTCCAACAACGGGCATGCCGTCGGGGACTATATAGTTGGGTTTATTGTTCTGAGGGGCATAAAAGTATTTATTTTTGTAGTAATCGCCTGTTATGTTTCTTGGACCTAGGAATTTGCGAAAGTCTTGGAGCAATTTCTTCTTGTCCATAAGTTCTCTCCTACTGGATCTTCTACCTCTGAACAAGGTACTTGAAGTTGAAAATTGTCTCTGCAAACAAGTATACCTCATTATCAATAACAGCACTAAAGGCAACACTAGCAGAAAGGCAACACCAGAACTAAGACAACACTTGAGCAATAATAAAGCAGCAGTTAAGCGACACTAGACTTGCTTTGCCAATACTTGCTTTGCTTTGCTTTGCTTTGCTTCTCGTCACTAGCTTTAGCTTAACTCTCTTTAGCACTCAAATTGGCTGGTTATGGTGAAAAATTTTCTATAATGCGATTGTCGAAAAAAATATTTCACGACATTTATTTCCAAGACACTGTTATCAAACTATTGATACCATAGTAATCAGAAGTAATCAAGATGAAGAGATGATCAAAATAGTGTGACACTATCGAGCAGAGCGAGATAGTGGAACAGCTCTGCTCGATAGTTATCAAAAGTGAAAGGTAATCAAAAATGAAAAGAGATAACCACAAATGGTCATACCAATTGCAAGACTTAGCAATTGGTCTAGTAAACATATTTTTCTTTCAAGGGTTTCATAATTTACATAAATAGTGAAACCATTCTTCAGTTTTAGATTTGATCATCAAGTCGTAAAAAGATTTTAGGCTGCGACACTATCGAGCGACACTATCGAGCGACACTATCGAGCGACACTATCGAGCGACACTATCGAGAGCGAGATAGTGGAGCAGCACTGACAAGTGACACTACTAACACTATGCTCGATAGTGTTGTAACAAGCTACTGAGTGCTGCTCTGCTCGATAGTAGAGGACACTGACTAGTGAAAAGGAGCGACAACGACGACATAGGGTGCGACGACAATCTTGTAAGTCGCAAAACTGTTCTACGACACAGACAACGATAATCATATAAAGTTGCAAAACTGTTTACAACGACAATTATGTAAGTCGCAAAAGTTGTCCACGACATCTTTATAAGTCGCAAAAACTATTTACGATAAAAGTCCCACGACATTAAAAGTGAATCGCGTAAACCCGAAATGTTTACTTTTAAAAAGCACGATAGAAAAATGATTTTGAAAATTTAGAGCTTTTGTTGCAAGCTTGAAACAAGCAAGAAAAGGTGTTTGTTGAAGTTGAATTGGCGCTGGTATTGAAAGGGATTTGTTGTTTTGGTGGGATATTTCAACTGAGCGTGCGTTTTGCGGGTGTTTGGTCTTTGTTTTTATATCTTGCCCTTTTGTTGACCATGGTTGAGGAGGTAATGACAGCTTCGCTATCGCAGCGGCATTCACAAAGTTTGGATTCGCAACAGGACCTTCACGCGTCTAATAGGTCCTTGCAGACTTACAAGACTACTACTGGCGTTTTGCGTCACCAGCTATCCCATTCAATGAGCTCCTGGAGTCAAAGGAGCAGGCGCCAGCAAAGTGAAGATGACGAAAATAATCCGTTTAAGGAAAAACACCAATTATCCCGAGAAGGTGCAAGTGGCAGCGTGGACAAGAATTTGCAGCTAAACGCAAGTAAATCATTCATACGGAACCTGAATCTTTTGAAACCATCTACGGGCGGTAACCAGGGCTCAAGCAATCCAGTTCCTACAAAATTAGAAATGGATGAGGAAACGGAGGTTTCCACGTCAATTTCGAGAACTACTCTACAAAATAGTGTGAAACACAGGCAAAACAAACAGGCACAAAAACGCGTGGCAGAGGATGAGGATGACGCAGAGACTGTGGATAAAGAGAATGACGCAGTGGCCGTGGATAATGAGGTGATAGACGACGACGACGAAGTGTCTTTAGAAGTGCTAGAAGAAATGCAGAAACTAGAAAATAGTTTTCCCATTTTAGCTACGGACTATCGTTTAATCGACAAGATTGGCGAGGGAACGTTCTCTACCGTGTACAAAGCCGAGGCACTCAATGGTCTGGTGCAACTAAACACCGACGTATGGAGATCACCCCCATTAAAGAAGTTCAAGAAAAATAACTCCTTTGCATTAAAAATGAGGAAAAAGAAAAAGAAAAACCCCATTGTTGCACTAAAGCAGATTTATGTGACATCGTCTCCTAACAGGATATTCAATGAGTTGAATCTACTTTATATGTTTACCGGAAACTCCAGAGTTGCACCATTGTTGGATGTGTTACGTCATCAAGATCAAATACTAGCGATATTGCCTTATTACCATCACTATGATTTCCGCGAGTTTTATCGTGACTTGCCAATAAAAGGAATAAAGAAATACTTGTGGGAATTATTCCAATCGCTAGAGTATGTACATGATCGAGGTGTAATCCATCGTGATCTTAAACCCACTAATTTCTTGTATGACCCATTCAAAGGAAGAGGAGTATTGGTGGATTTTGGTCTTGCCGAGAAACAGGTAATTAATTCCCCCTCGAGTAATGCTAGCCATATTACTGCTTGCCCTTGCTTGAACAACAGAGATAAGAGTAGTGGTGGTGGCAGTGGTGGCAGTGGTGCCTCTGCTGCTACCATATCTCACAAATCGATTTCGAAAAGGTTTCACGTAAAAGGAGCTTACTTAAAAACAGATAATAGACCACCAAGAAGAGCCAATAGAGCAGGAACAAGAGGTTTTAGAGCTCCTGAAGTCTTGTTCAAATGTACCAATCAAACTACTCAAATCGATGTATGGTCAGCGGGTGTAATTGGCTTATCATTTCTTACTAGAAAATTTCCACTTTTCAATTCTCCAGATGATACTGATGCCATTGTTGAATTGGCTTTGATCTTTGGGTATGATCAGCTAGTTAGATGCGCAGCATTGCACGGATGCGGATTAGAAATCTCCATGAACGAAGTAACCAATCCTGCCCATAAGGGAAATTTAATCAAAGTCTTGTACGATTTTTTGAAAAAAGAAGTCGACACTCAGGGAATACCCTCGGATAGCGTCATTTATGATACAATGGATCTATTTAGCAGTAATGGAGACAAATTTATTAAACCAAAATGGGAAGAAGTAGATGGTTTATCTATCAAAACAAGAAACGAAATGATGAATAATTATGCAACAAAGATTGAAAACTATAAGGATCATAAATATCTAATGGAGTTGTTAGGTTGTTGCTTCAAGATGGATCCAGGAAAGAGATTAACTGCTAAGCAAATATTAAAACTTCCTTTCTTTTACGAATTATCCCATTTGGATCATGAAGAGTATGAGGATGATGATGTTATATTGTGAATAAAATCAAAATTAAATAGTATTGTTAGATAAACAAAAGAAAAAGAAATAAAAATTACATATAAAGTTTAACAACGTCTTGAAACGTATTAAAGAAAAGGACACTCGTAGCATCAAAAATCAGTCTTCATCGTATAGGTCGCCACTTGAATCATCAAAACTCTCATATTCACCCTCTGTATCAAATGATTTCTGTCTTGGTCGTTTCTTCTCATTGGGAACAATACTCAATACTGCTACAGCACCTTGTCCCTTTTTTGAGCCTTTTGGCTTTTCATTCATCATCGTCTTGTTCCATTTCCTATTCAATTTATTGATCAATTCATTCTGCTGCAGAATTGCCAACTGTGTGGTATCAACCGATCCTTTGAGAAATGGTGTATCCAATCCACCATTTGATGATAGTAATGATTTCTTCAACGAGAAGTCGCTGGTATTTGGTGTTGAATAAATTTTCCAGTCTGGATTGGTTAAAGAGGAGGGTAGTGACGATGTGGATGTGGGTATGGATGAGGAAGAAAACGGTAAATTGGTGTTTACAGAATTGGTAATGATCGAAGTCTCACTTGCGTGATTTAGATCAATTTGCAAATCTTTTGAAAATGCCAATTTTCTCTTAATGTACATTGACTGTTGAATCAAATTGTTTGCTCTTAACTTTTTCAATGTGAATGTATTTCCCGTCCCATTACTACTCGGCGATTTTGTCAATACCGAAGACTGTACACTTTGTGAACCAAGTGCATTCGAACTTTCAATTGGGGATAAAAGTTCTCCTTTGGAGTTGTTACAATTATTATTGTATCCCATTGAATCTGATGTAGGACTAGCATTCAAATGATTCAAATGGACTGAATGGTTGTGGTTCAATGGAGATGTGAGTATCATCGGAGAAGGAATGGAAGTTGATGCAGTGGCATAATCGTGAAATTTGAAATTGTAATCATTCTTGAGTTGATTTCTTGAATCCTCTTTAAAACTGCGTCTTTTAGCTCGGTGTTGGTGTTGATGTTGGTGTTGATGTTGGTGTTGGAGGAGAAGGTGGTGATGGTGATGGTGGTGGTGTTGAATTGGTTTTAGCATTGATTTTATTGTAGCTGGTTGAGTACTCGTATCTGTATTAGTGGTTATAGGTTTCTTAATTATTGATGAGCTCAGCATACAATCAATTTCAGAATCGTCATCTGATATAATGGCACTTCCATTCCCAAGAATACTAGTCATTTTACGGATATGACTAGAGCCTTCGCCACTGGCGCTGCTACAGGCGCTGCTGCTAGTATTCTTATAAGTAGAAGTAGATGCATTACAAGTTGTGTGAGGAGTCATGGATAATAATGAGTGGTTAGGATTAGTCAATGAAGCAAGACTTGTTGAGCTATTGTTCCTTGTATTTTGCGATGATCTTAAATTTTCATCTAGTGAAATGATGGAGTTTCTTGGACTTCGATCAAGGCTTACGATGGACATGCTTCGTACTGAACTCGGAGTTGGTGCGATATTATTGTGTAGCTGTTGTTGATTGATGGTTGTTGCTGCTAGAACCGGAGTCGAGCTGATGTTGTTCGCAGATGTAGTGGGTGTAGTGGTACTATTAGTGGTAGTGGTGGTGGTAGTGGTAGTGGCAGTGTTTGCGGTGGTAGTGGTACTATTAGTGGTAGTGGTGGTGGTAGTGGTAGTGTTTGCGGTAGTGGTAGCGGTGGTCGCTGATTTACAGACGCCGGGCCCTTGAAACGGTAATCTTGATTGAGGTAGTTCAATCAGAGAAAGTTTGCTGATCACAAAATGGCCAGGAGATGGGCTTCTTTGTGGAGACACTTGATAAGGAGATTGCGACTTCGACAATAGGGTCAGCTTCTGTAATGATTGTCCATGGTTGAAAAAATGCAGCAGTATTGGTTGTGGTTGTTGTGGAACATTACTTATCGGTAGTTGTGGGGAGAAGGAAGAGTGGTTAGACCCAATAGAGTTCACAGATGATGATCTTTGTCTGGTAAAAGTAAACGACATGACCCTCTCTTCACACGATTGACTTGGGTTATATTTGTATTTCTATCTTCTTGTCTCGTTACCCATCCGCTCAAAGTAATGAAAAAAAACAACCCCCGGGTAAAAAAAAGGGAAAGATGTCCACTATAGGGAGCCTTGTTTGATATATGGAGTAGCGCTAAATCTCAGCTAAAGTGATCAAAGTGATTAAATAAATTCTTTTTCCACTTTTAGGGAAAAGAAAAGCAAAGCAGCAGTTTTGAAGTGATGGTCAGATGTAAATGGAAAACCAGGCTAACGATAACTTAGAACGCTTCAAGTGGAGTTGCAAGTTATGGATCTAGAGGGAGGGAGGGGAGGTTTCAAACTAATAAAGAAGGTTGGTTGGTTGGTTCTTTGTGGTCTCGGTAGTCGATGTTGAATTAAAAATGTCGTTTAGACATTTGGTAGCACTGCGCTTATTATCGGAGATGAGCTAGAGATAACGAGTAAGAAGGTCAAGAAGGTAGGTAAAGAGAGAAAGAAGGTAGGTAGAGAGAGTAAGAAGGTAGGTAGAGAGAGTAAGAAGGTAGGTAGAAAGAGTAAGAAGGTAGGTAGAGAGAGAAAGAAGGTGGGTATGTAGATGGACTATGTGCTCCACTATCTCGCTTTGGCCGTTGATACTACATACTGTTCCACTAGCTCGCTTCGCTCGCTAGTGTCATTGTCTCGCTTCGCTCGCTAGTGTCATTATCTCGCTTCGCTCGCTAGTGTCGCATTATTGACTTATAGGACAGTTTCTCAAATACTCAGCTTTACTTTTCAACACTCTAATAGATTTAAGGAATATTTCACTTGGTGGCATAGCACCAGTAGATTCAACGTTGAATATGAAATAGTCTCTTTGTCTTCCCAATTTGACTTTGCCTTCAAATTCTGGGTGTCTCAATACTTCTCTTGACACAGTATCCTTTCTAGCGTCCTCGACATATGCTTCTCCCTTGGAGTCAATACCAATTACACCCAGTGGAAAACATTTTTGGAATTTTTCAGCCAAGTCTCCCGATATTGGTTCCTTTATATCTATTACTGGTAATAGTCTATACGACGCAGTAGATACAGGTGAAAATTTGGCATGGTCTGCCCCTATACCCAAAATGCAATGTGCTCTCAATGATATTTCCTGTCCTGGTCTTAATTTGGCCAACAAGATGTCGGGGTCTGTAGGTACAACGGGGTTGTTCTTGAATTTTTCCAACTGACTTCCTTGGGGCTCAAACTTCAAATCTCGCGCATAAACATGGCTATTTTTGTACAATTCTTTGGGGTCCAAAGTTGAACTTTTCAGTGCTTGTGGGTTTTTGGTGCATGAAACATCCAAGGTCAACACTACAGTGTTATCCTCTGTATACCGGTCATTTTCGTCTATACTTTTATCTGTCCAAGTCAATGAATCGGGATCAATGTTCAATGGCACAAGACCAATCCTATGAGCTAAAACTTCGTCTTGAATTACCGAGGTATTCATAAACATATAAATTGTCTCTGCGGCAACAGAGGGAACTTCTGCAATCATAATACGACGGAAAGCATTGGCAATAGATGTGTCAATGTGTATCAAGTCAAATGTAGCTGTTCTATTTGCAAGATTGGTGATTTGGATCTCAAAAGTGTTTTTGAAATGCTCGATATTCCATTCATAGTCTCCCTGTTTCTGGTGTCCGGGAAAATCCGTCGACGCGGTATTGGTAACTCGGTTATATTCTATCCCTACAATTTTATTGTCTGACATCAGAAAAGATGAAAAAAGAGAGGAAACAGACTTTGACTCGATGGTGATGAGACAACTCTCACACTGAAGATAATAATGACGATGATAATGACGAGATGAGATGAGATGAGATGAGATTTGAAAAAAGTGAAAAATCCATCGCTTGTAGAGATGATGCTACCAAATGGATGCTACCAGTCCCATCGAGCAGAGCGAGATAGTGGAGCACGCTAGCTCTTGACAATATCGACGCTATCGACGCTATCGACGCTATCGAGCAGAGCGAGATAGTGGAGCACGATAGCTGTTGACAATATCGACGCTAGCTGTTAACAGTATCCCGCTTCGCTCGATAGTGGAGCACGCTAGCTGTTGACAATATCGACGCTAGTTGTTAACAGTATCCCGCTTCGCTCGATAGTGGTGCACAATAGCTCTTGACACTAGCTGTTAACAATATCTCGCTTCGCTCGATAGTGGAGCATACTAGCTCTTAACAATATCTCGCTTCGCTCGATAGTGGAGCATACTAGCTCTTAACAATATCTCGCTTCGCTCGATAGTGGAGCACGCTAGCTGTTGACAATATCGACGCTAGTTGTTAACAGTATCTCGCTTCGCTCGATAGTGGAGCATACTAGCTCTTAACAATATCTCGCTTCGCTCAATAGTGGAGCACTTCAAAAAACAACTTCGTGAGGCAAGACACGAAAAGATTCGCCGCCATTTTCTCTTACAGTCCTTCTGTCCTTGTCCAAGGGTAAAGCTTTTCTCATGTCGAAAGCGTCAATATCGTCATTTTCGTCGCTAGAGTCAAGCTTGCTGCGAATCGATGGAATTTGCTTTTTCGATTTACTGTAATAGCCAATAACCCGTCGATACACGGCGTAGTCCAACTTTTCGTACAATTTTCTTGCTAATTGGTTAGTCACCTTAACAAACAAATCAATGAATAAAGTTTGCTGGACCTCGCTGATATTTTCTAGTGCAAGACATAATTTCGACGCAAGCGAAATACGTCTATATTGATCCAGAATCGTTACTGCAGTTATATGTGTGTGATACTCGAGTTTAGAAAGCTGTCCTTCTGTCTTAGCCATCATATACCCGCTTATCTCTTGCTCATTCTCATCTCCTTCATCAGACTTGCCATGGTGCTCTGTAGACTTATAAAACAAATTTGGCCAGTCAATGAGATATTGTGAATAAAATGAAATGTTGAAATTTTCCGTTAATGGATCGAGATTTATCGTATTAATCGTGAGTAGATCCTCTAGCTGAAACGGCTTTATAGATGTCATGGCATAAATGTATAAGTCAAAACCAACAGTGTTACTCCCCTCTCTCTCTATATAAATATCTCTTTTTCTCAATAGATACCGTTGACAAGTCTACTTCTTCTTCTTCTTCTTCTTCTTCTCTCGGTCGATACCTGGCGCCAGGTTTTTTTTTCATTCCATCGCCAAATCAACGAAGTGCGAATGAAAAAAAAAATAGGGCAATTTTTTTTTTAACAAGAGAATCTTTTTCCAATAAGGAATTGGAATTTCGATAAGTACAAGTGTAGCCATGTACGGAGGACCACAGCCAACTGAAGAGCAAAACAAGTTACAGGAAAAGTACGCATACGATACGCTAAAATTTGCAGGTATCGTTGCGGGGATCCTCTGGGCCAGTCCCCACCTTTTCCATCTCATTCAAAAGCAATTCAAATAGACAAAGGCTCAACAGCGACACTATCGAGCAGAGCGAGATAGTGGAGCACACTAGCTACCGCTGACACCATCGACATTTCTGATGAAGGGGTTTGGTTGCATCTTGAAAAAGTTGTATATATATCTATGTATCCATTAATAAACAAAATTCATTTTTACCTGCCTTCATTTTTACGGTTTCATAACTTTTACGGTTCCTTCATTTTTACGGTTCCTTCATTTTTACGGTTCCTTCATTTTTACGTTCCTTCATTTTTACGGTTCCTTCATTTTTGGTTCTAATCACTCTCTATATCAACTAATCGTTCACGAAGTTGAGCAATCTTGCTAGCCAAGGCTAGATATTCCATACGCTCACTGATCTTTGCAGCTGCCAGCAACGCATCATCGCTTTTAATCAATTTAGCAATACTAAACGCTTTGTTCAATTTCTGTTCCTTACATGCTTCGGCAAATAGTTTCAAGAGCGATTTGTCAAACATCACAGCATATTGATTCAATTTCTCCATCATCTTGTCTTCATCCACCATCTCATCCTCATCCGCATCCTCATCGACTTTGTTGCTCAAAGTATCGTTGAGTAGTTTGCCCATAGTTATTGCTCGTAAAAACTCCTCTTCACAACCATCTTCCTCTTGTTTAAGCTTTATAGGGATCTCAACATCGATTTCAACGGGTAATGGCAATGGGAAGCCCGGAAATTGACAGTTTTTCAAAATTAAACAGTTTAGCGAATCATTCATGAGTCCCAATGGCCAGCATGACCAATTCTTTTTATTGTCATTTGATCCATACTCAGTAATGGCATTGGTGCAGTTGAGTATGGGGATCCATTTCGCATTTCCTGGTTGTCTCCATGATTGTAGGACTAGTAATGTATCATCTGCTCCACCAACTAAACAAGGATCATTGTAGTCATTGAAAAATAGCCCCTTTATCAATGGCCGATTATTTCCTTCTCTTAATGGGAGGGTACAGTCTTGTTGAATAAATTTGTAGTCTTGGGCAATATCTATAATCGAATACGAGTAAACATCAGTTGAAACTTGATTGACCATAAAGATATTGAAGCTGGATGTTGCAGAAGCCAATGCCGCAACAGGATCAATTCTCATCATATTCAAACATACACCAAATTGATTGAAAAATCTCAAGTTACCCAAATTGGTACCAACAACAATAGTATTGGAATTTGATTTTAGATTAGTAATGCATATACTTGTGAGGTATTCATCTTTGAGCAATGGTAATTGCCGTTCCCATGAATCGTTGGACCCTGCATCATTGTGTGACTTGTAATATATCAACCCTTTCGAACTATCTCCTAATAGTATACTCTTATGATTCATTGATGCAAGATCAAAGTTTTGGTATTCGGAGAAATGATACTCACTGTTTAAGGATCTATCAAAGAAAGACACAGTGATGCTATTACTTGCTCCTGGCTCTTTATTTATTACAATCCATGCGTATCCTATGTTGTTCATTGTAAGGTATCTTCTATCCACTAAATCTCCCTTGTTGACAAAGGGAGTTGACCCTGGTGAATAAGGAACTATTTTGCTATGAGGAACAATTGTGGTTCTTGAGTGAAACTCACTTGGCGTAGCAGACTTGTGCTTTTTATAGTGGCCACGAAACAAGCCATTGGTTCGGTAATTAGTATCATTATCCAATATGGAATCATCAACATCAATTCCCTCGTCGTCGTCTTCATTCTTCTCATTCTCATTCTCCCTCTCCCTCTCCCTCTCCCTCTCCCTCTCATTCTCCTCGTCTTCCTCGTCCAAATCCTCATCATCCTCATGCTGTCGTTTAAACCCATTTTTCTCTCGTTTTTCATTCTCCTTTATTAAATTATCAATCTCTCTTTGATTATCACCCAAAAAATCATCACCATCACTCTCTTCCAAATCATCTATAAATAAACTAGCTGCACGTTTACGATGGCTTTCATTGTCAGGAATAACACTTTTCAAAAGAAGCACATCTCCATGAGTACTACCAATTAGCAAATCGGTTTTGTTGTGCCATTCGATATTTAATGGCAATCCGTCGTATTTGAACTCAAAGTCATCCAGATGCAAAACTTTTCCTGATTCAAAATCATAGATTATGAAATCATTCAATGTCAATATGACCAAGTTGTTCCCATATAATTTGAAATCCACAATCCTTCCGTCACTTTTGAAGCTTTTGCATTTTGTCCAGTTTTCTCTTTCGTACACTTGCACTTCGTTATTGACCCCGGGGACCAATAAGAAATTACCGTTACTCGACCATTGAGTCTTTGTTGTATACAATTCATCACGATGTTCTTCCATATAATCAACTTCATCCATTGATGTATTGATCTTTCTAGAAATAACGTTTTCCAAGGTATGATTCAAATTCAACTCTTCATTGAAAACCGAATATATCTGAACAGAGCCATTTGATAAACTAACGCTCAGCAATTCCCCAGCTTGATCGTAAGCAATGTTTACCACTTGATCGGGCAAATTGACAATCTTTACAAATGAGTTAGAATTAGGATCCTTTTCCTTTTCCTTTTCCTCTTTCTCTTTCTCTTTCTCTTTCTCCCCTTGTAGATCAATGACTATCAATTTGTCATCGTCACCACCACACAATATCCTATTACCCAGATTTATGTACGCTGAATCACGTAGTGCCAACTCCGATCGATATTTATCACCGAGTGATTCATGTTTGATAAGATCAATGATTTCCAACTTCCCTTCTGTTGTGGTTAGCGCCAATTTGTCGCCGTAAATTGAAACCGAGGTAAGATTGGATAAACAGTCAATAGATACTGGCTGCGAGTCCATATCTTTCAAATTGAGTAGTTTAATTATACCATTACTATTAGCGATAATTAAACGATCTAATTGTAAATGATAATAAACAAACGAGTTCCCATCAGGAAATTGGGATATATTTTTGAAGGACATTAAAAGATCAAAACAACAGCAATTAAACAACACCTGTCTACCAAAGTCAACCGACCAAATCCAAGCGATACAGTGCCAATTTCCAGCTTTTATATATATACCCTTTTCACTTCAATACTACAAATAAATCCTTTAATTGAAAAAAAAAAAGAAAAAAAAAAAAAAAAAAAAAAAAAAAAAAAAAAAAAATCAGAGCCGTGGCACGATGAAAAATCATCTCCCATTTAACGCGTTTTGACGCGTTAAATGGGGTCCCCTGGACGCGTGTAAGTCTACATCATCCCTCGACCAAATAGACCAATGTAATCCTACAAATGCTTTATATAAATTCTGTAAATTCTCCCTAAGCTTTTGGGGGTTTATTGATATAGAAAACTCTATGGCCATCGCGCTTCGCCATAAATTTTTCGCACAAATCTAATTTTTCAGTCACGTGATTGACATTATCGCTCTACTATCGCTCTACTATCGCTCTACTATCGTTCTACTATCGAGCAAAGCGAGATAGTAGAGCAATAGTGTCACTGGTCAATAAGCAATAGGGTCACTGGTCAATAAGCAATAGTGTCACTGGTCAATAAGCAATAGTGTCACTGGTCAATAAGCAATAGTGTCACTGGTCAATGTGCTCTACTCTTTCGCTCTGACACTATCTTGCTTTGCTCGATAGTAGAGCAATAGTGTCACTGGTCAATGTGCTCTACTCTTTTGCTCTGCTCGATAGTGGACAGGCTCTCCAACGCTGCTCCATAATCTATTTACACCGCCGCCCTAGCTCCAGCTGATACACACCCTCTCCAACGCTGCTCCATAATCTGGTTGTACCAGCGTCGTTTTCGACTCCTACTGGTGTTTACCAACTCAGCTATATAATCTATTTACACCACCGCCTCAACTCCAACTTTTACTTACCCTCTTTCAACTCTATTCCATAATCCAATTGCATCTCCTTTTCCAGCTCTACCGTTTAAATTTCACATAATCCTCCCTCACCACCATTATCCTTTTCACCACCATCTTTTCTATTCAATCTATGTAAATGCGAGCAATAGCGGAGTCAAAAACGGCGCTAGTGCCCCTTCTATTATCGACACTATCTACACTATCGTCACTATCGAGCAGAGCGAGATAGTGGAGCACACTAGGTGCTACGGATACTAGCTGCTACCTACACTAGGTGCCAGAAAGCACTTGAATAAAATCGATACAGTAGGAATGTATTAGTCACTTTCTTAATACTCTATTCCAGCTTGTGTTTATAATTAGTCAAGTTTATTAAAGTGATGAGAATTTTGTCGAAAAACTAAAAGAGTGAGTGAGATAGCACGAGAAATAAGATATAGGATAAGAGGATATAAGGGTAAGAGGATAAGAGGATAAGAGGATATAAGGGTAAGAGGATAAGAGGATAAGAGGATAAGAGGATATAAGGGTAAGAGGATAAGAGGATAAGAGGATATAAGGGTAAGAGGGTATAAGGGTAAGAGGGTATAGGAGCAAGAGGATAAGAGGATATAGGAGCAAGAGGATAAGAGGATATAGGAGCAAGAGGATAAGAGGATAGGATATAAGGGTAAGAGGTACGAGATACGCTACTATCTAGTATGGTTTTTTCTCTCTGTAAATATTCAACTCTGGAAAAAAGGTGATAAAGTAATAAATTACAAAGCAACAGAAAAAACAACAGGAAAAGAGACAGGACAAGTGATGCTCCACTATCGAGCGACACTATCGAGCCGAGCGAGATAGTGGAGTACACTGACATTACCTCGCTCTGCTCGATAAAGGAGCAACATATTGTAGCTTGTTACAACACTTGGTTTTTGTTACAACACTATCTCGCTCTGCTCGATAGTGTCGATAGTGTTGTAACAAGCTACTGAGTGTTGGTCGATAGTGTTGCTCGATAGTGTTACTCGATAGTGTTGTGAATTTGCGCGCTATAGGAAAAGCAAAAGTTAAGAGGAGGGACTTACGCTTATGGAACATGTGAATCTAGTTTTTTGCTTATGATAAATAATGCAAATTAATGAGGCATAAAAACCATCTTCTTCATACTCCTGTTTCTCCTTTATTTCTTTAGCTCCATTGTGTTTTGCACAATCAGAGGAGCCAAAGGGCACCTTTAGTCGCTTTCTCTAGTCTCCACTTTACTGTTGGTAGCAGCTACAAAGTATTGCTCCACTATCGAGCAACACTATCGAGCACGCTATCGAGCAACACTTTGTAGCTTGTCACAACACTATCGAGCACGCTATCGAGCAACACTTTGTAGCTTGTCACAACACTATCGAGCACGCTATCGAGCAACACTTTGTAGCTTGTCACAACACTTTGTAGCTTGTCACAACACTTTGTAGCTTGTCACAACACTATCGAGTAACACTATCTCGCTCTGCTCGATAGTGTTACTCGTGTCTTGCTTTGTTGTTTCATATTTATGCATTAACCCTCAGAAATAAATGCCGCAATTATACCTAGAGAGGGCTTCAGTCTGTTACGTCAACATGCTTGATGATAAATAAAACTTTACAACCAATGTAATCATCCTCTTGTCTCCTATCCCCTCTTCCTACTTCCTCTTCCTACTTCCTCTTCCCATCTCTCTCTTTCACTTGGTGAGAATAAATAAAATCCCTCACTAAGAAAAAGATGCAAAAATTTCACAACTTAAGTGGCTTAGATCTTTAGCCGCTTAAGCAGTCCCATGATATCCAACAAAATCACCAATATTGCAAAAAGGATGCAATCAAACCCGTGTGTAGCATCTAAAGCATACACAGTAAAGCATCTAAAGCATACAGATAATAGCAGAAGCTAGTCAGTGTGCTCCACTATCGCGCTTTGCTCGATAGTGGAGAGGAAAGAACCCAAATTTGAGGGATTATTTCATAAAAAAAGACTCTGTTTCTCAAGTTGTGTGTTCTACTTTCGTCTCAACCAAAACAAACCAAAAAAAAATAGCTGTATCGATAGGAGAATCTACGGCGGTCCATGAAAAAGACAATATCAATTGCATTACTCGAGTGAAAAATGGTTTTGTAAAGCACAGACGTCTCATCCTCTCAGTATACACACACACATATATATATATATATGTCTATAATTTATTGCAAATTCATATCATAGCTCTGATTCTCTGTTGCGTAATAAGGTGAAGTTTGGTAGACAAACCATGTCGCTTATTAAAAAAGCTGATGATGATTTGACATCCATCAAGAATGATCAAATGAATTCGTTTACTACTAATGCAGATGATATCTATGCGTGTGAAATAGAAGAGAATCACCACAGAAACAACAATGAGGACGAAAACGAAAATAGCGTTCACGAGGAAACAAGTCTCGAGGAAGATGGAAATAATAACAATAATGATGAAATCGAGTCATCTCTGAGACCACCCGCCAAAAAGCAACAACAACAACAACAACAACAACAACAACAACCATGGAGAGAAATTTTTATCCTATCCTTTTCATCTCTTGGTGCTATTTACGGAGACTTGGGCACTTCACCATTGTATGTACTCAACTCAATCAAATACCCACAAAGTCCACCAAATAAAACCGATATATATGGTTCTGTTTCTATTATATTTTACTTATTCACCTTCATTGTCATTTTCAAATACATATGTATTGTCCTTATACTTGGACCCAACAACGGTGAAGGCGGGCAAGTTGCCATATATGCCAAACTTGCAAGACATTTGAATATTGGACCCAAAGGTGTAACTATCCCAGGTGGACCAAAAGAAGAAATGCTGGATTTGCAGATCTTGACTAAACAAAATACTGCAATGTCCTCCTCCTCCTCCATCATCAATACGGTTTCTTCAAGAATCGAATTGATTAAATACCACCCTATGATGATCAAGTTTATACAGTGGTTTATATTGTTTGCTTGTTTTCTTGGTTGCTCATTAGTCATGAGTGATGGGTTATTGACCCCAACGACTTCAGTATTGAGTTCAATTGGCGGAATAGAAGTTGCTGTTCCATCATTTACCGATGTTCTTGCTGTATCAGAAGTAATATTGATTTTGTTATTCATCATACAACAATTCGGGTCAAGCAAGATAAGCTTTTTATTTGCTCCCATAATCTTTATTTGGTTGCTTGGTTTGATAATATGTGGGATTTACAATATTGTAAAATATCATCCTGAGATATTTGCTGCCTTATCACCTTACTATGCTATTGCGTTATTGAGAAATGGGGGGATTGACGTGTTTTCGGGTGCAATGTTGGCTATTACTGGTACAGAGGCCATGTTTGCCGATGTAGGGCATTTCGGTAAGTTACCAATACAATTGACCTTGGGAGGATTTGTTTATCCGGCATTGATCTTGTGCTATTTGGGTCAAGGAGCTTATCTTGTGAAACACCCAGAGGCAATCACAAATCCATTTTTTTTATCAATACCTGGTGGTACAAACTCAGCTACATATTGGGTAATGTTTGTCTTGGCAACATTAGCAACCATTATCGCATCCCAAGCTTTGATACTTTCCGTGTTCAGTATCATTTCTCAATTGATTAATTTGGAATGCTTTCCCAAGCTCAAGATTGTCCATGTATCATCTCATTATTCGGGTAAAGTATATATTCCAACAATGAATTGGATATTAATGATTGGGGTAATATGCACCACGGCCGGATTCCAAAATAGCAATAACGTCACAGCAGCTTATGGTTTAGGAATATCCTTAGATTTTATTGTCACTTCATTCTTGATTATCATTTGCATGTTGTACGTTTACAACGCAAACGTTATATGGCCCATCTTATTTTGTTTAGTCTTTGTTCCACTTGAGCTATGCTTCGTCATTTCAAATATGAAAAAAGTACCTCATGGAGCTTGGTTTCCGTTGGTAATGGCAGGCTTGTTCTTTTTTTTTCTTGCAGTGTGGAGATGGGCTAGATCCAAGAAAGTGAACGAGGAGTATGACCGACGGGTTCGTATTGGTGAACTATTCCCATTCTATGCTGCAAACTCAACTACCATAATGGATTTGACCACCATCACACCTCAGGTGAGGAATAGCCAATTAACAACACAGTACAATCAAGACGATGTCAATTCCAAGTTTGGTGTTTTTCTATTACAAAAACACCATGGTATTGGGTTTATGTATATCAATTTTTCAGTACTAGCAGGGAGTCCCAATACTTTGCCTCGCCTATATGAAAAACTAGTAACATCGTTTGTTTCCATTCCTTCAAATTTCATGTTTGTGTGCATAAAAGTTGTTTCGATACCTTATGTTGAAAATAATGAAGATCGAATACTCGTGGCGCCAATGAGATTATCCGGCCATTATAAATGTATAATAAGGTTTGGATTCATGGAGGATATTCGAATCACGCATGACTTGAGATATGCAGTTATGCGCCATATACCACAGCTAGCACTAATGTCCAATGATCAGCTTTCCGCAATTCCAAATTTGCATTTTTTCGAAAATGGGTTAATACAATGTCATGGGTTTGAACAATGTACTAATAGTAGTAGCCAATGGAAAATAATCCATTTAGTAAGAAAGGTAATTTGGTTAATTCGAATGTTGGTGATCAATCATTTCTTCAGCCCCATATTCCTAATGACTCAGGAATATGGTAGTTTTTTGGAATGCGATGATGAGAAACAAGAGCTGGATAATAAGGTCTTTTTAGGTGGCATTACTCGCATCTAGATTAGGGGGGGGGGAAGGGAAGGGAAAAGAAGGGGCACTTTTTATATATGTATATATTTCTCAAACTATATGTCAAAAAAGTTTCCGCTCAAGCCCATTCAGGTTTAGCTTCTTTTCTTCCTCTGCCACCTCTTCCTCTTCCTCTTCCCCTTCCTCTATTTCTACCTCTACCTCCCCTGCCACCTGGAGCTCCAGCTTCACCAAATGTATCCATATTCATGTTCTTTTCATCAACCCATCTCATTTCGCCACGATCACCATTCCTACTCCGATTTTCAGTGGCGGATGAAGAAATTGTGTCAAAGAATGATGTTTGTTTATCATATGTTGTAGGCTTAACAACACCTTCATTATCACCATCATCATGCTCCTTGTCTTGTCCATTTTCCTGTTGCTGTCCTGGTTTGTGATACGCCTTTTTTTGGAATCTCAGATTGGCCTTTTCGAAATCAAAATCCTCATCAAAAGAAGGGGTTGTTGTTGAGTTCGATTGCCAGTTTGACCGCCTTGCATTATTACGTCTTCCAAAACCAAAAAAAGACGAGCCCTCTTTCACGGAATGATCTTCTGCCGTTTTTGATAATGATGGCGTATCACGAGGTTGTGCATCAGCAACTTCGTTTTCATCCGTCTTTGTTGCAACCTGACCCAGCTCGGCAGTAGTCTTTGTAGGTTCTGGTTGTTGTTTTGGTGGAGAATATGGATGATCAGTAGGCGCTGCCGTCTCTATAGGTTGTGATGCAGTAGGTGCCGGTTGTGGAGGCCGAGGAGCTGCATTTGGGGAAGTGTCTTGACTTGGATACTGTTCGGTCTTTGTAGTTTGTGATGGATATTGCTGTTGCTGTTGCTGTTGCTGTTGCTGTTGCTGTTGTTGCTGGGTGGGAGTTGGACCCTGACTGAACCCTTGGTGGTGTTGCTGTTGCTGCTGTGGAGGAGGAGGGGGTGGTTGAAAGACCGTCATTGGAGGTGGCTGAGGATGATGATACAACACGGGTTTGACCTCCTCAATAGGAATATCCAAAACACTCAAGTCCTTGACATCACTACCCCTGAAAACGACATATTCATAAACATCATTTCCTGGTGGAACTTCTAAATGTGGTTGTCCTACAACAGCTAATCTCCCCTCGGTACCAAACATTCGTACTGATTTCAAGGCCACCGTAGCATCTTCAGCATTGATACTCTCTAATAAACCAACATATCTCAATCCTTTGTTGGAAATGAGCGAGATTGTCTTTCCTATGTACTGTGACATGAACGAATCCCCAATACTTCAATTGGATTCTAAAGGGGACGGTGTTGGATTTGCCTGCTCTTCCTTTTCGTTCTTTTTTTTTTTTCACTGTTGAAAAATGGCAACTGCACGACTTTTACTAACAGAGCCGAAGGTACCAGGAGACCCATAGGCACCAGCAGAGCCGTAGGCGATGCTGGTGAAATAGAGTTGTAGGCACCAACAGAGCCGAAGGTGATGCTGGTGAAATAGAGTTGTAGGCACCAACAGAGCCGAAGGTGATGCTGGTGAAATAGAGTTGTAGGCACCAACAGAGCCGAAGGTGATGCTGGTGAAATAGAGTTGTAGGCACCAACAGAGCCGAAGGTGATGCTGGTGAAATAGAGTTGTAGGCACCAACAGAGCCGAAGGTGATGCTGGTGAAATAGAGTTGTAGGTACCAACAGAGCCGAAGGTGATGCTGGTGAAATAGAGTTGTAGGTACCATCAGAGCCGAAGGTGATTTGGTAGTAATGGAGAATTAATAGAGCTGTACGCGATTTGGTAGTAATAGAGAATTGACAGAGCTAATGGCGATGCTGGTGAAATAGAGTAAAGCTGTAGGCGATTTGATAGAGCTGTAGACAATTTGATAGAGCTGTAGGCGATTTGGTAGTAATGGAGAATAAGGTGATAACATATTCGAGCACTGGCATCGTCTTCAACTTTGCTATTCTATCGAGCAGAGCGAGATAGTGTTGTAACAAACTACAAAGTGTCGGTGGCAGCTATAAAGTGTTGCTACAAAGTGTTGCTAATATGCTCCATTATCTCGCTCTGCTCCACTAGTTTCTACACTTCTATTCAACTAGTTTCGCTCTATTAGGCTAGCTAGTCAGTGTTGCTCCACTCACTCGCACTGCTCGATAGTATCGATAATATTGGTGACAGTCAGTGTTGCTTAACAGTGCTGCTCCACTATCTCGCTCCGCTCGATAGTGTTGCTCGATAGTGTCGCTCGATAGTGTCGATTGGAAATCGAAAAACGAGTACTTTTTTTCATTTTTACCTCTTTTTTAAATTTGACCCTCGTAAATGTTTTTTTTTTTAGTGAAAAGTTCCCAAAATGGTAGTAGTGCCAATTTGGGAACAAAATTGCTTAAAATTTTTAGATAGTTTTTCAATGACAAATTTATCAATTTTTACTCTTTTTTGGTATTCTTTTTCCCGACACTATTGAGCGACACTATCGACACTTTGTAGCGATACTAGTAATGACACTATCGAGCAAAGTGAAATAGTGGAGAAACACCTAGTAGCTTGTTACGACACTATCGAGCAGAGCGAGATAGTGTCATAAGGCAGTAAATGAGTGGTAGTAGCTAAAGTTGCAGTCAAATAAGTCGCAGTAAAAAGTAAGTGGTAGTGCTCTAATGCAGTGGCTCAGTGATATTGCTAAGTGATATTGCTCAGTGATATTGCTCAGTGATATTGCTAAGTGATATTGCTCAGTGATATTCTAAGTGATATTGCTCTGTGGTTAGTGATTACTGCTGCTCCACTATCTCGCTTCGCTCGATAGTGTCGATAGTGTCGATAGTGTCGATAGTATCCTAAAACGGCAACTCTTTCTGCGGCTCAAACAGATTCTCTTTTTTTCCTTTTGGCCTTTTTGAAAAAAGACTACAAGAGTCAAGGTATACAAATAAAGAGTAAGATTACCAAGATAGACAAGTATGGGTGACCCGTTGGCCGATTTCACCAATTTGTCTCAAGATGAGTTTGAACCTGAGCAGTATGTAAACTCTCAAAATCAAGAAACGCAGCAAGAAGAAGAGGCACAACAAGCACAACAAGCCGAAGAAGATATAGAGTTACCCCAAGATCATGAATTACTTGAAGCTGCCGAGTATCCACAGAGGACCGCTGAAGATGATAATGGAACGAGTGGTTATGCATCTCGCGTAGATGATCAACAGGAAGAGCAGGTCCCTAGCTCCGTACAGGTAGACGAGAAGGTGAAGAAAGAGGATGAGCATCAAGAGGAGGAAGATGAGCATCAAGAAGATGTCGATGAGGAGGAAGTCATCAAGTCTCTAAAAGCTAAGAAGCTCGATGAGAATCAAATTGAACACACGCAAAAGAAGCTAATTAGAAAACCTAAACCTCCCATTCATCAAGTTGAAGAAATGGAGCAAGACTATGATGATTTCCCCTCTAGCGAAAAGCCAGCAGACAGCCGTGAACCAAGTCAAAGGAAAAGAATGGAACTAGAAGAAAGGATGACAGCAGCTATGACGAAAGTGAGCACTAGGAGGAAAAGAGTAGACGAAGACGATTTAGAGCAAATTGACGACAAAAGAGTACAAGACCTTAAGGACGAAATGATTGCAGCAGCCAATGCCGACGTGGAGAAGAACATAAGAGGAGAAATAGCTACTGAAAAATTGAAGATGTTGGACGTGGTAATGAACGTTTTATCGAGAGCTGATATGGCGATAGCAATATTGGATAACAACTTGTTGGACGCAATTAGGACATGGCTTGAACCATTACCCGATGCCAGTATGCCCGCTTATCAAATTCAAAAAGACCTTATATCAGCCTTGGAAAATTTACCCATAAAAACGGAACATTTGACAGCTTCAAGTATAGGTAAGGTTCTTGTGTTTTACCAAAGATCCAAAAGAACAGAACCACAATTGAAAAAAATCGTAGACAGATTGATTGGAGATTGGACAAGACCGCTTTTGAACAAATCTGATTCTTATAGGGACAGAACAATTCAGTTTGGTGAATACAATAAAACAAGATTTGCAAATCAACTATCGAGACCAAGTAAAAAGAAAGAGAGCAAAACATTGTACGAACAAAATGCAGAAAGGAGGAAAAGAGCAGCTATTCCAACTGCAAGAACTGCAGCTTACAAAATCGCTCCAAGAGTCGATAAGAGTTTATTAATGAGACAAGCTGGTAGAGGTGCTGGTTATAATGAGGGATTCAAGAAATTGAACCAAAAATTATCCACAATGAGTACCAAAAGAAAAGCTGTTAAAAAAGGTGGTCCATCTATTGAAGGCAGGGATTTGAGTATTTAGAGTCAAAGAAAAATGAGCTAAATAGGAACTTCTAATTGTTTGCATAATCTCTTTCACATAAATAGAGAAGGAGAGAAGGAGAGAGGGAGACAAAAGAGAAACACTCACCCCCTCTCTTTCTCTCTCTCTCTTTCCCAGAGCTGTTTAAACAATGCTAATTTTTCCTCATTTCATTATATATATTGATTAAATGGAGTATAAAATTACATGCAAGCAATAAACCACCAAACCCATGTGCTTATGATCTTGGTTTTTCCTTCTTTTCCTTCCATAAAGCCAATAATGAGACACCAGAGACTTTGACAACCTTGAATCTGACACCTGGAATATCACCCTTAGCTTTACCTCTTCTACCGAAACCGGCTAAAAGAACTTCATCGTTTTCGTCGACAAAATTTAAACAACCGTCATTTGGCACGAAGGCAGTAACTCTCTTACCGTTCTTGATTAATTGAACTCTGACACATTTTCTAATAGCTGAGTTTGGTTGTTTTGACTCGACACCGATTTTTTCCAAAACAATTCCCTTAGCGTGAGATGAGCCTCCAAATGGTGAAGACTTAAATGCTGTTCCCAATAATCTGGCCTTATAAGCCTGATCTGCCCACCTGTTGTTTCTTCTGTGAACTCTCAACTTTCTGGCGGAGTTAAGTCCTCTTGGTTTACCTTTTCCCATACTTGTATTATCTTGATATCTAGTTGACGAATTGAAGCAAGTGAAAGGTTCCAGAGTCTGAAAAAAAAATTAAAGAAAAATTTGTATGCGTTTGCTTTGTGTATACATGTGGTAGCGTAGTATAGATAATTACTCTATGTCAGATGGCCTCATTCTATATTGTGGGCGTGCTTTGATTTTTGTATGGTGGGCGGGAGGGGCGCGCGCCGCCGACTGCCATTTTTTTCTTTTTTCTTTGATAGAGGGTATTACCCTAGTAACAATACAAGACACGTGATATACAAAACCAGATTTTAGGGAGATTTGTTTGTTATTGTTCCCCCTCTCTTACTCTCTTACTCTCTTCCCTCTCCTCACTCTCCTCACTCTCCTCACTCTTACTCTATCTCTTCTCTCTCCCAAACCATAAAGGTCTTAGATTGTTTTACTTAAATTGTTTTACTTAAATTGTTTTTCTTAAATTGTTTTACTTAGATTGTTTTACTAAAATTGTTTTACTTAGATTGTTTTACTTGGATTGTTTTATTATATGCTGTAGGCTACTTGGTATTACACGCTACATGTTACTTGTGACTATATGCTAGATGCTACTTGTCCAAGTTTAACCCATTAAGTTGGTCGTCCAACTTTGCCCTCCTCTCCTTCTTACGTCTTGCGTTTCTTGACTTTTCGTCATTTGCATGTTTTTGACCAATATAATCATTTAGTGTTTCCTCATCTTGATAAACCAATTCATCAAAATTACCTCTGTCAACATTGCTTCCATAAGAAAATTCGTTTTCAGGCTCTTTTAGAATGTCTCTTATTGACTCATTAATTAATAGCTGACTATGCAATCCAAAGCTGAAACACCATTTCAAAAATCTTAATCTGATATAAAGATACCATGTATTGATTTTGAGCAGTTTATATTTTGACAATTTTATACTTGTAGTGTCTGTTGTAGAATCCAAAAGTTCAATACCCTCCGTTGTTCTCTTATATACCTGATCTCTCTTCGCCTTATTTGTGTATATATCAATAGTGTTCAAAATGTTTCTAAACACTGAACTCACTTGCTTTTTGTCCTTTTTGGAAACTTTCTTTGATGACATATTGAGTAGTCTCAGTAATATCGTCTTCAACGATTCTTGTTCGTAGTATGGTGCATTGATATTATAATCAGGATCATCATCACCATCATCATCTGCTGCTGCTGCTGCTGCTGCTGCACCTTCTCCCCCGCCTACTCCCCCATAATCATACAACTCATAAATCACACCAATACTTCTACCAGCTGCTTTGGCAATATCTCTATTCTCATCATTGTCCAAAAGTGGTTCCAATTTCAACATCAAATCCTCCTCAATTTCATTTAGAAATTCTCCTTTGCGCATTAGTGTTATCAAACAGCCTACTCCGTGGATAGCTGCTACGGCAACTGATGCTTCTGCTGACACTTTTGCATTTGCTTCACTCACTAATCTTTTATCCAAGTTTTTGTCTGTGATAAAAGTAGCATGTTCCCTGTCGCCAGTATCGACTTCTTTTTGAAGAGACGTGGCACTGGCACTATATCCTTCGGCTACTTCCATCAACATGCTTACCCTATCATCAACTCCGAAGCTCGAGGAGCCGTGATATAGTATTAGTGTAAGCACAGTAAACCCCATAATGACGCATGCTTTATTCTCAGCAGTGATTATGCTATTTGTTGGCTCTGTAATCAAATGCTCAATGTTGCCGAGTAAATCATTGCTTACTAGGCTGCCAAATTCCTCGATATCACTGCATATCAATGCAACCAAGGATCGATACATGTACAAGAATTCGATTTCACTTCTATAATTGCCGCTTGTAAACTGGCTAATTAAACTTGCCACAACATCTTGATCGACGTAATTATTCCTATTCCCTGCATTCTCTTCATTATACAAAAGCAATGGTTTGGACACAATAATCTTGTACAATTGGGCCAATAACAATTCTCGAGAGTGCGAGCTGATATCTGCTCTTGAGAAGGTCAACGAGGTAATAATATCTTTGATATTAGAATTCTCCTGTATTCGTCTATTATTCAATTGACGCGCTTCATATTGTCTTCTATCACCAGCACTTATTCGGTCTTCTTTGGCCAATTCGCCCATATCTTGTTGGTTCAAATTAGACAACTTTTCACGCAAAATCTCCTCGATCCTAATCAAGTCATTTTCTTCATGGTCGTTCTCGTTATCCGAATCGTCTGCCGACCTAATAGGCGTCCGCGAAGCTGAAGCCGATTGGGCCCGAGACGAAGAACCGGAAAGGGACCCTTTGTATAACGCTCTAGATGACATTGAAGAAGGTCAAGGAAGGAAGGAAGGAAGGAAAAAAAACCAAGTTATAAAATGAAAACTATTCAGAGAAGAAGAGGAAAAAAAGGCGCTTTAGTAGAAAAAAAGGTGTTTTTATGAAAAAAAAGTTGTTTATTGGTTATGATGGTAAAACTTTTCATTTATTTGCTTTTAAATTTAAAATGAGGTTTTATTATTTGATGATCAATTTTCAAATACATTTTAGTTATACATTAAAGTACATTTAAAAATAATAACCATGAATTTGTAGAGTATGTATTACTATAATACCATGATACTCAAGTTTATCTTGCTCTGCTCGACTAGTCTCATATCTTTTATTAGAATTACGAGATAGAGATGAAAGAGAAATGGAAACTGAAATTAAAGGGTAATGGAAACTGAAATAAAAGGGTAATGGAAACTGAAATAAAAGGGTAATGAAAAGTGAAATGCTGGGGTAATCATACCATATGAGTTTGTTGCACAAAAATTGAAGCTATTTAGTCGATTGCTCTATACATTAAGTAACCACTAGCTTGTTTTTTTAACGATGCAATCAAACCCATGGGTTAGATTGTATTGTCATACTATGATATTGGTGAGAGTGCAACTACTAGTGTACTCTGCTACTCTTTACTCTGCTACTCTGCTACTCTACTGTCTATTCTTTTTTCTTGCATAGAGTTAGTTTACCTTTGGAGAGTTAGTTTACCTTTGCAGCGTTAGTTTACCCTTGCAGAGTTAGTTTACATCTGCAGAGTAGTTTTACATCTGCAGAGACAATATTACTACCCAAATACGGCTATTCTATAGTCATAACCATTTTGTGGATCTTGATTTTGACACCAATCAAGGCGTGAATAATAATTTTTTTTCATTTAATGACATCATAGTGAAGATAAAACAATAGCGAGAAGATAGATTGAAAGAAAGAAAGGAAAAAGGTTTATCCTAGAAGGAGAAAGGTTTAAAGTAGAGAGGTTTATCCTAGAAGGAGAGAGGTTTAAAGGAGAGAGGTTTATCCCAGAAAGGCGAGTTTGTTTAATAGCTTTAATAGCTTTGGCTTAAGGCGTTTGCTTTGTTATGTTTTCTTGAAACTGTGTATAGATAAGATAGTGTTAGTTTCTTATATGGAAGATTCTTAACCGAGCAAAATTCTTGACAACAAAAACTCAACGACTTTGCTTCTATAGAAAAGTATGCGACTCTGGAAATAAGACACTGGAATAAGATACGACATTTATATAGTATGTTATTTATATAATATGTTTAGTAGGATTAAAATATATAGTACAAGCATTGTATTGTTATACAAGATATCACTAGACAAGATAGTATCGATAAGATCACTACACTAGATAAGAATCACTACAATAGACAAGAATCACTACAATAGACAAGAACCACTACAATAGACAAGAATCACTACAATAGACAAGATAAAATTACTACACTAGACAAGATTCTCTATCGAGTGCTCTCTCTCTGTTGACTGCTCTCTGTTGACTGCTCTCTGTTGACTGCTCTCTTTCTCTGTTGACTGCTCGATAGTGTCGATAGTGTCGGTGGCAGCTAGTGTGCTCCACTATCTCGCTCTGCTCGATAGTGTCGATAGTGGCTAGTTTGAATCGTTACATAACTTTTCATTTGCTTCAATTTCGTATTTGACTCAGACAAGATTACTGTACTCTTATTTTATTTACAACTTGATTCTTTAGCACTCTTATTTTAATGATTCTTTAGCACTCTTATTCCAATCACAACTTCTCTTAAGCACTCCTATTCCAATTACAGCTTCTTCTTAAGCACTCCTATCCCAATTACAGCTTCTTCTTGAGCACCCCTATCCCAATCACAGCTTCTTCCTGAGCACCCCTCTATCCCAATAATAGCTTCAATTTTGAGCACCCCTCTATCCAAATCATAGCTTCAATTTTGAGCACTCCTTCCCCCCCCCTATCCCAATTACAACTTGGTTCTGCTTCATTATTAGGTACACCCTTATTGACAGGATCTGCTAATCCCGAAATCAACAGGTACGTTTAAAGCGAGAGGTGTTATACACTATTAAAATATTCCCGAATTCAGAGGTTATCCCCAAAAGAGAGGTTTATTATTTTGATTTTTTTTCGCCCCAACAGGAAACCTCTCATCCTTTGTCTTTGATTGTCAACCCTTCTTCATCATTTGATCAAGCTGCATAAACATATACACTCATTTAGATAATGAACACCATTTTCGTTTCATAATAAATCTAAAAGTCATATCTTGCAACTTTCATTCACCCTTTTTTTTTTAAAAGAAACATTTTGGTTGGTTGGTTGAAGCTTTCCATTTTCTATTTCATTTTATGACTGAGCTATATTTTCTACGCCACGGCGAACGAATAGACCACGCTTTGAAGAAGGATCCACAGGCGACCCCTTTATTGGATGACTACAAGCTGTATGACCCTTCCTTGGCCACTTCGGCAATACCGCAGTTGAAACTGGTGGTGGACGATATATGTGCAACCACAGAGGCATTTCAAGACCAGGAATCATCATTACGAAAAAACGTGTATATACACTTTAGTCCCTATCTCCGGTGTTGCCAAAGTGCAGATATTGTCATAACAGAGTTGAAGTCCAAGTTTGCTGAAAAGTTTGGCAATTATAAAGTGAGATTCCAGTTATTGGGTGATTTCGCCCTAAGTGAATGGGTCCACCCGAATATGGAAAATAAACCTCCATTTGTTGATTCAAACGATGCCTATAATATGTACACTCCCAATTTGAAGACGCTAAAGAATAAGAACGCTTGCTCGAATTTCCGTCCTACTGTTACCTTGGGCCAGTATAATGGTCCAAACTTATCCTTTAAGGAGTACCAACTGCGATGTAAAGAGTATTTCCAGAAATTGTTGGCCACTTATGACAAACCATTGTACATTAAAAATAAGGACATTATAATCGTCATCTCGCACGGGTACATGATCAATAACTTTATGTCGTTTTTCACAAGCCACCCAATATTTCAGGAGATTCCTGAAGCAAAGATAAATTTCGCCAAGAGGGTGAAGAAGGAAGAACTTAGTATTGCTGATGATAATGATGATGATGATGATGATGATGAGTTTAATCCAGCAAATTATACATGGCGTATGGAAAAGGACGCTTTAGGATTATCGCAAGAAAGTGATCTGGGCGATATGACTTTAAACTTGGAATCAGATATAGTATATTACAAGACAAACTTTATAAAAAAGAATGATTTACTTGAAAAGCCAAAAGAGCAGGAGCAGCAACAGCAGCGGCAGCAGCAGCAACAGCAGCAAAATCTGCTGTTACTGCTGCTGGTGCAGCGGCGCATTCCCCAAGAATATAAGCCCAGAGCTTCATTCAAAATTGAATCAACATCTGCGTCACATAGTATTAATGGGAAGCCGCCAACAATGCATAATTATCTTTGCCCTGCTGCCAAAAACTGGATACCTGGACAAAAGCATTTCAAAATCAAGGCAGATTTCAAGGAAAAAATCATTAATGATGAGTCCTTTAGAAGAAACTTTTCCATAACGAACCCGCCTTTGAAACAAATAAGTCCTGATGTGTCACCCAACTCGGCACCAAGTAATTACAATTCAGTAATTGATTTGTCGAAAATCATGAGCAATGAATCGCTTCAGCCTATCAAGTTGAAATACTCAAACACATCGGATATACCGATTCACAAAATAAATTCTCGAGTAAACTCCCAAGTAAATCTCAATCAGGGGTATAAACAAACACCACCACCATCGTCATCATCGGCATCGGCAGAAAACTCGATGACGGATTTGCCGAAATATGTTTCTTTCTTGCAAAACAGGCACAGGTCAAGCTCGAACCCTAATGCTCCTGTTGTCATTGCGCCTTTCACAAAGGATTCTTATTTTCCACAAGTAATAAACAGAGTGAAATCGAATGATTCTGAAATGTCAATTGATCTTCCTAGTGACCAGAGCTGTGACGAATTAGACATAATTGACGAAAAATCCGAGCCGTCATTCACCTCAGCTGCTTCGGCAGCGCCCAGAGCATCACCGTTGGATACCTTAAATAGAGCCAGGTCGTTGAACAAAAAAACGGTTAACAATCCTTTACTAGTATCATATCAGAAAAGGTCTCAGCAGAATTTCCTGACTATGCTAAGCAAGTTACCATACTCATCTGGTTCAGCGGCAGCAGCATCAGCTTCAAACGAGGAACAGGAGAGGAGTGCCGTGGATGGGAATGAAGCAGATAACGATGATGATGATGAGGAGGAGGATCGCCGTGGAGAAGAAGACGACGACGATGATGATGATAAAGGAAGTGATAGTTCTACTGATGTCAGTAGCGAGGAGCAAAACTTTTCACTAAAGTTTAGGAACCGTTCGTATAGTGATCAACAAAAAGGTCACCGACTGCGCGGCGGTACGTCAAAACAAGATGCTTATAAGCGCAAGACATTGGCGGATGAGAAAAACAAGCAAACACTCGAGACTTTTCCAAACTATTCAAGGACCCTGAAACCTGAAACAAAGAAGGGAGAACCTATGTTTTACAATTTCGAAACAGACGATAGTGATCTCGAGGATGATTCTTACAAATCTGCATCACATTATAAAGGACTGGAGTCTACAAGGAGTAAAGATGACTATATGTGGTTCGGTGGTAATAGAAACTAACAAACTGTCATCACCATCACCATCGCCACCACTAAATGCTTCTACCTTGCCCGAATCTTCCCATCTTCTCTTTAGACAATTGTATACTACACTCTATAAACCCCATTCTCTTGAATAAAGAAGTTACAGTAGGAAAAAAAAACTCAAGTGAAAAATTCACTAATAACCAAATAGGAAAAGATAAGGATAAGGATATACAAGGGCGTAGGAAGGGTATGGAAGCTTAAGACGTGCTTAGCTGTCCCTGTCATTGTAATTGAACGATAACCATGACCGGTACCGCGTTTCAGAACGACTCTGGCATACATAGAACCAGGGTCTTGACGACATTTGGTCTTATCAAAGATTTATCGCAGGCGATTATAGTCAAGATATGTTATTTAGAATGCACCAAAGAACATCTTTCTTTGACATCGCTATCGGAGAAGTTTGAGGATCCATCAGTATTCAAGCGACTATCCAATGTGTATCGATACTCCGACTTGTTTGTCAAGGTTGAGGTTTTCGACGGTAAGAATAATAATCGGATTAGTATTCCTATACAAACTTCATACAAATCGTTTTACAACAAGCGACGAATATGGAACCAGTATCTTGAATTGGCTATTAATTATAGTCAGGTCAGCGTTGACTCCTATTTGAAGTTTACCTTGCTCGAGATTGTTGATACAAAACCAATGGTTTTTGGTGTCGGGTACTTGACTTTGTTCAATATGGAATCTGCAACCTTGAGAGCAGGGTCGCAGAAATTACCTATATTCCGTGGGAAAGTTGCAGATAACACAGTGGCTGAAAAGTTGAACTACGGTAGTTTGGTAGGATTGACTCAATTGGAGCAAAATTTAATCAAGTACGAAAATGGCGAGTTTCCCAGAATACACTGGCTAGATAAATTGTCCTTGCCCAAAGTACAAGCAGAACAACAAGTTAATCGAGACTATGACTACTACTTATACGTTGAGTTGCCAAACTTCAAGTTCCCCTTTGTTTACTCTGACATAACTTATAACGTCCCTGCTGTGGAGTATTCAAATGTTTCAAGCAAAGCAGCAATGCCACCACCGAGTAAAGTGTTGAACGCAATAGACATTCCAGCTTCTTCTTCACCTTCACTGAATCCAAAAATAATGAAGATCCATGATCCCGATTTTGACATTACTGCTAAGTATACAGCAAACTTGAACAACAATAACAGCAATAACATCAACAACATCAGCAACATCAATAACATCAACAACATCAACAATATGAGTAACAATGTGCTAGACCCAATTGAGCTAAAGTTTCACAAATTGGAAAGAAACATAAATAATAATTCAATCATTGATAAAGATTTGAAACCTACGCCACAATTGAGAGATGAGTTATTGAAAATCTTGATAAAGCCTTCCAATGCCGAACTTTCAGATAACGAAAAGAATTTGTTATGGCGGTTTAGATATTACTTTAGTAAGAATAACTCAAATGACTCCAGCTCAAAATCGGCTACTTCCAAATCCTTTTTACCGAAATTTTTAAAATCAATAAATTGGGAAAACGATTATGAGTTGAACCACACATTTAAGGAGATTTTACCGTTGTATTGGAATGTGGACAAATTGCAAATAGGAGATGCTTTGGAGCTTTTGGACAGTTATTTCAACCCTCAGATTTTGGCCAAAACTGCTGCGTATTCGGAAGACACAAATGCTTCAAGAAATGATTACACACTGAAGGATGAAGAGTCTAAATACAAAAAGATTTTCAATAATGTTTCATATTTAAGAAAATTAGCAGTTGAAAGATTGAAACTAGCTAGCAGTGAAGAGTTGTTGCTTTATCTTTTACAACTTGTACAAGCATTGAAACATGAAGCTTTAATTTTTGAAGAGTTTTACGGAGAGAACTCAAATGAAGGGTTGAGTGAAGAGCAGTTTGCCAAGTTGCCCTTGGCTAATTTCTTAATTGAATCTGCCGTGGAAAATGAAAATTTGGGTAATTTTTTTTACTGGTATGTCAAGGTTGAAAATGAGGATAAACTAAGCAGTGGTGTACCGACCAATGGTTCTGCACCGCCTAATATATTCTCCAAGACTTTAAACAAGTACATTGGGTTATTAAAGATTCACTGTAATGAACACAAGTTGCCATATTATAAACATCTCAAACGGCAAATATGGTTTATTAAGAAATTAACCAGCTTGGTTGAGCTTTTGCGAGTATCATTTAAAAAGAATGAGGCAACGATTCGAAAAGTTGATTTTTTGAGAGAGTATTTATCAACATCTTCTAATGAGTTATTGAAGTTTCCCGAACCGTTCCCGCTCCCACTAGACCCTTCAATAATGATATGCGGGTGTTATCCTCAAGAATCCTCAGTGTTTAAGTCGTCTTTAGCGCCACTAAAGATTACTTTAAAAACGATTGAGAGCAAAAAGGGACAAACTTCGCAAATTTTTGGTAAAAAGACAACAAAATACGGCAAATACCCATTAATGTTTAAAATCGGAGACGATTTGAGACAAGATCAATTAGTTATTCAAATAATTAATCTAATGGATCAATTGTTGAAGAATGAAAATTTAGATTTGAAGTTGACTCCTTATAAGATTTTAGCAACAAGTCCCGTTGCTGGGTTGATTCAGTTTGTTCCAAATGAGACCCTTGATTATATTTTATCGAATTACACTCAAGTTACTTTATCAGAAGCTCAAACGAATAATAGGGACAACACTCAAGTTGCTGCGCCAGTTACCTCCACTTTTGCTAGTAACGGGATCCTTAACTATTTGAAACTACATAGTCGAGACCAACAACCAAATGAGCCCGTATCGAAAAGTGTTTTGCATTCCAGTGCAACAACAACAACAACAAGAGATATTTTAGTACAACAGCCAAAACAAGCTGTTTCTTCAGATCTAGGAGTATCTCCAATATTAATGGATAACTATGTCAAGTCTTGTGCAGGATATTGTGTTATTACATATATTCTCGGTGTAGGGGATCGACACTTGGATAACTTGTTATTATCACCTAATGGGAAATTTTGGCATGCTGATTTTGGATACATTCTTGGACGAGACCCCAAACCATTCCCACCATTGATGAAATTACCAATACAAGTCATTGATGGAATGGGTGGTTTACATCATGAGAACTACAATATCTTTAAAAGTTATTGTTTTATTACTTATACAGCATTGAGAAAGAACAGCAACTTGATATTGAACTTGTTTCAATTGATGTTGAAGGCCAATATTCCCGATATACAAGCTGATCCATCAAGAGCTATTGAAAAAGTTCAAGAGAAGTTTTGTTTACAAATGACAGAAGAGGAAGCTATATTGCACTTTCAGAATCTAATCAATGACAGTGTGAGTGCTTTTTTGCCAGTTGTTATCGACAGGTTGCATAGTTTGGCTCAATATTGGAGAGCATAAATGGCATTGAAAAGTGGCCCTGTTCTTATTGATGCTACTAAGTCAATGAATCACGTGACATAATATATATAGACCCACACATGAACTGCGGGGGTTAGCTCGTAATTTCTTTTTATATTAGGTACAATACATTACTGCTTCTGAGACTAGTTGAGACACTATCGAGCAGAGCGAGATAGTGTCGGAGGAGGCGTAGAAACTAGTTGAGCTGAGATGTCTGCGCTTCTGAGACTAGTCGAGCAGAGAAGGACTGAGTTGAATAGCGGAGGTGCTTTCTGTGATGATATATGATCACGTGATCCTAGGACCAAGTAACGTCACGTGATATACTTGTCAAGATTCGCTAGTCAGTACTGCCCCACTATCGAGCAGAGCGAGATAGTGTAAGTAGATGGGAGAGTGCGGCAAGACGGTGTTGCTCCACTATCTCGCTCTGCTCGATAGTGGGTAGCTAGTCAGTGTTTCTCCACTATCTCGCTCTGCTCGATAGTGGGCAGCTAGTCAGTGTTTCTCCACTATCTCGCTCTGCTCGATAGTGGGCAGCTAGTCAGTGTTTCTCCACTATCTCGCTCTGCTCGATAGTGTCTTCTTTTTTTTCGCGCGAGCTGGGGCGTTAATTTTGTTCATTTTATCGCTCCCGCTTTGTTGTCCCGCCTTGTCGCGCTATCGCGCTATAGTGTCGATGGCAGCTAGTGTTGCTTTACTATCTCGCTTCGCTCGATAGTAACGATTCTTTCGATAGTAACGCTTTCCGATAGTGTACTTGTGTCTACAAAGTGTTACAACACTATCTCGCTCCGCTCGATAGTGTCCCCAACCAGCCACCTTGCCAACTGAAAAATCCGACTTTTGCTACAAATGACACAAAATCAACAAAAATTCCACAAGTGTTTACAATTTGGCTAAAAAGGGATAAATAAGTGATGAAGGTTATATGGAACGGGTTTCTTCTTCTTTCATTGTATAATCTTGCCCAACAGTACGACGTAGGACGACAGCGACAGCTCTACCGAGTACCATACGGGGTTTTACTTAATTAGACAGTTTTTTTTGTGCATTTTGATGCTTTAGCCTTGCTTTAAAAGTTGAAAAAACTGCATTTTGTCATCATCATTGAGAAAACCTTCTATAAGATACCTTCATTTTTTAGCTCGTTTTCTTTCCAGTTTAGACTTACACTATCGAGCAGAGCGAGATAGTGGAGCACACACTGACAACCAGTGGCTTTAGAATTTGACCAGACTATCGAGCAGAGCTACCCACTATCGAGCAGAGCGAGATAGTGGAGCACACACTGACAACCAGTGGTTTTAGAATTTGACCAGATTATTGGTGGGATATACATTATTGAGCAGAGCTACACTATCGAGCAGAGCGAGATAGTGGAGCACATACCAACTAGCTGCCACCGACACTCGCTTCACTCACATCCAGCAACCAACAATATTACTTTCCTTCCCTAAAAGACCAACGGTATCACTTTTCCAACGGTATTACTTTTCCAGCGGTATTGCATTTGACGTTTTTATCAGCTTACTTTGTTCATATTCTGCTTTTCCACATTTCATGTCATTGCCACCCTTACCTTTCAAAGTAAAGGCAAAGGTTTCTTGGGCAGGTGAAGAGCCAGGAGATTTAGGTTTTTTGGAAAATGAATTGATCCAGGTCTTTTCTATAGTAGATGAAAGTTGGTGGAGTGGAAAATTGAGACGAAACGGAGCAGAGGGCATTTTCCCCAAGGATTACGTTGAAATCATTGAGCAATATTCTCTACCAAACTCATCTTCAAATCTTGCATCATCGTTAGCAGCTAAACAAGATTATAGAAGTAATGGTATTGGTGCACCGCTGAAACAACATAGTGAAGGCTCCTTGCTCAACTATATGCTGGGTTCTTACAATAACTCAAGCATGTCGTATCCCTTTGAAAAACAAAAGCAGCAAGGTCTTGATGGGTACTCTGAACTAGTACGAGCTTCAAATGGTACTGATCCTACGCAAATAAAACCCACATATCCTGAACAAGAAGAATTATTAAAACAACGCGAGTTGGAGATACAGATATTGAAGCAGCAGCAGCAGCAGCAACTACAACTACAACAGCAGCAGCAGCAACAACAGCAAGAGCACTATCAAGAGAGTGGAAATGCACTAGCATCAAAGCAGTTCTCGCATCTTCCATTGCAATCTAGTCATCATCATCACTATCATCATGACAATGGACGAATGAAGCATAGCTATTCTCAACAAGCCTCTCCTTATTCAAACGTTTTATCCTATGAACAAAAAACGGGTTCCTTAGATGATTTTCGTCGTAAGGTTGCGCCAGATCAGAAAGGTGACATGTTTGAGAATAACAAGGCTAATCACTTCAGCCTCGCACCACCAGCGATATCACTGAAACAAAAGCAAAGACGCGTTCCCAAGGAGCAAGAGATATTGAAAGAGTATGAGGAAATTGCTAGAAAAAGAGCACAACTTGAATTGGAGCTACAAAAGTTGAAAAATAATGTTAATTTAAAAACCAGCTCATCACCAAATAGACAACAGAAGGATAACTTCTCAATCGACTCGTATGGAACTCATAGTGATGATTGGAAAAGAAGAGATCGTTCACGTGACGATTTGAGCAAGAAGTTGTCCAAGTTTGTAAGTGATGAAGACGATGAGGAGATAAATGGTGATGGCAATAACACCAATACCATGTTTAACTATTTAAGCCAGGAAAGATCAGGGCTTCGAACCGAGTCGCCTCCGCCTCCTGCTCCACCAAAGCATGGATTAGTTGAAAGTGTTCCCGTCTCTCCCTCGAGAATCCCTTTTAACAGTGACGATTTCAAAGTGTCTAGTGACCGAAATGTCATTATCGATGAGGAAAATTACCAAAGATTATTTATCCAGCATGAAGAATTAAAAAACTCTATTAAATCATTACAAAGTGATGTAATGAACTTGTCTGAACTAAGTGCAACCAGTGCGGGCTCTTTTTTGAAACATAAATACGAAAGGGAGTTAAAGGAGAGTCAGTTACGGTTGAAAAATATGGCAATTGGTGAACCAGAGAAAGAAACAGAATCACCAACAATTGAATTAAAATCAAATGTTATGGATTCTGTATTTGAGGATAAAAAGAAGAATGGCGGTATCTTCAAGAAGATATTGAGGAGATCGACCCAAGAAGAGCTAAATCCTATTGAAAGGAAGTTTCAGCAACAAGATGAAATTGACATGGCCACCTATAAATTGGATGTTAACAGAATGAATTCTTTGACAAGTCAAGAAAAACAAGGCAGAACCAAGCGAGTTGTTAGAAATGAAGGAAATTTAGTTGTTAAGCCGTTGGAGTACATTTCTGAAATCAATGCTAATGAAACAATAGGAGCTAAGGAGGTGGATGAGATTGATCTTGACTCAATAGCATATAAGAAAGTTGAGGCATTTGTTGCCAAGTATAGTATTACTTTTGATTTAAATGATTTCATTTCAGATCTTTCAATAAAGTTTCGACAATCAGATTTGAATAAAGTGAGGTGCATATTGTTGCACCTAGCGAAAATTCGTATTATTGAAGAATCATCATCATCAATACTGCAAGTCAAGCCCAAATTGATGGAAGTGCAACTAAAGGGGGAAGCAACAATATTTCAAATCAATTACATTTTCAAAAAAATGCTTGATGCCTTGAGGATTCCATCTGAGATAGTATTGGGGTTCTGGAAGAAACCGAACGAGTTTTATCATAACGAGCTGTATGTGATTAACCATTGCTGGCTATCGATCTTGGTCGACAACAATTTCAGGTTAATCGATATCTACAACTTTATCAATCCCTCTGTTTGCAATTTACAAAATTGCAAATACAATGAGTTTTATTTTTTATCACAGCCATTAAGTCTTGTTTCCACACATATACCATCGATTATTGACTTACAGCACGTAATGCCACCTATTGATCCTAGCATTGCCTTTTATTTACCAAGGACATACTCTGGATTTTATGGCAATCGAATTCAATTTACTAATTTTAATAATGCATTAACAAGATTGAATGATTTAGAAGTATTTGAACTAGAACTACTTTTACCTAAAGATGTTGAGTTGTTCACATTGGTCAAAACTTCTAAAGTCACCACAAATGATTTAAGTCTCTGTCAAGTGAAGTGGGTGAACCATAAGCGCGTGGCCAAAATCAAAGCTATTCTACCAGAAAACGAGTCAATTGGTGTTTTGCAAATCTTTGCTGGCGCCAAGGGGCTCCAGAAACACTTTGACAACATTCATGAACTTTCAATAGTTATTCCATTGATGCATGAGGGACAATCAAAGCAAACCAAGTTTGTTCAGAGATATCCTACAGTACAAAGTCAAAATAACGACTTGTACATTGTTAAACCACAAACGAATAAACTAATTACTAAGAACTCGTATACTTTTGAAATCGAGCAGTATCCCAGCCAGGGCATCGACGCAAGAAGCATGCAAATGGTCCAAGATTTCAAAATTGTGATTGAATCCCCTCTGGGCAAATACTTTAAACTCACAAAAGAAGAATTGGGAGTGGGATCTTGTATAACAAAACCATATGGCGTATACTCCTGTAACATCAAATGTCAAGAAGCTGGCGCATATAGAGGTCTAGTTATTGGAGATAGCGGGAATAGCTGGTACGTGTTTGCCCAATGGGAAAGCGTTAGTGTCAATTGAACACACCAACACCAACACCAACTTTAACATACCATACACACTACGAAACCACCAATGCTGGTGAAATATGTTTATATAGAAATGAATAGTCCATCGATAGACAGAATCATAGAGACTTTGTACATTCGACACTATCGAGCAGAGCGAGATAGTGGAGCATACTAACTGTCACTGACACTATCGAGCAGAGCAACAAGATAGTCAGTATTGCTCCACTATCGAGCAGGGCGAGATAGTGTCGATCGCTCTGCTCGATAGTGTCGAAGAGCACTATACAAGCTGGTCAGTGTACACCACTATCTCGCTCTGCTCGATAGTGTCGAAGAGCACTATACAAGCTAGTCAGTGTTGCTCCACTATCTCGCTCTGCTCGATAGTGTCGAAGAGCACTATACAAGCTGGTCAGTGTACACCACTATCTCGCTCTGCTCGATAGTGTCAAAGAGCACTATACAAGCTAGTCAGTGTTGCTCCACTATCTCGCTCTGCTCGATAGTGTCGATCGCTCTGCTCGATAGTGTCGATCGCCCTGGTTGATAGAGCGTTGATTTCTAGATCATAGAGACTTTGTACATTTGGTAGCGCCAATTTTTCAATTTTTCAATTTTTCAAGCGATGAGCTCCTTGGTGGTTTGGGAAGGAGGGCGGCTAGTAGTAAAGAAGGTAAAAGAGAGCAGTGGTAATAGTGACAAGTGACAAAGGGGTAAGTTGTAAGTGTGAGTAAAAATGTCCATGGCTGTAGTGCAACCAAGAGGTTCACGTTTGAGTAATGCAGCCACTGTAGCAAGTGCCAAAGTGACGTCTTGTTCTTCTTCTTCTTCTTCCTCGGAACTAGTTTCGTTTCCCTCGCTTGAGGACCAGAATAAAAGCATTCAGGATAAATACACAAAGGAACGAAAAGTAGGTGAAGGAACGTATGCTGTAGTGTATTTGGGGAAACAGCAAGTGACCAAGCGTCCCATAGCTATAAAAGAGATCAAAACGGGTCTTTTCAAAGATGGGTTGGATATGTCAGCTATTAGAGAAGTTAAGTATTTGCAAGAGTTGAAGCATCGCAACATTATAACATTAATTGATGTTTTTTCATCATCGAACAATTTAAATTTGGTATTAGACTTTCTACCGGCTGATCTTGAAGTCTTGATCAAGGATAAGAGCATTGTTTTTAAAAGCGCTGATATTAAGTCATGGATGTTAATGACACTTCGAGGTATTCATCATTGTCATCGAAACCATATACTTCATCGAGATTTAAAGCCAAATAATTTATTAATCTCACCCCTGGGAGAATTGAAAATTGCTGATTTTGGATTAGCTCGAAGTCTAGGGAACCCCAACGAGGATTTGAGCTCGAATGTAGTGACAAGATGGTATAGAGCTCCTGAGTTGTTATTTGGAGCGAAACACTATACGGAGGCAATAGACATTTGGTCAATTGGAATAATATTTGCTGAATTGATGTTGAGAATACCGTATCTTGCAGGCAAAGACGACGTTGACCAGTTAGATGTGACATTTAGAGCATATGGTACACCCACAGAACAAATATGGCCCAATGTTTCAAGTTTACCTTTATATAACGCCTTGCATATTTATCCACCACCGTCAAGACAAGAAATGCGATCGAGATTTAGTGCGGCTACTGATAAAGCATTGGATTTCTTGATTTTGTTGACTCAATTGGATCCTAGTAGGAGATGTAATTCTACTCAAGCTTTATTACATGAATATTTCACGGAAAGTCCAAGACCAACAGAACCGGAGAATTTACCAAAGAAGAAAAATAACAAGAGAGAAAATGAAGACGATGATAATTTGACAAGTTCAAATAGCGGTAATGGAACAGATACATCAAAGAAGAGAAGGATTTAGGGAGTACCTTTTCTGTTTTTTATTTCACTACCGAGCAGAGCGAGATGGTGGAGCAACACTAGCTGCTACCGGCACTTTTCCCCCTAGTCAATGTTACTCCACTTTTTTGCTTCGCTCGATAGTGTCGGTGTATCGGTGTGGTGAGTGCTGCGTAATCAGTGCTGCGTAGTCAGTGCTGCTCCACTGTCGCTCGATAGTGTCTGTCTAATCAGTGCTCCACTATCTCGCTTTGCTCGATAGTTTTTTTATTTTATTTTATTGATGATAAATATGCTTAATGTGTTCTGCAATTGCCCATGCAGCAGTTAATCCGGGACTTTCTATTCCTAAAAGATTTACAAATCCGGGGAATCCGTTTTGTTCCCGGATTATGAAATCAGCAAACTGGTTTTTGCTTTGTTCAGGAGATAAGATTTTTGGTCTGACACCGGAATAAGAAGGAGCTAAGTCATTTTGAGTAATTGCAGGGAGATAAGTTTTGATGGCATTATAAGCTGCTTCTAGATTTTGGGGATTTGGAGTGTAATCAATATCATTTGGATTTGTTGTGTTTAACCATTCCAAGTCTGGTCCAAATCTCAATTGTCCGCCAAGATCAAAAGTCAAATGAGTACCTAATGATGAGGCATTGGGGTTAGGACATGGGTATATCAATTTATCTGTTATCTTACAATCTATTGGTTTTTCTGGTGTGTAGCTGAAATAGTTTCCTTTTGCAAAGTAGTAGTTGTAGTGTTGATCCTTTGGTAGTATCATATTGGCGATTTCTGCGGCAAAAAGTCCACCAGCATTCACAACGTTATCACCAGTTATTTCAATTTCTTCCTTCTCCTCCTTTTCTCCCATGGTCTCCATAGTCACCGAGTAGTTTAGAAAACTTTTATTGTAACATATATTTTTGACTTTGGTATTCAACCCCAACGTGCCCTCATTATTTTCGAACCTACCTTGATGAAACATTACGTATTCATGAGCTGAGATAATCCCCGTTGTAGGACTTTCCAAAATCGCTGAGCTTGCTTTTATTAGTGGATACTTTTTCCTTGCCATTGATGTGGAAATGAATTTTACGGGGACATTCAATGATTTTGCGTTTTTCTCCAATTTTACCAAATACTCCTGCTCTTGTTCATTTTGGGCAACGACCCACTTTCCGCATTTCTGCAAGTCAAGCCCGTATGTGGACCAAGCATCATAGATTTTGTTCTTACCCTCAATGCAAAGTTTTGCTTTCAATGATTGTGGAGGGTAATATAAACCTGCGTGTATAACTTCGCTATTTCTTGAAGTTGTTTCTTGTCCCAATGCCGAATGTTTTTCAACCAATAGGACCTTGTTACCTTTTTGCTCTTGTAATTCGGCTGCTGTTGCTATTCCGACTATTCCTCCTCCAATTACTATGTGGGAGAAATCCGAGCTTAACCGGGAATTAGTGTGAAATAGTCGTTGTTTAAGAGCCAAGTTCATTTTTCATTGGGGAGAAAGGGTATTTATCATCATTAGCAAATGATTCGAAGAGGTGGGGGCGGGGGGAGATGGGGTTTTGAAAAATTTTTGATGGGGGGTTTGTGATTAGGAGGCTTTTTTTGGTAGCCCCTTAAAGAAATGAAATCGGTGGTTATTAAAGCTGTTTAATGGAACAGCATTGGAAGGAGCTGAATGTTGTATTCAAAGAGTTTATAACTTGAGTTTTGACTCTGAATTGCTGAGACAATATCATTTCCCATACCCGTACACTTTATTAGTTTCAAATTGGTACATTTTATTAGCTTTAAATTGGTACCAAGTGATATATTTTTCACTTTGATTTTCAACAGAGACTATTGAGCAAAGCGAGATAGTGTCTTAACTAGTCAACGTGTTTGGTAGTGTTGCCGCTATGCCTAATAGTCAATGTGCTCGATAGTGTCGTAACTAGTCAATGTGTGTGGTAGTGTTGCCGCTCTGCTTAATAGTCAATGTGTTTGGTAGTGTTGGTGCTCGCCTCAATAGTGTCTATTCAGCCGCATTTAATCCCAAAAAAGAAATTTAGTGTTTATATTCTTTGTGCAGTTAGACGATGGTTATTGCAAACTGGCAATTGCCAAAGTTGATCATTACACAAGTAATGAGAAATCACCTTATAATGTCATTAGACATTGGATGTAGATGAGCCCACTCAAAACCAAGAATAAGCTAGCAAAGCTCAAATTGAATCACCAGAGTCGAGCTTCTATCTACTCTAAGTCTTTGAGGCTCCAAAGCTCTAAAGCTCTAAAAGAGGTTTATTTACCTTTTGTACAGCCTTCTCTATTAGCCTTTTCCTTTTATTAGCCTTTTCCTTCTTTAAGCCTTTTCCTTCTTTGAGCCTTTTCCTTCTCTATTGGCCTTCTTTGTTTATCTTTTCCTTCTCTATTAGTCTTTTCTTTGTCTTCTCCTTGTTTTCTCAATTAAACTTTGTCAGAGATAAAACTACTCCACCATACTATTCTTTTTACACAGTAAGCGTTGCTCTTTCAACACTATCGAGCAACACTATCGAGCAACACTATCGAGCAGAGCGAGATAGTGTTGTAACAAGCTACAAAGTGTTGCTCCACTATCGACACTATCGAGCAGAGCGAGATAGTGTTGTAACAAGCTACAAAGTGTTGCTCCACTATCGACACTATCGAGCAGAGCGAGATAGTGTTGTAACAAGCTACAAAGTGTTGCTCCACTATCGAATAACACTATCGAGCAACACTATCGAGCAACACTATCGAGCAGAGCGAGATAGTGTTGTAACAAGCTATAAACTATTGCTCGATAGTGTTGTAACGAGCTATAAACTATTGCTCGATAGTGTTGTAACGAGCTATAAACTATTGCTCGATAGTGTTGTAACGAGCTATAAACTATTGCTCGATAGTGTTGTAACGAGCTATAAACTATTGCTCGATAGTGTTGTAACGAGCTATAAACTATTGCTCGATAGTGTAACGAGCTATAAATTATTGGTCGATAGTGTAACGAGCTATAAACTATTGGTCGATAGTGTTGTAAAAAGCTATAAACTATTCCCACTATCTCGCTCTGTTCGATAGTGAGCTGCTCGATAGAAATAAAATAAATTATTATCAAGTATAACTAACAATACAAGACTTACAACACAATGAAATACAGCTCAATACGGCTCAAACTTCCTCAGTCTTGATCACCTCGGGGTTTTTACACCTCGCCTTTTACACCTCGCCTTTTACACCTCGCCTTTTACACCTCGCCTTTTCCACACCTTTTCCACACCTTTTCCACCTCAATCCAATGCACTCTCTCGAAAACAATAACTCATAAAAAAAATATGTTTCATTTTTTCAAAGCACTTTTTTTCTCTTTGTTGTAGTCTTTGTAGTTAAAAGACAAGTTGTCGATAATTGTCGATAATATTGGCTATTTCTTGTTTTTATATCCATCGTTTATTTGAAAAAGTTCATCTTTGAACAAGATTTAAAATAAAAATACACACCATTTTTTTGGTTATACCTACTCTATCGAGCGAAGCTAGATAGTAAAGTACTGACTACATTTTGAGAGCAGCACTGACTACAATTTGAGAGTCCATTAAGGCAGTATCATAAGTTTTGGGCCATTATAAGTATTAGGGCCACAACAAATTTTTCGGGTTATATTAAGTGCTAGGGTCATAATAAACAAGTATTCAAGACAGCTAGGCAAGACAGCTAGGTGCTAGGCACAACAAGTATTCAAGACAGCTAGGCAAGACAGCTAGAAGACAGCTAGGTGCTAGGCACAACAAGTATTCAAGACAGCTAGGCAAGACAGCTAGAAGACAGCTAGGTGCTAGGCACAACAAGTATTCAAGACAGCTAGGCAAGACAGCTAGGTGCTAGGCACAACAAGTATTCAAGACAGCTAGGCAAGACAGCTAGGTGCTAGGCACAACAAGTATTCAAGACAGTGCTAGGCACAATTTTTTCAAGGCCAAGTGTTTGTTGGTTTTTCATTTTAATCACATTTCCTTATAATGAGAAGTATTAAATCGGTGGTGGTTGGTGATGGTGGTGTGGGAAAGACCTGTTTGTTGATTTCGTATACAACAAACACTTTCCCCAATGATTATATCCCAACAGTCTTTGACAATTATTCGGCATCAGTATTAATTGATGGAGAGCCCATAAAATTGGGGCTATGGGATACGGCAGGTCAGTCGGAATACGATAGATTGAGACCCTTGTCCTATCCACAAACCGAAATCTTCCTTTGTTGTTTTTCAGTGGTAAGTCCTGATTCATTTCAAAACGTTAAGCAAAAATGGATACCGGAGATTTTGCACCATTCGCCAAAGGATATACTCATATTGCTAATTGGTACTAAAATCGATTTGAGAGAAGACCTTCATGTTTTGGACGAACTCGCACTTAGGAACTTGAGAGCAATATCTTACGAACAAGGTTGTAAGTTGGCTAAAGACGTTGGTGCCGTAAGATATATGGAATGCTCAGCGGCAACTCAAGTTGGCGTCAAGGAGATATTTGATTATGCAATAAGAGTAGTATTGGACCCACCATCCCAAAAGAGTAAGGGTTATATTACAAGCGATCAGGTCCCTGGTATGGGTGTTGGTAATGATCCTCTTGTGAGCGATGGCTATGGCAACAATAACAACAACAATAATAACAATAGAAGAAGCAATCATAGGTCTTTCTCAAGTGGTTCAAGAGGAATACTAGGAACAAGGAGGAGAATACGGAAGGCAAAGAAGTGTACAATTTTGTAGATACATTATAGACAATATCTATGTGTAGATTTAAAGCAATGTAATATACCTTTTACTCACTAAATGAACTCATTTACTCAGTACTACCTCAGCATCATCTCAGCATCACCTCAGCAGGGACAGTCTGTGTCGGCGTAGTCTGTGTAGTCTGTGTCGGTGTAGTCTGTGTCGGTGTAGTCTGTGTCAGTGTAGTCTGTGTCGGTGTAGTCTGTGTCAGTGTAGTCGGTGTCGGTGTAGTCTGTGTGCTCCACTATCTCGCTCTGCTCGATAGTGTCGTATCATCTCAGCATCATCTCAAGATCGCATTAACGCGACTCTTGACGGATGAACACCACTCAAATCCTTTTCCTTCTTCTTCTTCTTCTTCTCATCCTCTTCAAGCCTTTTGTTCCTTTGCCGTTCTTCCAATTTAGCGTTTTTTTCCTTCAATTTAGCTACCCTGTTTTCACTATTCCCACCCCCACCAACTGTAAGTTCAACATTTATCTTCCTATTACTAAGTTCCAGATGATGCAATTTCAAAGCCGACTCTATCCTGCTCTGAATGTCCTTTGTATCATTATTAAATTCCAAAAATGCAATCCCCTTTTCCGACCTTATTCTTATCCTATCAGGAGCACTCTTTTGAAAATGAGCAATCAATTGTGCTTGATTTACATTATATGGTAAATTCCCTACAAATAAGATGAATCTTGGTCCATGGCCCTCAGTAGTTGCCCCTTTACCTTTTTTACCTCTTCTAGTCTTGCGTTTCTTCTTTATCAGCTCTTCAGAATTTCCCTCGCCACCGTCAGCTTGACCTTCAGCTTGACCTTCAGCTTGACCTTCAGCTTCACCATCTCGTTTCCTCTTTTTAGATTCTTGCTTTTCTAGTTTCTCTGCTTCTCTTAATTCCTTGGGTTTACGAAACTGTTTCGATTTCTTCTCCCTTTTAGATAGCTTTGCCAGCTGCACCTCTGACATCTCTTCTGTCTAGTGAAAAAAGCCAAGCTTCAGCTATTCGTGTTCTTATCAATGGAACCACGAGATGAGATGAGATGAGATTGATTAATTCGGCTCGATGGAAAAAAAAAAATGAAAAATATAGAGCCAGGATACAAACCATTACGGGGCAGGAAAACAGGGCGAGAGAAACGGAATGAAAGACAAAGAGACCGATTGATTTGACATAAGCTCCAACCAAAACCAGTCCAGTTACTTTACATGTCGGTAGCTAATGATAATTCGTTGAAAAGTCGTTCAAGGCTGCCCGTGGCATCGAGATCTCCTCGTAAATATCGATCGCGATCTCCAGATACTACACCTTACCGACAGATTCAACAAGATATTAATACCATTGAAAGATCGGCATCTATGAAACCATATGGGAGAGCAGAATATAAAACAACTGAGCCTGATATGATTGAAAGAGGAAGGACTAGACTGAGGGAAGATAGGCAAATGTATATGAATGAAAATGGCACGGAGATTAGCTTAATGGGATTCAAAACTGGATCTAAACATAAAAGCCCTGCAAAAGATAGACAAAGTGGTCAAACCGAGAGCTGAACAAAGGAAGCTGGAAGTTGTAACTAGATAGAGGGTCAAAACAAAGGAAGCTGGAAGTTGTAACTAGATAGAGGGTCAAAGCAAAGGAAGCTGGAAGTTGTAACTAGATAGAGGGTCAAAACAAAGGAAGCTGCTGAGGGCTGTTTATTGGGTTGTACACATGTATATCATCTATTATGTTTCCATTTTTTTATCAAGAAGTTTTGCATGTTCCTTAATCAACTCCTCGTGTCTATTTCTCAAATCGGTATAAGCTTCAGATACCTTTTTCAACTTCAGTTTTAAAATACCAATTGCTTCTGTATTGTCCAAGTTATCACGAATATCAATAGTTTTTACGGTTGAATTTACATTGGACAAATTTTTAAACAACAATTCTTCATTTCTCTTCTTTTCCAACCATGAACTAATATTGTCGTCTACTACATCAACCTCAGTTTCGGTTTCCTGAGGTATATCCATAGATAGATAATGATCCATGGGATCATTGTTTGCAAGGGCTCTTTTCAAAGGAGGTAACATTCTATGCTTCTTATCTGCTCGAACATCACTATAAAGCATATCAATTGGCGCCGCTTTTAAAAATAAACCTGCTATAGGAAATTTCAAACTTGGAAAACTCTTAATTGTTTGTTTGGTTACTATATCAGAAACGTAAACTTGTCCTGAAGCATCTCCTGATACAAGACTCGTTCCATCCATTGAAACTAACAATTTGGTAACTTTATGATTTTCATGTTGGACAATAGTGGAAAACATATTAGTATTATTATTATTGTTATTGTTGTTGTTGTCTCCATCATCAGTAATAGTGATAATTTTATCCAAACCACCTACTGCTTCTAGTACCAGAGTGTGCTGGTTATATTTATACAATGGGATTATTTTTATCCAACCATTAGATAATCCCACGTATAATTGTCGGTTTGCGGGATCTCGGGCAAGACATTCAACAGAATCAGGTAATACAAAAGTTGTCAATTGCTGTTTGGTCAGAATATCGTAGATTCTAACAGTTGCGTCCTTGGAGCTTGTGTATAGTTTCAAGTCGGATAAATTACCTGCTGTATTCAAAGTTATATCGGTAATGGCTAATGTGTTTTCAGATATACTCCAATATGGTTTGACTAGTCGATGATGAAAAAGATCACCATTACCATTATCATCATCATTGCCGCCACCACCACCAGAATTGTGCTGCACGTTGCCATATACGGCTACCAAATCAGCCAAATTCCATATGAGAACTCGTGCGTCTTCGCCGCCAGTAATTAGAAAAGTACCACATGAACTAGATTGTATAACAGTTATACCTTGATAATGCGCTTCTTTAACACATAACAAATCCCCCGACGCAAATTCCCAAATGTACAATTTCCCCAGTTTCGAACCTCCACATAGTAGCCAGGGTACCCTATAATTAGGCTTTTTATGAGTGATTGACTTGTCACTTGCGTTAACAAAGTTGGGATGGTGTATGACATGTAAAGTAGTTAATGCTTCAGGGATTGGTAATCGTTGATCTATACTTTCTTTACCAAAGATGAACACATTGATCAAAGCTCTTTTAGAGTCACATGTAAATATACGTTCGCCCGCACCAATTCCAGTTATCGCTGTACCATTGAGTGGAGACGAAGCGTGCCTAAATGCTTCATATTGTTTTGAAGAATGAATTGAGCCAATATATGCAAATGACTCTGGTATTGCCGATGACGATGAAGACAATCCTGACAATCCAGACTTGTCTTTCGTTCCCTCTACTTGGTCGCCACTTTGCGAAATATAAAATATAACCTCATCCATCACAAAAAGGGGGGGAGGGGCACTTGTCTCTCTACCAAGCAAGCTATCTATCTATATATGTATAAAGACCTTATAACTAATAAAGTAAATTGATTTGAAAAGTTGCAAAATATTTGTAAGCGATGGATTTGTCGCAAAAAATGTTGAAAAATTATCACGACACTAGATCAAAACATTCGCGACATTGAAAAAAATTTCAAAAAAAAGTTGCAACCAAAAGGAATCGCCCTGGCTAATATTGACCAATAGAATATCAGCATTGGCATTGGTTCTTGTGAGAGTTTGTTTCTAGCAATGCCTGTTGACTTTGTTACGAGTGTGTTTCTAGATGGGCCGCAGGTGATACCCTATTGGGACCGGATTAAGGAATATGCCCCCGTTGTTGTTCCCATTTTAGCAAGTATTGGTGTTGCAAAATATTATTTTCGTGGAGTAACAAATACGTGGGAAAGAGATATGCATGGGAAAGTATATATGATTACAGGCGGTACGAGTGGTATAGGTGCGACTATTGCGTTTGAGTTAGCAACCAAGGGGGCACAGATAATCTTGTTGACGCGGAAAACTCGCGATTTGTGGCTTGCTGAGTATATTGAAGATATGCGTGATAGAACCAGTAATCCCTTAATATATGCCGAGGAGTGTGATTTGAATTCCCTTTATTCTGTACGTCAATTTGTTACCAAATGGTTGGACAATGTGCCTCCTAGAAGACTAGACGGTGTCATATGTTGTGCAGCAGAATCGATACCGAGAAACAGTCAACGACAAATCACCATTGATGGCGTTGAAAGACAAATTGGGGTAAATTATCTTGCGCATTACCATTTGTTGACTTTATTACAACCTAGTTTGCAAGTACAGCCTCCCGATAGAGATGTACGAGTATTGATCGCCACTTGTTCTTCACAGAGTTTGGGTGAGTTGGATTTGCAGGATTTGATTTGGGAAAATAAGCGATTTCCAAAAGAGCAGCCCTGGAAATTGTATGGAAGTTCAAAGTTGTTATTGTGTTTGTTTGCCAAACATTTTCAAAAGGAATTGATGGCCTATGAACGTAAAGATCAAGCTCCTTGCAATATTCGAATAAATATGGTTAACCCCGGTTTAGTGAGAACGCCTTCCATGAGAAGATTTATATCGATGGGGACGATTTGGGGGTTAATTTTGTATTTGATAATGTGGCCATTTTGGTGGATTTGTTTAAAAAGTTGTAGTCAAGGAGCACAAACCTTTTTTTTTGGCTTGTATTCTCCAATTTTGATGAAGATGGACGGGGGTCTTGTATTGCAGGAGTGTAAGATTTTAGGTTCTATGGCAAGAAAAGAGTATCTGGATGAAGAGTTGCAAAAAGAGGTTTTTCAAAAAACACAAGAATTGATCAAGAAATTAGAGGTTCAACTGGCTGTTGAGCGGAAAAAGAATAAGACCAAGGAGGAGTTGGAAAAGGAGAAGAATGCAAAGTTAAAGAAAGAGAAGGATCTTAGCATTCAGCCTCGATCGACAAAAGAGTTGGAGCAAAAATTGAATACGTTAAGGGATCAAATTGGCATCACCAATAAAAGCTCCTTGCTTCCAAGTGATGGTGTTGAAGAATTACCACTATTTCCTGATAAGGAAGCGTTAAAGACAGCCAAGGAGATTAGTGGTGGTGGCCAAAACAAAGAATTGAATAGTGCTAGTTCCAAGAAAAGCAATAACTCTAGCACCTCGAGTAAGCAAAAGAATAAAAAGAAAACCTAACTATTGTTTATAGATATAATAGCATTTCATTTCAACGATTTGTAGTCTTATTTTTCTACACGGACCTACTATCAAGCAAAGTGATAGATGTGTATGTGCTATACACGGACCTACTATCGAGCGAAGTGAAATAGTGGGGCTTTGATAGATGTGTATGTGCTACACACGGGTATATAATTCTACTTTACTAGTTATATTCTTTTTCTTGTAAGTGCTAGCGGGGGGGGGGGGGGGAAGATTTAAAAGGGATTCCGATTCCGATTCCGATTCCAATAGAAACAAAGACCCGTGGGGGTGGAGAGGGGAGGGGGGGTGTTTACGAATCACGTGACCAATACAAAAACGCCCTCCCTCCTAGAAAAATAATCAATAATAATAGGGGGGCGCGGGTGGGCACAATCAAGCATCGTACGTCAATTGCCTAAGAAAGCTGTTTTTAGCTTTTTCCACTGGATTGTTTAATAGTCTCAGTACCTTTTTCCACTGGATTGTTTAATAGTCTCAGCACCTTTACCCTTTTTCTACCAGTTGTGCTTTTTATGATCTGTATTGTTTTACAGTTTATTAAAGCGTAATAAGCTTATCTGTTATCAATGACAAATCAGATACTATCATGTAGTAATCTTTTTTGGTTTTGAATAAAGTACACGTACGCAATACAAAACCAAAAAGGCAACTTACTAATCAACTTAACTGAATTATAGAGGAGAGATAACTAGTAGAGAGAGAGAGAGAGAGAGAGAGAGAGCTTTCGCCAACCACTCTACAAGGTTTCCCATTACCCCCATTACCTTCTCCTAGTGTTGGTGAGATGGGCTAAGTAGAAAAGCTTTACTTATTTACATTTTAGAAAGTATACTTGTAATTTAGTATTTTGTTATTGTTTTCTTCTAAGCTTTTTCTTTACCTTTTTCCATTAAAGTTTTGATCTTTCAAAATTTTAATGCCGGTCGGTGGGAAGAGAAAACAATTCAAGTTTCTTTTTCTTTATTGATGCAATCGGTTTGCATTGCTGAACAGAGATAGAACTGATAGAGCTGTCTGAGCATAGATAGAACTGATAGAGCTGTGTTTAGTGTTAATGATATAATTGTAGTGGTGGTGCTATTAAGTTGTTATTGAGTTGTTAAATAATTGTTGTGATGATGTTATGACAATTATGTAGTGTTGTTGTATTGATCAAATAATTTGTCTTGTACTTTTTACAAATGATAAAACCACCATTGTTGCTACCCGATCGACATATCCTCAATACTTTGCTCTTTATCACCAGTACATTTTTCTTCTTCCTTTGAATTTTTAGATTTTTTTTTCTGTTGTATCTGATTCGGCAGTTTCATCGGAGAAGACAAAGAATCGCCTGTTTTTCTCGGTTTTAGGTTGAAGATTGAAGAAACTTAATACCAAGTCGCTTATAGTGGATAAAGTGGAATACCAAGTCGCTTATAGAGAAAGTGGAATACCAAGTCATAAAGTAAAGTGGAATACCAAGTCATAAAGTGGAATACCAAGTCATAAAGTGGAATACCAAGTCATAAAGTGGAATACCAAGTCATAAAGTGGAATACCAAGTCATAAAGTGGAATACCAAGTCATAAAGTGGAATACCAAGTCACTTTGAGATTGAGATTGAGATTGAGATTGAAAGAATGTCTTCAATGGCAGATCAAAGACAGCCCCAACAACAACGGCATCAACGGCATCAGCCGGTATCCTCGCTCACAAAGCTTTTAAACACTTCTTCACCACATCTTGTGCCACAGCCGAAAGGCAAGGATGACTCAAATGACAATGTTGAGTCAACCACAACACCAGATGAGAGCCATAGTCATAGTAATGGAGTTGCAATCAATGGTAACGGCTCGTTAAATAATTATCAATCACTTCATCTAGATACCTCAGGAGTAACAAAAGTAGGAGGAGGAGGGGCATCAACAGTAGCAGCAGCAGCAGCAGCAGGAACAGGAACAACAGCAGATGAGTTTGGTCCATCTCCCAATACAAAGATTGGCCAAATTTCTCCATTTACTCCAACTTCGGCTTCCTCATTTACAAGACAATCGTCAAGTTCATTTTCAAATAATTATCTATTTCAAAATCGACCTAATGCTAGTCCCAGAAACTTGAGAAACAATTCTATAAGTCATTCGTCATTTGCAATGGGATTTGGTGGAGATAGTTTATCAACTTCAATTCCTTATAGCGCCCCTGGAGGAAAGAGTAATAATCAAGCAATACACTCACATAATGGAAATGGCAATAACAATGGTTTTTCAAATGGAGCAAACCCTTCTTCTCTCCAGCGAGAATCATACTTATCTTCATTCAATTCAAATGACTCAAACTTGAATTTAAACCTAACTTCACATATTCCAAATTTGCCAAACGGTCAGCCTATTAATAGTATACATATTCAATCACCTCAGGTTAATTCGTCAAGTATTGATTCGAGATTTGTCATTTCAAAACAAAGAGTAGCTCAAGCACATGCATCACAATTGAGTACTTCTCAAAGATCCGGCTCACAAAGTGGATTGTCTTATTTCTTTTCATCAAAGAGCAAATCGTTGAAAAAGGATTCAAGTACTGATTTAGGTTCATTTTATAATAATTCGTATCATGACAATAATAATGAAGTTACCGGATCGCCGGGATCTTTTTCATCAATGGAGTCTGGTCATTCCTCAACAACAACAACAACAACAACAGCATTGCATAACACCATTACTGGTTTGGGTGGTCCAACTGCTATACCCTCCAGGCATAATTCAATGTCAAATTTAAAACGGTTTTTCAAAAAATCAACACCAGCGGCAATGCCATCCTCATCAAACCTATCCTCGTCATTGAAATCCGGTGCTATTGGCGTAAACAGTGGCAGTGGCAGTGGCAGTGGCAATGTTTCTAACTCGGTAAACATTCCTATACCAAATGGACACACTTTGGATTTTGTATCGGCAAATGCCGCATCGTCGTTTTCAAATAACTCCCCTGGAACACCTGCAACAACTTCTTCGTCGACGATCTCCATTAGCCGCTCATCAACACTACAAAACAAAATCAAATATCAAGAACGACGTCAATCTGTATCCCAAGTAATCAACCCCAATCAGCAATTGCCCTTTTCCAAACGGTATAGCAAACTTGGTGAAAGTCTTGGAGCAGGAGCAGGTGGCGCAGTGAAACTAGTCACACGAGTTGATGATAAAAAGGTGTTTGCCGTTAAGGAGTTTAGAGCTAAATATCAAAGCGAAACAAAAAGAGATTATGCCAAAAAGATTACTGGCGAGTATTGTATTGGATCAACACTAAAACATCCAAATATCATTGAAACAGTTGAAATATGTTACGAAAATGAACAAATTTTACAAGTTATGGAATATTGCGATTATGATTTGTTTGCTATAGTGATGTCGAACAAAATGTCTAGAGAAGAAATCAATTGTTGTTTTAAGCAAATCTTATCTGGTGTTCATTACTTGCATTCTTTGGGATTAGCACATCGTGATTTGAAATTGGATAATTGTGTAATCGATGCCAGAGGAATAGTCAAGATTATAGATTTTGGATCAGCAGTGGTGTTTTCATATCCATTTTCAAAAACACTTATTGAAGCTCAAGGTATAGTTGGATCTGATCCGTATTTGGCACCAGAAGTTTGTGTTTTCAACAAGTATGATCCAAGACCAGTGGATGTTTGGTCTACTGCTATTATATTCTGTTGTATGATGTTGAAGAAATTCCCATGGAAGGTTCCCAAATTATCTGATTCAAGCTTCAAATTATTTGCCACTAGAGGCGAGTTTATACCTATACTGGAAATGTTGAAAAAGACTCCTCAGGATATTGAACATTCACATTCATCTAGTGATGGCTCATCTGTATGCACATTGAGCAATCTCGGCGAAATTAGTGAAGCATTGGAAGAAGATATCTCGGAAATACCGTCGGCACTGAAGACTAAGCAAACAGCACAACAACTAGCCAATAATACCAAAAAAACTCGAGAAGCAAAAGATCACACATCAAGTGAAACAGGGGTTGATAGACTTCTTTTGGCATTACCTGAAGATTGTCGAAACTTGATTGGTCGTATGGTTGAACTAGCACCGGCATGTAGAATCACAATCGACGAAGTATTTGAAGATCCGTGGTTGAAGTCGGTTTGTATGTGTACAGTTGAGGAAGTTGCTTTGGGAAGCAATATCTTTGATGTTATCAAATGCGACGATCATGAACACACTCAAGTGGACCAGTCCAAGGCTCATATTGCAGCTTTTGAAAAAAGTAAGAAGAAATAAGGAGGATTTAAATTAAAAAAAAATGGAAAACAAAAACACAAATAATTTTGGGTTCAAATGGGAAAGGGTATTTAGTTCTTTTTAAGTAGCCAGTGTATAAAAAGACGATATATATATATATATATATATATATATAAGATAAATGGCATTATTGAATAGTTTATGGGCTCATCTTGTCTTATTTTTCTCTTTGCTATTTACATATAATTTTTATGGGACTTATTGGTCCTCTCTTGATCAAGGAACCACTTCGACACCAATAGCAGTTGCCGTACTAATTACACTACCAACAATAGCCTTCATATCAAGGCCCTTATGTCGTTCATCTTTTGATTTGATTTTGGCTATTTCCCAAACATGTTTTAAGCTAATCTTGCCTACTTTCTCTTTACCTGCGTTTCCCGAACCTTGGGTTATACCAGCTGCTTTCATAATTAGCCATGATGTTACTGGAGATTTTATCTCAAATTGGAAGGTCCTATCTGGTTTAATCTTAATTAGACATGGTATTGGCACACCTACACTTGAATCATAATGAGCTGTGCGTGCATTAAATTCTTTACAGAAATCTATGGCTTTGACTCCTTTTGACCCCAATGCTGGACCCACGGGCGGCGCGGGAGCCGCTTTGCCTGCTTCCACTACAAGTTTAACTAACGCGCCTTTGGCAGACATTTCCTAAAACTAGTTAAAGCTGGGAAAAGAGTAAATCGGTAATGATGGTGACTTGGTGACTTGGTGCCTTTTTTTTTTTGGTGAAAAATTTATATGAGGTTTTTCAAGAGATGAGATATATTGACTAAGAATGAGTAGTAGTAGTAGTAGTAGTAGTAGTAGCAAGTCATTGCCATTATCAGCCAGGGCCAAGACTACTGCATTGAAACAGCCAAAGGAGCTATTCACATATACTAGGGACATCGAAGGGGTATACAAGTATAATGCTAATCATTTACATGATGGATTATCGTACTATTATTTACCAGATGCTCAAATAGATCAAAGGATAGACTTACAGCTGGGGTTCAAAAAATTCAGGCAAATTCCAATTAAAGAAAACATGAGTGCCTTTAAGCCATTTCTTGAGTCAATTATGAAATACGAACAGGAGACTCTGAGTAAAGTTTCTGGTGACATTATAACTTTCCGAGGGATAATGACCAAAATATTGAGTCTACCTTATGATAACCAAGATGCGTTTGATCTAGTTATTGTACCCTTTGACGATCAGTTGTTTATGAATTTTGATAACGAAATTGAGTTGAAGAGGCGCATTGAGCAAGAAGATCGTACGCGCCAAACCAGCAGTGCAGAAAAGTATGAATATTTGAAAAAATGTGAGTATTCAGGGTATAAGTTTGAAACAGTGGTAACCATACCTGATACATGGGGTAATGTTTCACGCAAGACTATTGAATCGCGACTGAAAAAACAAGTCAACAATTATGAGCAATTTTTGTCAGTAGCCAAAACCGGTATTGGCAATTGTAAACTCATACTAGCAGGGGAAATTGATTGTTGTTGGGATTACATGCCAGACACATCTCAGAACTTGCTACATTATGTTGAGTTGAAAACCTCTCATGTAATAGAAACCAACAACCAGGTAAACAACTTTGAAAAAAAACTATTCAAAACATGGTGTCAATGTTTTTTGATGGGAGTGACTAAGATCATTTATGGATTTCGTGATGATTCATTTATACTTCGTAATGTTGAAATATACAACACTGAAGAGATTCCAGTTCTTTTCAAAGAAAATCCATTAAATCAAAACCAATCGACGAGAAATAGGATAAATTGTACTAATGCTTTGAAATGGTATGGTGCTGTTGTTGAATGGTTGAATGACTCTATTGACAGGAAGGATGAACTGAAAAGCTGGTGCTTGAAATATAATCCGATTGAAAAGAGTTTTGTCTTGAGTCAAGCGTCACTGCTGATGAACGATTCTTTGAGGAATGGGGGGATTTTGTTAACCGAAGAGTTTAAACAATGGAGGAGGGCGAAAGGAGCAAACTGAGACAATGCAAAGATAAGTTTGTAATATATTGACTTGTTTCTACTTCAAGAGGACACTATCGAGCGGGCACTGTGTAGCTGCCATTGACCAGCGACACTATCGAGCGGACACTATCGAGCGGGCACTTTGTAGCTCCCACCGACTAGCGGCATTATCTCGCTTCGCTCGATAATGTCTAGTATAGCATTGACTTTGGGTCCCATTTCTCATTTTGAATAAATTCAATCAAACTTTTGCTGCCCGTTTGTAATAACGGATGTCCGCTAACAATAATTAAAAACCGTTCCAATCCTGATCTGCGCTTTTCTATATTTAGCTCATTGAATTTATTACTGTTCAACAAAATTCTTCCAGGTAATTGCGGAATCACTACCCTTGTAGTCTCTTGCTCTAAGATCTTTCTAAATGCAACGAAATCACTATATCTTCTACGTACTCGGCTCAGTCTTTTTTTAAATGCAGGGATATTTGTACGGCATATGATTTCATAGTCGGTGTACATTTGACCGCTTTCATACCCATGAGTTTGAGGATTTTTCACTTCTACTTCGAGAAAGTTCTCAGGTACGCCGTAGATCTCGGAAAATGTTTGTGATTTATGCGGAGAGGAAGAATTGGCGCTAGTTGACGAGGAAATTGCATCGGTTATAGGTTCAAATTGTCTCGACATTGTTCAAAGAGCCGCTCTCTCTCGCCTATAGCTTACAGATATATATATATATATGCTATCCTTGTATACTATGAAGATACGTACAAATTCAGAATAAAAGCTTAAAGTTTCAAGTTAAGTAATGGTTATCAATTTTATAACCGTGATGTTTGTGATAAAAAAATAGTTACCAGGTGATTCTTTTTTTTTTTTTCCTTTGGTCGTAGTCGCCGTAGTGACGATGAAATTTGGTAAGGAATTAAGACAAAAAATTTAGCTACACTATAAACACTATCGAGCAGCGCGAGATAGTGTTGAAACAAGCTACTGAACACTATCGAGCAGCGCGAGATAGTGTCGCTCGATAGTGTCATACCAAGCTGCTGAGGATTGGTCCACTATGAACACTATCTCGCTCTGCTCGATAGTGTTGCTCGATAGTGTCGTTCGATAGTGTCGTACCAAGCTGCTGAGTATTGCTCCACTATCGAGCAGAGCAAAGTAGTAAACTACAATTAAATATCAATAATACATAGTCAGTATAGTTTACACACTGACTAGCTGCTATCGACACTATCTCGCTCTCCTCGATAGTGTCAATTAGTAGCTTGCTATGACACTATCACGCTCTGCTCGATTGTATCTCTCAATCACGTGACCGTTTAGATAAAGAATCAACAAGGCTTTACATTGATAAAGCCAAATGTAATATGCTACCATATTACATTTGTGAGACCAAACTACGCATGGCTCTTTAGAGCCATCTTTTTAGACTAGACTCGCTTCGCTCCTCTAGTAGATAGAGTAGTCTATAGAGAAGCCATCTACATCCACACCAGAGGCTGCCGCCTCAGGTATGAAATTAGTGGGTTGAGGAATAGAAATCATTGATGTATCAAATTATTGTTATGTCTTCATAAATTCATTATGGAATATACTTAATATCGATATGACTTGGAAAAATGAATAGATAAAGTAACAAGTAACAGCCATCTCTTTAGCATTGCACATTTTAAGCACCAACATTGACTAGCTGCCACCAACACTATCGACACTATCGAGCAGAGCGAGATAGTAAAGCAGCTTTGACTAGCAGCCACTGACTCTATCTCGCTCTACTCGATAGTAAAGCAGCTTTGACTAGCAGCCACTGACTCTATCTCGCTCTACTCGATAGTAAAGCAGCTTTGACTAGCAGCCACCGACACTATCTCGCTCTACTCGATAGTGGAACAGCTTTGACTAGCAGCCACCAACACTATCTCGCTCTGCTCGATAGTGTTAGTCAGTGTGCTCCACTCGATAGTGTCTGGTTTCCAGATTTAGTAAAATTGACCTCTATTACCAGGAGCATTGTTCAAAGCATTACTACAAAAAACCCAAACATGAGGCCATCCGAAAAAGAATGCAATACCGGTAAACCACATGGCAATATCAGGTACACGTTTGAAGTAGTATTTATACTGTGGAACAATTTGATACGAATGGGTGTTTTTAGCTGCAGTTGAAGCAAAGGTTCTGAAACCAAATGGAGTAGTTCTGCTAGCTGTTGCTTTGGATATTCCAACAAGTCTAATTATTGATGGATGCATGGCTTACTATGATATATTGAATATATATAAAGAGATGATGAGTGTAAGTAAGGAGAAAATAAACAAGTATATAAAATTAATAAAAATAGTATCTATAGAAAACAGTATTTATAAGTCCAATAGGATATAAAAAAAATGCATCATACTTTATAATCCTTGATGTTTTTACTTGTTTCGATATGAAATGAATCTTATTGGATGTAAAGCAAACAACTTTGTTAAAAGTTACATTTAAATACCACTCTAATAGGAATAAAAATATAACCAAAAAAAGGACAAGATTCTATGCAGAATAGAAATTGATGCAACAGTAATCAGCAGATATTTTTATTCCCCTTCCTTCCCCCACCACCACCGCCAATTGCAACTTAATTCTCCCGCATTTTTCATTAAAACTTTTTTGGGTGCAAATTTTCCCTTGACATTTTTTTCCTTGTCAAAAAGGTGGTGTGATTTTTTTTTCTCCCTAAAAATGACTTGATGCATACAACTGCATGGCACTTTGTACTCCACTAGCGAACAAAGCGAGCTAGTGGAGAAGCAGTAGAGCCCTAGCGAGCAAAGCTAGCTAGTGACATAGTAGGACCAAATTGTAACTCTGTTGTCGCTAATCAGTGCTGCTCCACTATCTCCCTTTGCTCGCTAGTGACATAGTAGGGCCAAATTGTATCTCTGTTGTCACTAATCAGTGCTGCTCCACCAGCTCGCTAGTGACATAGTAGGACCAAATTGTAACTCTGTTGTCGCTAATCAGTGCTGCTCCACCAGCTCGCTCTCCTCGATAGTCGGTGGCTAGTGGGTAGCTCCGCGTTTGGTAGCGACAAGCAAATTGTCATTGGGAAAAGGGATAGGAAAGATGATGTTTAAACTTACTATAGTCTAAATCTCAAATAAATTTGGTCTCTTGATGGCAGGGTAACACACCTACACATGAGATGTAACTTGGTAAACCTGTATAACCTAAAAAAAGACAACGACATACAAACAAATAGCAATAGTATATGATATTTTCGATAATGCTGATGATAAATAATAACTTCAATTGACAAAAGTCCACTGCTTCAATACTCTTCTCTCTTCCCTTTAATAGTATTCTTCTTCTTCTTCCTCCGCCACCTCAATTGTTCTTCTCAATTGTTCTTCTCCTTTTGCTCCTTCTCAATTGTTCTTCTCCTTTTGCTCCTTCTCAATTATTGCTTCTTGTACACGGAAAGTATTTGCATCATATGCAACGTCCTTCACTATAGCGACTCTCATTGTAGCTAATAGATTATGAGCAGCATTAGAATGAGCATATACAGCACCGCTAAATGCTTTAGTGCCATCTTTACCCAAGGAAGCTCTTATCAATGCTTGTCCACCTGGGTGTTCTTTGATAAACAGCTTTACATCGTGAATAATACCCGATATTATAATCAAACCTTCACTCTTTGCACGTTCATTAAATTCTTCTCTAGTCCAAACGGGCAACTCTTCAACTTTAGTACCCCATTTCAATTTCTGTTTCATTCTGTCCAACTTCTTTTGTTGTTGTTGTAACAAACCTTGTTCAATTGCATTCTGTGAAAACATTTTCAAATTCCAAGCCAATCCCAATTTCGATAAGCACCAAATAACAATCTTGGTTGGATCATATTGGTACCACTTCAATGCATTTCTATAGTCACTAGGGAATTCGTGATGGAAATTATGGTATCCTTCACCAAATGTAACAAATGCAGTCAACACATGATCACGAGGGGTTCTTCTATCGTCAAATGGCTGTACACCAATCCAGTGAGCCAACGAATTAACACAAAATGTAACTTGTTGAATGAAAAACGACTTCAAGACTCCAGCATAAATGAAACCACCCCAATAATCACCCCATAAAAAGCCAGCCACAAGTGTTGGGAAAACAAATGCGGATAAAAGCATAAACAAGAAATAGTGTGTATGTTGAACACGAACTACCCAGTCGGCGGTTAAATCAGAAATATCAGCTCTTGCTCTGTTTTTAGGATTGGCCTTCATCAACATCCATCCCATGTGCGAGAACCAGAAACCTCTTCTTGCATCATAGGGATCTCTCGAAGTATCAGTATACCTATGATGAATACGATGAGAATGTCCCCACCATTTAATACTACCTTCAATGGCACCAGCACCAAAGAATGCAAAAAACAAACGAACAGGCAATACAGCGTCATATGATTTGTGGGAATACAAACGATGGTAACCAGCAGTAATTGAAACACCACTAAACACATACAAGATAAAAGCCAATACCAATGTTTTTAGTTGTGGTGGTGAATATATAGCACAAGCAAAACCAAATAATGGGAAAGCAATAGTCAACACAACATTAAGCCAGTTGATCTTTTTGTAAAAATTGTCTCTTGTCCATGGCTCTTCCGAAATATGTTTTTTATTCTTGTATCTGGCCTTTTCACGTTCATCCTTTTCAGCCAAGGATTCCATTGAATCCTTGGTAATTTCTTCAGCAGTCACCTTAACAAGATCGGCAGTACCCATCAACCTACCACCTAAACCTGCTGCCACAATTCTTGGTACTTTCTTGTTTGTACCTGCAGCAATAGCATTTAACTTGGTTATTTCAACCGTCTCCAATTGATCGCAGGTCATTGTCACCTTCTCTTAACTTTTTTTCTTTTGGAGTGAACTGGTGGGAGCAACCTCTAACAGAAAAGAAAGATGATAAGAAAGAAACTTATATTTTTACAAAAAAAAAAAGCCCCCTTCCCCTTTGAAAGCTACACACAGACGATTAAATTGACTTATATATCTCTACAAAAAGGAGAAATTTCCTCCTAAAGGTAAAATCTTCTGATAGTTTCACCTTTGGAAATCTAAAAAATCAGCTTCCTATAGAAAAAGGCCCAAAAAAAAAAAAAAAAAAAAAAAAAAAAAAAAAAAAAAAAAAAAAAAAAAAAAAGAAAAAGAAAAAGAAAAAGAAAAAGAAAAAGAAAGAAATAAAAGGGAAGAAATCAATATTCCTGCTATACGAGTAGCTTTCTACTGGATTTGTATAGTAGTAGCTAAACGCAAGGCCATTAGGTACCCATTAGAGGCTGCTGGTGCCGCAACTTTCTGGTGGTAATATCACTGCCACTACTAGTGGCGGTGCTGGTACTAGTGGTCGCTAGGTGCTGCTCCCTGCTGCTCGTGCGGTTAATCTGCATGCCATTTAAGTTTTTTTTTTTTTTTTTGTTGAGCAAAAAAAGAAAGGAAAAAAATTGAAAGACAACAGATCATTTATGTGCAGTACTTTATAAATTGTTGAGGTAGTGTATACTGTGGCAAATACGGTTTTGTAGAAAAAACACTAAGGGTGAATGGAGCCCTTTTTTTAAAAAGGACTATATGAATATGAAGATAAAAGAGTAACGAGTTTAGAAAATAAGCTGATTCTTTGAATCCAAAGAGAAAGTGAGTCCTGAAATTTGTAAATGGCGAGATTCTCAAAAAATTTGTTGAATTTAGAGGCGACACTATTGAGCGGAGCGAGATAGTGGAGCATATTGACTAGTTACTATTTGCTGTAGTTGAGTTTGTATGATTTGCTGTAGTTGAGTTTGTATGATTTGCTGTAGTTGAGTTTGTATGATTTGCTGTAGTTGAGTTTGTATGATTTGCTGTAGTTGAGTTTGTATGATTTGCTGTTGTAGGCAAGTAAGCTAAAGGGTTGGTTTTAGAAAAGTAGATAGAATCTCACTTTATTGGGTTCTTTACAATACCTGTCTTTTCTATACTTTAACACATTCACACCCTATTTACACCCTATTGTCAACTAAACGTTTGATTGACTCGTTTTAACTTATCCCAATCTAGTAACTTGTCTATAATTTATTTGGTAATAGGACTTAACGGAGATTGGAAATTTAAATTATTTTATGGTGAAAAAAATTCATGGGCTCCTAAACTGATGATAAGTGTCTTTACGTACACACATGCAAACTAGTTTCATAGTGTTATCTATTGATGAGCTTATCAGAAATGGACAAAAATCCATTTATCCGACACCAGCAACAACAACACTATTGAGCAGAGCGAGATAATGTTACACACGGGGTCTGAATGCATCCTTACACTCTACACTATCGAGCAGAGCGAGATAGTTTTACTTACACTCTATTCTACTCTACACTATCGAGCAGAGCGAGATAGTTTTACTTACACTCTATTCTACTCTACACTATCGAGCAGAGCGAGATAGTTTTACTTACACTCTATTCTACTCTACACTATCTCGCTCCGCTCGATAGTGTCGATAGTGTCTATAGTGTCTGCACAAGAAAGGTGAATTTGTTGAAAATTAAAGTGACACAATATGAGAAAAAATAGTATTGGCTACCCAATTGTATTGTTGAAATCTACAGGTACCTTTATCTAAGGGTGTCATTTTGTTGCATGACGAGGCTGCTCTCTACTATCGAGCAGAGCGAGATAGTGTCGATAGTGTCGGTGGTAGCTAGTGTCGATAGTGTCAGTAGCAGCTAGTGTCGATAGTGTCAATATAGTCAGTGACACCTAGTGTACTCCACTATCTCGCTCTGCTCGATAGTTCAATAGTGTCGAAAGGCGGGTTTCTTTTATTCCAATAGTGGTTTGAAATTTTAGTTGTACCTAGGAGGTAGCACTTCCTAGGTAGCACTTTCTTTATGCATGACTCAACTTCACCTCACCTTGAGGCTTTTACTACTTACGCTGTATCAACTGCAAGTGTAATCCTTGGTTTTTTCCTGCAGAAACAATCAATTGATTTACGCTAAATATGTAATTCATAAAATGTGAAACGTAAAATGTAAAATAACTGAAAAGTATATTGTTGAAAAGTATATTGTTGAAAAGTATATTGTTGAAAAGTATTTAGTTGAAAAGTATACGATAGATAATACAGTAGAAGTAATACAGTAGAAGTAATACAATGCAAATTGAAGTATATCTGCAAGCACTCCACTATCGAGCAGAGCGAGATAGTGTCGATAGTGTCGATAGTGTCGATAGTGTTGGTATTAAGTGCTGCTCCACTATCTCGCTTCGCTCGATAGTGTCGATAGTGTCGATAGTGTTGGTACTAAGTGCTGCTCCACTATCTCGCTTCGCTCGATAGTGTTGATAGTGTTGCTACAAAGTGATGCTCCACTATCTCGCTTCGCTCGATAGTGTCGATGTCGATTATTTTTTTCCAAGATAGGAGAAGGTTTAAGCTTAGTATACGATATTACTTGTCGTAACAGGCAATTAACCTCTTTTTTCTTCTCAAATAATACCCGATTGAGACTTGACATGGAAACTCTAGTCTCTGTCTCTAGTCTCTGTCTCTAGTCTCTGTCTCTAGTCTCTGTCTCTAACCTCTGTCTCTAACCTCTGTCTCTAACCTTTACCTTTTTTCCCTCACATATATACCCATAATCTACAAGCTACAATCTCATCTTACCCCATTGAAAGGAGGTCTTGCTCACCCTAGGAGGAACAAAAAAAAAACGACCAATATTTGGTGCTCTTTTGTAACAATATTTGATTCACACACTTCAACAATATTTGACTTTGCTTACACTTAACAATTTATTTGATTGATTGGTTCCCCCCTCTAACAACAAAATATCTTGAGATCTTTCTTCACCATCATTTTTTTTTTTTGTTTGCCCCATTCTTTTTTTCTCCTTTAATATACTCCTATACTTTTTATAAGCTTTAGGTCCTAGTTCATGGTTAATCCTCCGCAACCAAGACAACAATCGCCTCGGGCGTCGCATTCGCAATTATCGTCAAAGCATTCACCAAGTATTTCGCACAACCAATCCGGACACTCTACTACTCCACATAATTTGCATCTTCATCACACTTCATCAACATCAACCACAATATCGTCAACATCAACAAATTCTTCAATGTCCTCCTCAAATCAATCACTGCATGGTCATGCACACACATATCCACACGGCCATAATCACCCACACGTACACCCACACAACCATCCCTCACGCAAGCCCTCAATTGTCGAATTGTTGAGCTCACCTCCTCCTTTACCTGTTGATCAAGACGACTCTATACATCATTTGAGTTTGTCGAGAAATCCATCAATAAGCTCGAGAACCTCGGGCGGATCTTTCAATCCATTTAACTCGGGAAATGGCAATATTCATAATACCTCGCAAAGTCAAAATCAAAGCCAAAGCCAAAGTCAAGGCTATTCATCAAATACAGCGGTAGATTGGGACGAGCTTTTGTTAACAGAGGTTGTCGAACCCAGCAAGCTAGTCCATATCCCTTCTTCGTACTCTGTTCAAGCCGCGTTTGAAACCTTGGTAAAAAATGATTTGACTAGTATTCCTGTTTCGGTATCAAAAGATGATCCAGACGACTTGAGAAACTGCTTAACATTTGATTATAGTGACTTGAACACTTATTTGTTGTTGATCATGAACAAGATTGACTACAATGAGTTGAACGTTGACGAGATTGGCGATGAGAAAACTAGCTTGCAAGAGAAACACGATATTGTAGTGCAAGCCATTAACAAAGCCAAAAAGGGAGAAGAGGTCCCAGTTGAGTTTATAATTAAATTACATCCAAAAAACCCGTTTATCAAGTTTACACAAACAGATACCTTGTTCTCAGTAATGGAAACCTTGGGTAATGGAGTACATCGAGTAGCCATAACAAATGAAGAGGGGACTAAGATAACTGGTATACTTTCACAAAGAAGATTAATCAAATATATGTGGGAAAACGCTAGAAGATTCCCGCTGTTGGAATTTTACTTTCAATCTACTTTGCAAGATTTGAAAATCGGCTCTAATAATCCAATAACCATATATGAGGATCAGCCAGTACTAGAAGCATTACACAAGATGTTTAATGAAAACGTATCGTCATTAGCAGTGATTGATAGGTCTAAGAACTTAATTGGAAACATATCAATTGTTGATGTGCGCAACTTGACTAGTTCGAAAAATAGTCACTTGTTATACAAATCGGTTTTAAATTTTATTAGCTACAATTTAACGCAAAAAGGTATTGAGGAAGGTCAAGATCAATTCCCGATTTTCCATGTAAATAATCAAAGTTCTTTAGGAAGAGTAATTGCTAAATTAGTTGCTACTCAATCCCATAGATTATGGGTTGTTGATACTTCGAGAAAGGCCAGTTGTCAAAGTTCTCAAAGTTCACCTGCTCCTAATAGTGGACTAAACAGTGGCGTTACCATCCCAGGTGTCACACAACCTACAGATGCGTCAATTACAAACAAGGCAGCAGCTGCTGCAAGTGTTGAACCGTCGTCGTCGTCGTCGCCTATGAGCAATAATCCGGCGGTATCCTCCACTGCTACTTTAACAGCAATAGCAACAACTTTATCATCATCATCATCATCACATCATAATAGTATTGCTTCGTCGTCCTCTTCTTCGTCGAGTGTATGCGCAGTAGGAGCAGGAGTAGCAACCACTAGTACAGTACAACAAGAAACTGGATACACAGGTGGAACAGGTAAATTGATTGGAGTAGTTACCTTGACTGACATATTGGGATTATTTGCCACTATTAAAGGAAGAAGAACCAATCCACAATCAGCTAGGAATCAAAGAAGAAGAAGCTCTACGTCAACTACAAGATCGTCAATTGATAGTATAGAGAATACTTTATCTGGTGGAAATATTAGTGGCAACTTAAATAATGGAGGAAATGCACTTTCTCCGTCACAAACTACATCTTTGTCATCATCATCATCATCATCGTTTCAAGCGCCAGTACAATTACAGCAAGCGGGAATTGGACCAAGAGGCAGCAGTATTACTGATTCAAATAGTGAAATTTTTCGGAAACAATTTATCAAACCTCAAGAAAATGCGTTTTCTAAAGAGTGATAAAGGGACTTCATTTATTGATTGATGCTTTTTCCAAGGAACAATCATAAATTGACTAGTTTCGTTAGTGTTTGTGGAGGCATGGAAGTTGGGGGGGAGGGGGGAGGGGGGATGGAACGTGGTTTTTTCTGTTGTTTTTTTTAATCTTCTTGTGGCCTCTTTCTTAGTTATTTAACAAAATGTATTCAAAAATCAGTAAACACTGTATTGATAATATTATGTGACAGTATCGTGTGTACTATATACATGCGAAACGAAATAAGAAGATGATATCCTATCGACACTATCGACACTATCGAGCAGAGCGAGATAGTGGAGCACACTAGCTGCCACCACTAGCTGCCATCACTAGCTGCCACCACTAGCTTTGAAAAACATAACAAAAAATTTTACAAGAAAAAAAGGTTGGTGGTGTAGAGAAAAAGGTTGGTGGGAAAGTGGTGTAGAAGGAAGAGGTGATTTTTTCCCCCTGGATGATAATGAGTGATATGGTGATTCTCTCATACTCTGCTCGATAGTGTTGCTCTGCTCGATAGTGTTGATGAGATATGTGTGCTCCACTATCTCGCTCTGCTCGATGTCGCTCTGCTCGATGTCGCTCTGCTCGATGTCGCTCTGCTCGATAGTGTCGCTCTCAAAGAGCCAAAATAAATTTTTTGCACCTTAATTTAAAAAATTACATGTATATGCAAGTTTCACTTTAAATAAATACTTTAAAATTTACTCACCTGTGAAGCTGGAGCAACACTAGGGAGCGAAGCGAGTTAGTGGAGCAGTATGTAGTGTCCCGCCAGGTCTCTTGCTTGTTAGAGGTTACTATCTCTTGTAACCCAACATAGAAGCAACACTATCGAGCAGAGCGAGATAGTGTCAGTAGTATTGGTGACAGTCAGTGCTGCTCGATAGTGTCAGTAGTATTGGTGACAGTCAGTGCTGCTCGATAGTGTCAATAGTATTGGTGACAGTCAGTGCTGCTCGATAGTGTCAATAGTATTGGTGACAGTTAGTAACTACTGCTCAACTATCTCGCTTCGGGACACTACATGCTGCTCCACTATCTCGCTTCGGGACACTACATGCTGCTCCACTATCTCGCTTTGGGACACTACATGCTGCTCCACTATCTCGCTTTGCTCCCTAGTGTCGCGAAGCTATACCGTTTAGTTGTACTTGTGATATAAGTATCAACTAAAATTGGTAGTATTTTGAAAAAAAACCATTAGGGTTCCTTGTACTGTATTTTAATTTTTCACTCAATAGTCAATTTTTTTTCTTTTTCTTTTTCTTTTTTTTACTTGGGGCGATGAGCATAATAGGGCTGAAAAATTGGCTAAAAATTGGCATGATGGACCTTATGAGTTAGTTGATGTTGGGCCAAGTTAGTTCCATCCCTAGAGCCAAATAGTAATGAATTACTGGGCAACATCCCCGCAGCAATTCATTGTCATTTCGAGTAAGCAAGGATGAACTTGTACTACATTAGTTTAACTTAATAGCCTTTTTTATAGGCTTTTTTATAGGCCTCTTTTATAGGCTTTTTTATAGGCCTTTTTTATAGGCTTTTTTTGTAGGTGTTTAGTTTTGGGTTTTCTCCCCTTCTCATACAAAAAAAAAAGTAACATAAAAACATTGGAGAAGATGTATAAAAAAGAATAAAAGTGTACAATTTGATGTGACGAGTTTTCTCAATAAGATTGGGGGAGGAGGGATGCCGTAAATATTCAATTTCTGGGGAGGGAATGTAAGTCAACAGAGATGAATACCCCTAACCACCATCAAAAAAAAAGAAAAAAAAGAAACCGTGCCCTCGCCTCAACCGTCTACTACCTCTTTTTTCCGTCTCGTTCACCTCTCCTACTATCTCATTCACCTCTCCTACTATCTCATTCACCACCTCACCTACTCACCTACTCACCTACTCACCTACTCACCTACTCACCTACTCACCTACTCACCTACTATCCTATCCTTTGCTATATGGATGACTCTTGCTAACATTTTCCAAACGCTACCAAATGGGCGGAAAAAAGACAGCATTACACATAACTCATCTCCCTTAACAATAAGCCCTTTCTCTCTTTGTAGCTCATAATATATAAGCTTTGAAATTTGTACTACATCATCAGGTTGAAAAAAATTTTCTCCTCCTTTTCTTTCCTTCTTTCTTCTTCTTTTTTACACATTTTCACAAAACTTTTTTGTAGTAGGTAAGTAGTACTGATATTCAAATATGGGTAAAGAAAAGACTCACGTTAATGTCGTTGTCATTGGACACGTCGATTCTGGTAAATCAACTACTACTGGTCACTTGATCTACAAGTGTGGTGGTATTGATAAAAGAACCATTGAAAAATTCGAAAAAGAGGCTGCTGAGTTGGGTAAAGGTTCCTTCAAGTACGCATGGGTCTTGGATAAATTGAAGGCTGAAAGAGAAAGAGGTATCACTATTGATATCGCTTTGTGGAAATTCGAAACTCCTAAATACATGGTTACTGTTATTGATGCTCCAGGTCACAGAGATTTCATCAAGAATATGATTACTGGTACTTCCCAAGCTGATTGTGCTATTTTGATTATTGCTGGTGGTACTGGTGAATTCGAAGCTGGTATCTCCAAGGATGGTCAAACCAGAGAACACGCTTTGTTGGCTTACACCTTGGGTGTTAAGCAATTGATTGTTGCTGTCAACAAGATGGACTCTGTCAAATGGGACAAGAACAGATTTGAAGAAATTGTTAAGGAAACTTCCAATTTCGTCAAAAAGGTTGGTTACAACCCAAAGACTGTTCCATTTGTTCCAATTTCTGGATGGAACGGTGACAATATGATTGAACCATCTACCAACTGTCCATGGTACAAGGGTTGGGAAAAGGAAACCAAGGCTGGTAAATCTACCGGTAAAACTTTGTTGGAAGCTATCGATGCTATTGAACCACCAACCAGACCAACCGATAAACCATTGAGATTGCCATTGCAAGATGTTTACAAGATTGGTGGTATTGGAACTGTGCCAGTTGGTAGAGTTGAAACCGGTATCATCAAGGCCGGTATGGTTGTTACCTTTGCCCCAGCAGGTGTTACCACTGAAGTCAAATCCGTTGAAATGCACCACGAACAATTGACCGAAGGTGTTCCAGGTGACAATGTTGGTTTCAACGTTAAGAATGTTTCAGTTAAAGAAATCAGAAGAGGTAACGTTTGTGGTGACTCAAAGAATGATCCACCAAAAGGTTGTGATTCATTCAATGCTCAAGTTATTGTCTTGAACCACCCTGGTCAAATCTCTGCTGGTTACTCTCCAGTCTTGGATTGCCACACTGCTCACATTGCTTGTAAATTCGACACTTTGATTGAAAAGATTGACAGAAGAACTGGTAAGAAATTAGAAGAAGATCCTAAATTCATCAAATCCGGTGATGCTGCTATCGTCAAGATGGTTCCAACCAAGCCAATGTGTGTTGAAGCTTTCACTGATTACCCACCATTAGGTAGATTTGCCGTTAGAGATATGAGACAAACCGTTGCTGTTGGTGTTATCAAATCAGTTGAAAAGTCCGACAAGGCTGGTAAAGTCACCAAAGCTGCACAAAAAGCTGCTAAGAAATAGAGAGATTTAGTTATATAGTAGGTAATTGAATTCTTTGTACATTTTTATAATCTATCTCTATCCTTTTTTTTTTTATTCTAAAGCAAAGAACAAAGAACAAAGACTGGAGCCTGTTGCTAATGCAAGCTACTGATTGTTGTTCTTTGTTGTTGTTGTTGTTGTTGCCACTACCCAGTGCTTTTTTTCATCACAAATGTGATTGGAAACTTGCGATCTGATAATTGGTTATTGAACATTTTTTGCAACACGTTGTCGAATTGAAACTGTGAAGTTACCTCAGGGTCGTAGTGCTGGTAATCATTTAAAGCGCTTCTCACTATATTCTTCTCCACATCTACATTCTGTTTCATTGTTTGTTGCAACTCAGTGGCTGACACCCAAGATTGAGTAGCTTTTACTTGAAATTCCTCGCTCTCATCGTTATCATCTGTGAGGACCTCATCTTGCGTCAAGCTGGATCCATCGCCATGACAAGGGCATTCTAGCAAGTCATGTGTATTTGATATTGTTGTAGAGTCCACTTCAAATATCTTCTTTAAATCCTCTTGCTCAAACACGTCCGTTTTAGAGGCACTATCATTATCAAGAAATTTCGATGACAACTTATTTTTCACCAATTGTCGCTGAAATATCTTTTCATCAATACACCCTGCTGTGAATAATCTGTAGATGTAGCAAGGTTTCAGTTGACCGTCTCTATGTATTCTAGACATTGATTGGAGATCAGTAGAAGGATTCCAATCATTATCAAACAATATTAAACGCGAAGCACCAACTAAATTGATTCCCATGCCTCCTGATTTGGAAGATAACAAAAACACGTGTATTTCTTTGGAGCTATTGAACTCTGTAACAAGTTTATTTCTCATGTTATTTGGTGTTGATCCATCTAGCCTAGTATAGTGCAAATTGAGCTTTTTCAAAACAAGTTCTAGCAAATCCAAAGTTTTGGTGTAGTTTGAAATAAGCACTGTTTTCTCATTAAGCGAAACAATTTCTAGTAGTAATGGAATGAGAGCATTAATTTTACCCGAGCTTGTAGAAAGTCTGAGATTATTGTTATTGTTGCTTGTTATTTTATGAAAAAACTCGTCAGTTGATAGTAATGATGGGGAATTACAAATTTTGCGAAACACATTTATCAACGCTAATGAAATCAGTCCGCAATCCAACTGGTTAAATTTGTCTGACTTCTTTACTAGCTCAAAAAGGTCTAATTGAAGTCGAGTTGGAGGAACAAACAATAGGATGTCTGTTTTTGATGTTAAATAATTTTCAAGTAGCGACTGTGTTCGACGTAGTATAAACTTATGAGTCAACCGGATTAGTTCTTTTGAGAGCTCCTCACCTTTTCTTTTGATTTCTGTATTGAAACAGTTTTTATCCCTTGCTTGTGTTATAGGAAGGATAAACTTTCTTTGGAAAGTCTTAATATCAGGCAAAACAGAAGGATTGATGAAGGAGATCAATGTGTGAAATTCCTCCAAATAATTTTGTATTGGAGTACCCGTTAGTATAATCTTTTTTGGAATGTTCAACTTTTTCAAATTGATTAGCACTTTGTTTGAGCTATTCTTTAGTCTGTGCCCTTCATCGCACACCAAAAGGTCGAAATTGACTGTAGACAATTCATCAAAATGCGCGAGTATTTTTTCATAGTTGATTATTAGCACTTGGTATACATGAAGCTTCCCAAAATTTATGATATCACGCTTATCGTCTGACATGGGATTGTTCAAGGTTAGTATGTTCAATTTATTTGATCCCAACCATTTTTTGAACTCGTGTTTCCAGTTGCTTATTAAAGTAACGGGACATACAATCAATACTTTATCAACGGTTGTCTTTTTCTGATTGGGATAGGGGTTTTGCTTGAGCAAAGTCCATATAGTAGTTACCGCCATCAAGGTTTTACCAAGCCCCATTTCATCAGCTAGCAAACATCCATTTCCTTCAAAGTCGCGAAAGCCCATAACACATTCATACATGAAGGATACGCCTTCAACTTGATGAGGCCTCAACTTCGATGCAAGATGCGGATCGATAGTTACTTTCACAGGCTCCTCTTCCAGCGGTGGCGGTATTAACTGGAACTCATTCTCTTTGGTGTCATATAACGGGACGTGTTTTTTCAAGGTTTCTTCGTGGTTGGTGGGTGCAACTTTAATAAAACTCTTTGGTAGTGATGGATTACTCTGCATTTCATCTGAACAAGATAAATTGCTTTTCCTTGTAGGACTGGTATCAGTTTCGATTTTTTCATCAAGAATTATCTCGTATAATCCAATGGGAATAACATCGTTCAAGTTTAATAGTTGGTTGAATGTCTTTTTGCTCATAATTTTCCCATCGGAGTTCTTCAAGACAATTTCACAACCTTGAGATACAAGCTTGACTGTGGCCTTTCCATCACCATCCCAACTTTTATTCTTCTTATTGGTTTTTTTCCTCCACTGGACAATATACTTGGTGACCTCATTGCAGTCTGAGGCCGAGGCCGAGGCCGATGAGCATACTTTTTTAGTTGGAGATTCAGACGCGTTTCGATTAACTCTTTTCAAGCCAGGATAACGTTTTGTTATGGCCGACAAGGACGCGTTATTCACGCCATTTACACCGTTCACACTGTTCTCGTCTTTTCCAATAATTCTTGGTGGTTTGAACGCGGCATTGGGCCTTGTATTGTACATTTCGAATCACGAGGGCGGTGACTAAGCTACAGAAATAAATTTCGCAAAAGAAATTTTGTGAAAAAATGTGGGATTCTTCACTAGAATGCAATCATGACTTTATCAGATCCTTCAAGACTTTTGACAGATGGACTGTAAAAAGGAAACAGAAAACAAAGAAATCAGATTAGATGCTTACACGACACTAGGGAGCCAAGCGAGCTAGTGGAGCAGGATGTAGAGAGTAGAGACGAAAAAAGAGGTGAAAAGGTTATCAGGAAGTTGTAAATAAAGAAGTAAAGATGTAAATGTAAAGATGTAAATGTTAAGATGTAAATGTAAGATGTAAATGTAGAGGCAAATATGTAGGCTAGCGTTAAATTTGTAGTACATTAAACTATTGAAACTATCCATGAATAAAGACCGTATATAATGAAAAATAAAAAAAGTAACAATGTTATATGAAGTACAATCGACTCGTTCGTTGTGAGCATAATAAACGGGAAATGTATATAATACATATCATATATCCAAAACCGCGAATGGTTCTTATGTGTCGAGACCTTCTTTGTAGTAGTTGACATCGAGGGCGGTTGTTATTACAAATGAATGTGAAAAAAGGGCAAAAAAAACAAACCCGAATAGATCAATTAAACAGCACCAAAAATATAATAGACAGTAAGGAACAAAGAAATGTGAATAATGGCACAAATACAACTCTATAATGAATATGTCTTGTTATACCAGAAAGAAAGGGGAGGGGAGGGGGCGGGTATTTCCCGTAACAGTTAATCTACTAGGGCTTTCAGTTAACCAAAGCTCGTGTATCAATAACGTAAGAAATCTGGAGAGGAGAAACTTACTTGGTAGAGACTTCTTTTCTTTTTTTTTTTTTTTTTGTTAGTCTCTTGTTTCGTTAAAGAGAAGAAGTTTCTTGATAAAAATGTAACATGCTATACAAAATGAAATATTTTCATTTTTTTTTTTTTTCGTGCTTGGAAAATCTCCTGTTTCCCAAAGATGCAATACGGAAGAATGTTAGGTGCAATACGGAAGAATATTAGGTGCAATACAGAAGAATATTATTTCACCTTTACAACCTCTTAGTGAAGTGGCTAGTAAAAGTTATTTCCATTGCGGCTGATGGAATTTGGTTATGTCCATTTTTTTTTTTCGCTCTCGCAAAATCGAAATATTTATCACGTGAATGATATCACGTGCACGATGAAAGTGTTTTCCTTTTTTTTTTTTCCACTCATCGCTGTTACATTAAGAAAAGATATTACATTTTTTTTTCTTTTACTTTCTTCTTTAACCAAATATGCTTTGAGAAGCCCGAAACTATCGAGCAGAGCGAGATAGTGGAGCACACTGACATTATCTCGTTCTGCTCGATTGTGTCGTCAGTGTCGGTGTAGTCAGTGTGCTTCACTATCTCGCTCTGCTCGATAGTTTTGTTGAATTATAGGTATGTTGCTAGTAATAGCATAGCTCAAAGTCTACATATATAATGATGAAACATTATTTTACAAACAACGAATTTCTTCAACTGAACTTTAATCCATGTTGAAATAATAAATAATCAGAGCTTTTTAACACTGATTTATATTGACTTTGAGTAATGAGATGAATAAAATGACTAGAATGAATTGTTTTACTAACAGTATTTAGAGTATAGTTGTCGATGGATGATTGACACGGTAATGCCCCACTATCGAGCAGAGCGAGATAGTGGAGCATTACTAGCTGCCTCTGACACTATCTCGCTCTACTTGCCGAGTTTTTCGATGGTTGACTGATTAAAGATATCTCTACATTGCCGAGTTTTTTTTCCACTTGATTTTGGCACGGATTTGAGTGCATTCTGTTCGCTAGTGTCAGTGGCGGTTAGTGTCAGTGGAAGCTAGTGTCAGTGGAAGCTAGTGTCAGTGGAAGCTAGTGTCAGTGGAAGCTAGTGTCAGTGGAAGCTAGTGTCAGTGGAAGCTAGTGTCAGTGGAAGCTAGTGTGCTCCACTATCTCGCTCTGCTCGATAGTGTCGCTCAATAGCGTCGCTCGATAGTGTCGCAAAGTAAATAAACAATAGGATTACACTAGCAATAGAATTTGCTAGGCACTTGGATTAATTAGACAACTACTTTATCTCTCTCAGACATTTGTTTAATCAAAGTACCGTTGGCCCAGCTATTATTATTCAACAATACTCGATGAGCGAAACAAGTTCACACCAAAAGAACCGCTCCTGAAATGGCAGCTAGCCAGTGCTGCTCCACTATCGAGAAACACTATCGAGCAAAGCTAGTTAGTGTCGTAACAAGCAACAAAGTTTTGCTCCACTATCGAGAAACACTATTGAGCAGAGCGAGATAGTGTCGTAACAAGCAACAAAGTTTTGCTCCACTATCTCGCTCTGCTCGATAGTCGAGCGTGTGTCGATAGTCTCCGAAATTCATTTTTCAATTCCAAATAAATTTTATTTCCTTTGCGCGTAATTATCAACTCCCCTACCCCCTCCTCTTCCTACTGGCGCCAAATTTCCAATGACTTTAGAAACATGCATTTGCGTGCTAGTTCTTCTAGCGGCATTTCCTCTTTTTACCATTCTTCTAAGATTGGCTTATATTCTACCATGCGTACGTCTACCAAAAACAATCGGCGATACAAAATCACTAGGAAACATTCATGGAGCAGCTCGTTTATCGATATTCCTAGGTTCAGGAGGTCACACGGGAGAAATGATGAAAATGGTGTCTAAATTGAACCTAGCAAATCTTCAAAGAACATGGATTTATTCCGGTAGGGATACCGCATCTTTAAATCAAGCAAAATCAGTTGAGCAACACGTGTATAAAAATGATGCTCCAGTTTATATTAGAATTCCAAGAGCAAGACGTGTTGGACAATCCTATATACTGTCTGTGTTCACCACTGTTTACTCATTTGTCATCTCTTTTATCATTTTGTTGTTTCACAAACCGGATGTATTATTATTGAATGGACCAGGAACATGCATCCCTATAGCATATATTTTATTTCTTTACAAATTCTTGGGTTTGAATACAACAAAAATTGTCTACATTGAGAGTTTAGCGAGAGTGAATAAGCTCAGTTTGAGTGGAAGATTGATCATGCCTATCGCCGACAGATTTATAGTGCAGTGGGATCAGTTGTATGAGAAATACAATAGAGCTGAATATTACGGAATCTTGATTTGATAATGATGATGATAATGATAATAATGATAAATCCAGCTTTTTTTTTTTTTCATTTTTATTTTTATTTTTTTTTTTTTTTTTTGTTATACATTATCATCGTGATATATAAATCGCGACTTCTTTGGATCTTGTGGCGCACGTAGGATGTATTGTTGATTATCTGGTGGTCTCTCATTTAAATCGTTTGTGTCCAACATACTTTGTATACTTAACAAGATGGTCTCTATTGAGCATGCAGGTGTCCAATCGTCGCCTAGTAAATTGAGGCATATGTGTCCGTTTGAGTAGATGTGCGGGTGCACAGGTATTGGCAGTATTAAAGTAGTTGTTGATGACGCCTGTTTGACAAATTTCACAGATGGTGCATCTACTGGATATTCTCGTGTTATGCAAATTGATAATAAATAGTTATCCGGGTATAATGAGTGATTCGAGACACTGATTTGGAAAAGAAAGTAGGTCAAAGTATCATCGTTTGAGATTAGTTTGATACCCTGTAATTGCGATTTTGTTAAACCTTGATACTCCTTGAGGAGACGTTTTTGGTAGGGATGTCTTGACATGTATTGAACGAAAAAAAAAATTAAAAGAATAAATGGGCCAGCGCGCGGGGTTGGGATGGAAGTGGCGAACGGTAAAATATATAAATAAGCTCTTTTCTAAGTTGCTGAAACAATGCTGAAAAATATAGTGGTTGTGGTTGTGGTGGTAGTAGTAGAAAGCAAGAGGCGCATCCAAAATGGCTCAGAAACAAAACAAAAAAAAATGGGTTTTTTTTTTCCTTTATATGCAAAAATTCTATTTCCCGTATATGCTACCTAGTTGTTGGTACTACTACTACTACTACTACTACTACTAATAATACTAACTAAGCCGAACTAAATTGGATTTTGATCGACTTCCTACCATTAAGCACCTTTGTGGCATTTTTGCCCGCTCGTACATAGTTTGATGCAAATCCCGCTTTCATTACTTGGTACTCAACAAGACATTCTTCACTTAATAAGAAAAAAAAGATTCTTTCTATATCAGTTTTATCCAAGTTTTTACCTTTACCATGGTACGGATTGTTGTTGTGTCCCATCTCTGTAATCTTTTTATGCTTCATGCCTCGGAAAACATCTTGACAATGAAGTACAGTAACTTTTTCACTCTGTATCGATTTGACTAGTTTAATAATATCCCGTGCATACTCTGTACAGTCCTTCTCCACTACTGTAACATGATTATAGTTTTTACAATTGTCACATTGCTTGTTACAATCAGATGGATTGAATGACTCATTAAAATAGTGGAGCACTTGTTGCCTTCGACAATCAGTTGTATTTTCGCAATATTGCACAACTTGTCTCAATTTCGCCAAATGATTTTCTTTACCTTCCTCCGTCAAGTTTTCATCTCTGTGAATCAAATTCTGCAAGGACCTCGCGTCTTTGTAGCAGTAGTATAAAATACATTCAGAAGGCTTGCCATCACGGCCAGCACGGCCTGTCTCTTGGTAGTAGCCTTCTAAACTTCTTGGAATAAATAAATGAATAACGAATCGCACATCTGGCTTGTCTATACCCATACCAAATGCAATGGTGGCACAAATAATTCGAGTTTTTCCCATTTGCCAAAATTGTTGCGCTTGAAATCTGTCTTCTGTCGACATACCCGCATGGTAGAATCCAGTTGAAAGCCCAAGCTTATTCAACTTGTTCGAGGTATCCTCACATGCCTGCTTACTATTGCAAAATAAAATCCCTGTACTTTTGGAAAATCTTGTTACAATGTAGTCTTTGATATCTTCTAAAAAGTCCTTCTTTTTCCACCTAATCTCATATAGCAAGTTTGTCCTATTGAAACTTTGCTTCAAAAAAACGGGAGAATTTAATTTCAAATTGTGTATTATGTCCATCCGCACCTTCTCGTTCGCAGTTGCAGTTAAAGCCATCACCGGGACAGCCGGGTACTTTTCTTTGAAAAAGCTCATACCTTTGTAATCGGGGCGAAAATCATGGCCCCAGGAACTTAAGCAGTGGGCTTCGTCAATCACAACTCTAGCCAATTTCTTTTGATCATATAATTTACTGATTATTCGTTGAATCATTGATGATTTGTTGGCCTTTTCTGGGGATAAGTATACAATATCCAAGAACCCGTCACGGAATAAGTTTAAAGTGTGCTTGTTATCACCGCTACTTTGTCTCGAACTAACCATACCTGCTTTTATGTCTCTTTTAATAAGATGTTCTACTTGGTCATGCATCAATGAAATAAGGGGGGAAATAACAACAGTGGTTCCCTGACTACGACCTCCTTTAATCAACGCGGGCAATTGATAACAGAGAGACTTACCACCACCAGTGGGCATCAACACAAAACAGTCCTTGTTTAAAAGTGTCGCAACAACAGCTTCCAATTGATTTGGTCTAAACGACTGTAGTTTAAAAGTGTTGTTTAATGTGCTGTAAATCTCATCAATAAATGCTTCTGATCCTGGTGGAACTACTCTTGGCTCTTTAACCTCTTTCGGACCATTAATAATTTGCATGAGCTCATCATCTTCATCACTGAAATCGTCCTCGGAATCGATGTTGAGCAAAGGTGGTTTTGATACGCTGGAAACTGGTAATGCTTGTTGCCCAGATATCAAAGAAGCAGACATAGCATTTAAGTTTGCTGCCGTTAATGTGTTGATTGTGGTGTGGGTGGTAGATGGAAAGTTATCACCTGCAAGTGGTACAGGTAAATCGCTCAATGCAGTGTCTTCATCGTCGTCGTCGTCGTTGTCGTCATCAGAGTCTATTTCAATGACATCTAATTCTCGTTCTTGGTTTAGTTGAGTTGTATATTCCATTTCATCCACAAAGTCATCATCCAAGTCCTCGTATGCGTCGTCAAGTGGCTGGTTGTTAACATTATAATCGTCACCAAAACCAGATTCAATTTGTTCGGCGTGCGATAATGCATATCCATTTCTACCATTATTGGTATTATTATAATCATATTTGATTCCGTATTTTTCAGCCACATCGGGTGACAATCGAAGATCTTCCAATTCTTCTCTATCAACCCTTCCGATATCCTGCAGTTGTTCTTGTATTCCCGAGGAGTCATGTTCCGAGTCAACAATCGATCCATCGTCAATGAAGCTTCCAATGTCATCGTAGTCATCGCGTTCTTGCGTTGGAGTTCTCAAACCTTCCATGGTATGCTCACCAAAATCATCCTCAGCCTCGGCAAATGACACATTGTTGTAGTTATTGTTATTGTTATCATTATTATTATTATTACTATTATTATTAGTTTCTGCTGCAAAGTTGGAAATAATTTGCCTTGCCGCAGTTAATCTCGTTGGTCTTGGTAACGGTCTAAATACAGTCGCGTCCATTGTAGACTCTTCAATATCATCAGTGATTTCGTTCAAGTGTGAAGAAGTTGTTGCTTGGATAAAAGGTTGAGGTTCGAGTTCGAGTTCGAGTTCGAGTTGAGGTTCAGGTTGAGGTTCAGGTTGAGGTTCAGGTTGAGGTTCAGGTTCATGTTCAAACCTACGTTCTGGGTCACCTTCGTTCGATGTTGTTGGTGGCGAAGAAGGCGAAAATGGCGTAGACTCTTTCAAATTGTTTTTTATCGATAGTATGTCTCTGTCTAATGCATCTATTCTCGTTCGCAAGCCAATATACTCTTGTTTCTTTTGATCCACGGAGATGGAGGTGGACTCGCTTGTGTTAAACATTTGCTCAAGTAATTTGATTTTCGTTTCCTGTAACTTGACTAGTTCCAAACAATTGTAGAGTTTATTTTCTTTGGTAGATGCTGATAGTTTTGATCTTTTCTTGCTTCCCTGCGTGTTTGTAAAAGTACAATCTCCCGCCGGTCGTTTTTTAGGAGGACTAAGATCGAATGTCAAGTCTATAATTTCAGAGCCAATATTATCACTGCCAGGTGCAGTTCCAGGTGCAGTTCCAGGGATACCATTCTGAGGAGAGAAAAACCTAGATAATGATGGTTGTGTTTGCAGTTTTTTCAGTTTTGTTTGTGAGGAGTTAGACGCGTTATATGAGGAATTTAGCGTGGTGTTGATATTCTGTTGCTCTTGACGTTGATTTGGACGCGTATGCGATAACTGTTGATTACCAGAATTTATCAGCGGTGGGATGTTTTCTTTATTGTTGTTGTTGTTGTTGTTAATAGCGGTGTCTGTTGATAAAGACGTGACTACATAGTCACCAATAATTGATACGGATTCCTTTAACGAGTTATGACATGGTGTAGTTTTAGATTGTCCAGGCTGCGATGATGATGTTGTTGTTGATGTTGATGAAAAAACATTGATTTTATGTTTCGGATACGGTTTGAGTACAGAGTCTATTATGTTTTGAGACGGTAGGTAGGGTTTTGATTCTTTTACCCAGTCGAGATGAGCGGATAAATTATTGCCTTTGATCATGAGTTAGCACCTTGTTTCATCTAAGAAGCAAGGCTCGAAATCTTTCACTGTAAAATGCCCTAAAGAAAAGAGATGTAGAGTATTTTCAAGTTTATTATTGACTCTTTAAGATGTTTTTTCTTTGCTCACTAAAGAAGGCTTTATCTCAAACACTAAGAATCGACACTATCGAGCGAAGCGAGATAGTGGAGCAACACTCAGGGTACTATCTTGCTCTTGTCAACACTATCGAGCAGAGCGAGATAGTGTTTTGACCCTAGTCGAAGAATATTAAATAGAAGAGACTAGAGGAGCCGAAGCGACACTATCGACACTATCGAGCGAAGCGAGATAGTGGAGCAACACTCAGGATACTATCTTGCTCTTGTCTACACTATCTTGCTCTTGTCTACACTATCTCGCTCTTGTCTACACTATCTTGCTCTTATCTACACTATCTCTAGCTCTTATCAACACTATCTCGCTCTGGTCGATAGTGTTTCGACTCTAAGCAAAGAATATTAAATAGAAGAGATTAGAGGAGCCGAAGCGACATTATCGAGCGAAGCGAGATAATGGAGCAAGACTCAGGATACTATCTCGCTCTTGTCTATACTATCTCTAGCTCTTATCAACACTATCTCGCTCTGCTCGATAGTGTTTCGACTCTAACCAAAGAATAATAAATAGAAGAGAACTAAGCGAGAACAATAAAAAACGAAAACGATTAAAGGGAGTTCTTTTTGGGCAACTGAAGCGACAAACAAACAAAAGATGTAAGTAGAAAGTAAAAAGTAGAAAGTAGAAAGTAGAAAGTAGAAAGTAGAAAGTAGAAAGTAGGGAGTAGAAAGTAGAAAGTAGAAAGTAGAAAGTAGTTAGTAGAAAGTAATAAGATTGAGTGCAATAAAATTGAGTGCAACAAAATTGAGTGTAACAAGGTTAAATGTAATAAGGTTAAAAGTAATAAGGTCAAGTGTAATATTGAGTTATTTGATAATGATAAGTTGATAGTGGCTCTCATAATAGTTTCCCAATACTTGTTGTGGAGAGTTGGGCCCGCTAAGCATAATCATTCAAGTCGATTGTCACAGGGAGATTCAAGTCGATTGTCATAGAGAAAGATTCAAGTCGATTATGATAGAGAAGGCTTGAAAAATTTCTCAAACCTGGGTATGAAAGTTGAAAAAAAAAACAAAGGTAAGAATGAGAAAAATACAAAAGGCTTATATTACCAGTCCAAGGGATAAATTAGTCAATGTGCTCCACTATCGAGAAACACTATCGAGCAACACTATCGAGCAACACTATCGAGCAACACTTTATATCTTGTTACAACACTCTCTCGTTCTGATTGAGAGTATCGCTCGATAGTGGAGCAACCCTTTGTAGCTTGTTACAACACTATCTCGCTCTGCTCGATAGTGTTGCTCGATAGTGTTATTCGATAGTGTTATTGAATGTTACATTAAATGCAAGTTTTTTTCTCAATGCAATTGTTCCGGAAAACAAATAGAACGACTTTTCCGAATTGATCCGAAACCAAAGGGAAAAAAAAAAACTAGATACAAATAACCACTATAATTTCAATTCAAAAAATCAAATGTTTAACTTTGGCAGAAAAGGCTAAATATGTAAAGGAAGTACCAAAGATGACGTTTTGTTTGGCGGTCTGTTTAAACCGTTCCACAAACCATACTACAAGTTTATTGCCAAGGGGATCTATATCCAAATGATTATTGTAACATACAACTCAAAGTAGCAGATATATGGTCGATTTAGAAACAAGGTCTATTTAGTAATAAGGTCTAATTTTTAGTAATCTTTGTGGGAGAATACTCTTTAATACTGAGTTGAGATATGCATATAATAACTATAGAATAAAGAATGTATGGAAATACTTTATTTACTGTATATTTTTTTAATACTGTATTTTTCTATTTCTTTTTTTTTTTGTGAAGTCCGATGATCGAAATTGCCAAAGATGAAAAAGATAAAACATAACCAAAAAAAAAAAAAAAAAAAAAAAAAAATAACAAACAACAATTGTAAAAAAAAAAGAGAGAAAAAAAAAAAAAAGAAA